GTATGGAACAACAGCAACTCTCCCGCGCAACATCAGCAGCAGCAGCAGCAGCAATCGTCCACCTCTACATCAACCGGTGGGCCGTCGGCACCATCATTACTTTCCTCCTCTCTTTTAAACTCTGGCTCACCCAACCCCCCCAACGCAACTGCAAGTGGCGGGGGAGGGGGTCAAGGGCCATCCCGTCCCCGGTTGCCGCAAGGAATTGTGAACCCGCTCATGGCGACGGCGGACTTTTCATACGAGGACCATCCGTACCAAAGCCATTATGTTGCACCGCATAACCCCAATCAGATTGGGAGTTATCAGCATTACGAGTCTTACTGATGCCCTTTTATCTCTTTATTTTCCTTTATATTTTCTGTTTTTACAAAACTTTCGTGCCTCTAACCCCTCACTCGTTTGTATGGATAACGTTATGGTTATTCGTTTGTGTGCGTGCGTGCGTGTGCGTGTGTGTGTGTGTGTGTGTGTGTGTGTGTGTGTGTGTGTGTGTGTGTGTGTGTGTGTGTGTGTGTGTGTGTGTGTGTGTGTGTGTGTGTGTGTGTATGTGTGTGGAAATGTGGATTTGAGATACCAACCAGAAACCAATTTCTCCTTTTCTCGTCCGATGGCATTTCCCGGGTTTGGAAGGCCTTTCTTTCCTCACATATTATCATATTTATGATGTTTATTTCTTAAAAACGGAATTTTTCTGATGGCAACAGTTTAGAGGGCTTGGTTCCCATGTTCCCCATTGATGTATATGGCATTTTTACTTTCCCCTTGTTTGCTTGCTGATTTCATGTTAGTTAACAACTACCTAGCTTTATTTAATTAGTTGCATTACTATTACTATCACTATCACTATTAACTATTATTATTATTATTATTATTATTATTATTATTATTATTATTATTATTATTATTATTATATTAACATCTTCATATTTGCTTGGCTGTTAGAGACTATTATGTCATCCTTGATGCGGCGGGTTTTAACCACATCCTTATCAGTCTCAGGGGAATGTTGGGACCCTGCATCATCAATCACTCAAAGACATAGTTGAATCATCCTTAACACAAAGGAAGAACCAATAGAGACACGGTGGATGTGCCCTAATCTTGCCAATCATAAATCCCTTTCTATTCACCAGCCACCTCTCCCCGTCATAAACATGGCTTGGTCCAAGCATTCAGTGCCAGGCCTTCCGTAGAATGACGCCTACCACCGCGCTATTCGCCCCAACCCGCTATATACCTTGTGTTTAATTTTTTCTGTGATATGAAAAATTATGCACTTATCAACCCATTCACCCAGGCATTCTCAACACGTCTGTTGGCGCGCTCCCTTCTGCTTCCTCTTCGATTCATGAGACCCGTTCAATCTCCACGGCGCCAACCCAAGGAATTTTGGTCCCCTTTCCAAATGGGATAGATAGTTGAAACTACATCATCAGCTACGATCAATACATGTACATACAGAACACCCCTGCCATCCATTACCTAACCTGGCTGAAGAAATTGAGATGAAGTTCCCTTCCACTACACCTCCTCTATCACCACAGAAAATCAACACATGAAAACACACCATAAGGTCCAAAAAAAAAAAAAAAAAAAAAAAAAAAAGGAAAGAAATATATATATATATATAAACTAGAAATCAACAATGGCCACCTCCGACCCCATAGTTCTAGAACCCAACTCGCTCTACATCCTCCTCTTCCGCCAGGGCGAAGCCTATCAATTCCACTGGGGTCTCTTCCTCACTACTACCACCAGCAGCACCCCAGCAGCAGAAGAAACAGTTGAATCACCTGAATCTGCTGCACCAGCAGAGACAACAGCAACAACTAGTCCGCCAGGCACCCTTTTCGAACTTATAAACCCAAACCCTTCCAACAGCAGACACTGGACCTACAGCACCAGCACCCTCGCCACGTTTGCCCACAAAAACAACCCCATCTCCGCCCTCAAAATCTCCACCATAGAACCAATCCTTCACGAACCCGTTCACGCCCTCCTCGCCACAATTCCCGTCGTCACCTATTCCCACCGCTTTGGGGAGGACATGTCGTGTCGTGTGTGGCTGAAGGAGGCGCTGTATGCGCTTGACCAGAGTGGGTTCATACAGCTTGTATGGACTGTTGATGAGATTGAGAAGGAGGCTAAGGGATTGGGGATGCTGTGTTGGTGTAGTGGGATCGGGAGGGGCAATGCTAGGGGAAGAGCGAAGCGGAGTGCTGGGTGTCTTTTCTGAGGGAAGTGGAAGTGCGACGCGTTGGGGGGGGGGGGGGGATTGATATGGTTGGTGGGGACGCAGACTATTATTGGTATTAGTTGCTTCGGGAAGTTGGTTGGATGGGTGGTTGGAAGCTTTGACCCAAAAAGAATGGAAGTCTGACGTTTTCGTTGATGGAATGTGGTTAAGACAGGGAGTTGAACCATGGGGCATGTCCGAGTGCTTTTAAGGTGTCAATCAATGCGTCCATGGTTCAACGAGGTCTGATCTGCTTGGCAAGGCGGAGAAAAGGGAGATGGGTTGGAATAAGGATATCAAGAGACTGGTATCACAATCAACTTAAAAGAAGATGGGTTTTAAAGAACTCCTCCCCATGTTTTCAGACAGGATCTTCGTTTTGGGTTGATCCGATAACAACGGACATGCAGACAAACTTAAAAAAAAGAGATTGCGTAGAGTTGGTGGTGTACAGTGTTTTCAGTGCTCTGAGCAGCGTAACAATCCGTTAGTACCTGTACCATTATCCGTAAAACGCCGGTTTATATTTTTATAACAAAACGAGATATCAAAATAAAATAAGAAAAAAGTCCACTGCGCCAATGTTCGATAATTGAAGTCATTCAAAATCACATCTTCATATCAGTATCATTATCTTCGCCGTGATCGCTTTCATCTCCCAGCGCACCCCCCGGTATCCTCCCCTCATTCAACTCTCGTTCCAACCTTGTGATTTCCTGTAAGCTCTTCGCTTCCCGGATCATTTTCTCCACTCGTTTCCGCTCCTTCTCGGTAAGTTTAACACGCATTAGCCTTCCACCAGGCTGCTGTTCTGATGCACTACGCGCTGTTGAATTTTTGAGTGTGGAGCCAGGGACGTCGAATGTTCGGGATTTAATTCCCATGACTTTAGAGGCGAGGGCTGTGAGTTTGGTAGCGGTGCCAAAAAGTTCGGCAGCACGGTTTCGTTCTACGTCCTTGACTTTCTGGTAGTCGAGGAAGCGCACCGTTGGAATGAGGAAGATTATCCAGAGGCGGTAGTTCTGTGTATATACGCGAGTATGAAGTGGTGATGGTTAGCAATATGGACAGTATATAGGCATGCGATAGGACGGACAACGACGACATCATATGGCACCGCCCCAAAATAATTCAATAACACGTCCAAAAAGAGAAATAAATCAACAACATTTCAAGGAATTCAAAGACACTAACATCCTTCCGCGTCACCGGATTCTCCAGCAGCGACAAATGCGTTAGTCTCGTTAGATTCTTCAACGGCTCAAGATCCGCTAGCTCTGCAACGTTATTCGCGGTGAGAATTAGTGTTGTTAGGTTCGGGATCGAAGTTGCTATTGACGGGTGGATATGCGACACGCGGTTTCGAGCTAGAAGCAAGGTGCGGAGACGTGGGGAGAAGGGGAAGTTGGAGATCGAGGAGATGTCGTTGTCAGTGAAGTCGATGGCGTCATGGTCCTGCGCATATATGATTAGAGATTGACCATGAAACCGTGTAGACTGGGGCACGGAGTATGGAGGACAGATCTAAGAGAGAAAAGCGGCCCATAGGAAGAGGGACCAGAGTTGATGTCATTCGAACATACCTTCGCAGCACCCATATTCTCAATAGCGGGAATTTTATGGCCTATATATCACCCCCATCCCGAAGAAAGGAAGAAATACGATATCAATTGAGCTCATTACCAAGTCTGTGACATGTGTAGTAGTATCTGTTCTTTCCAATACGCACCTCTGAGATCAAGTTCTCGTTCTTTGAGTGGGTTGAGGTAGGAGAGTGAATTCTGAATTAGCTCCACGGTGAGTCGCATTGTGGATGCAAGTTAAATTGAGCTATGCAGATATGTCGAGTGGGTCAAGGCGACGGGAGTTCTAAGTGATATGAGGAATGGTTGATGTTTTGACGGGTGTAGAGGGTTGTCGTCGATTATGATGCAGAATGAAAATAGCTGCTGATGTTGAGCTTCCGCGAAGTTCAAAGTTTCCTTTTTGGGCTCTAGAATCTTGAGGGGGCTGGAATGGATCACGTGATGTTGATCTACAGTGTCCCTGTTGAACCAGCACCGGATGGGAAAAAAAATGGAACTCAATAGCGTTGATGGTCTATTGTTTGATGGATTGATTGGCGTTTGGAAGCTCGAATTGTAAATGATGAAGTTTAGAAAGATTTTTTCTAACCTGTTCTACACTCTAACAAAAATTTTAGAAAGGGATGAAAGAAAACAAGAGCTCGGCTCATCAGGCACGATAAAAACTCATACAAACCCCTGTCCACTAACGGATCAAAGGGAGAGAACGAGTGGATGAAGAAGAAAATAAAAGGGGGAACATAGTACACGATGGGAAAAGGGATGACGGATGCAAGAAGAAATGAACTTGTACAACGAGTGGGTAACGAATATTTAGTATAGAAGGCAATCAAGCAGAACCACAACGCCTGCGAGCAGCCCAACAGTCCATAACTCCCCCGACAAAATACCCCAATCGAGACTCCATGGCTATGGCAAAAGGACGAAAGGCAAACAAGGGAGGAGAGCGTTGCTAGGGCTATGTGCCACGACCACCCACATACTGTCACCAGAAACCCAACGGCTCAAACCAAGAGAAACTGTATATATGATCGAAGCAAAAGTCCCCACCCAACCACACTGTATAACTCAAAAAATTAAAAATAAAAATAAAAAAATAAAAAAATAGAAAGAAGAGGAAAGAAATGGAGAAGGTTGCTTTTAATCACCCAGCACCAACAATGGCCTCACACTGCCTACACGACAGACTTCCGCACGGGACTCGTCGCTCTAGATCTTCGCCCATTAGTTGTCGGCGCTAGCGCAAGGTGCGCCTGTCTATCGCGACTCTCCGTTCGCACCGCCAATCCATTGCGATCCATAATTCCCACATTGTACAAGGATAGCAACGACCCGTTGCCATCCAGGCTGAGACCGAGGCCTACACTAGCTCTGTTCCCACCGCCTCCTCCACCTCCACCGACACTGCTGATGTTGTTGCTCGTGCTCGTGCTCGACTTCAACCTCGCCAGAAGATTAACACTACTGCTCCCATCCTCGTCATATGTGGCACTGGCCTCGTCGTCGGACGAGGAAGAGCCAAGGCCGAGTTCGAATTCGCGCATGCCGTCTTCCAGTGTGCGTTCGTAGGGCATGTAACTACTTCGGCGCGGGGAGGGGGAGAAGAAGAAGAAGGAGGATAGTTTACTGTTGTAAAGGCCCTTACTTCGTCGGCGGTAATGAATGCTGCTGCCGTGTCGGCTAATTGGTCGTCCGAGAAATCTTCTGTATACACGATTTCGCCGTTCGCGGCCGTAGAGGAAGAAGATTGCGATTGCGACTATTGCGAGGAAGAGGAAGAGGCCTGGGATGCGGCGGGGAGAATGGCCGTCGAAAAGGGTGTCGTGCCAGTGTTGTCGGTTGGTTCCGGTGATAGTGTCGTTTGTAGGTATGGTTGGTTGTGAGGCGGGAGGGAGGGGTTGGAGTTGCGGACCGGTGTGCTGGAAATCGTCTGCAACGCCACCAGGGACGTTACTGCCGAAGCCAACTGGGAGGCCGTTTTTCAATGGTGGCACTTGGGATGAAGCGTAGAGAACGGCTTTTCCGAGCGTCCAGCTCACTTCTGTGGCACCGATCTTGTTAACAGCTTGGAAAGCGTCTAGATAACCGTCTGGCTTCCCAGAGACCACCACATCCTGGGTTTTGTTGTTGTGGCCTATGGTCACCTCGGCTTCTCCGATGCTTGAGCGTGGGATGCCAATTCCGTCGTGTAGAATATTGATTAGCCAAGAAGCCTTGAAACAAAGTTCATTGGCAGTTTTCTTGCTGACTTTCCCCCCCCATCTCTGCCCTCTAATGCCTGCTTCTATCTCATCCCATGGCTGTGAGCAAAAATCTTTCGCGCGCTGCAGATAGTCGTTGAAGTTGTAAGGGTCATCCTTGTAGCCCATATCAAAAATCCCATGGGTGGTGTGCCAGTATTCGCTCACACCGATAAAATGGTTGACGTCAAAATCGATTGCGGGCACATGGACTCCATGTAGAAGACAGGGCTCATCAGGACAAGGCGCATCCTTCTCAAGTAAGGGGAATGTCTGGAGAAGGCACTGGTCGAACTTGCCTGTTCCAACTAGATACGGCTCCACACCGGACACGGGGCCTTCAGGGGGTAGAATGGTTCCGTCTGCAGACATCCGCAGTCCAGCATGTAGACAAGGATCCGGCCTACCCTTGTTCTTCTCATCGACAGTTGATTCCAAGAGTGCCTTTACATATCGACTCCTTGCCTCCTGCGCCCCAAAGCCTAACCACGACATGACAAACACCTTATACTCAAGAGCCCTGCCATTGACGCTCCTGAGCCGCAGAAGGGTTAAATCATTGGCATGTTTCTGGGCCTCAGTCGCGTTTGGTGCAAAGGCAATCTGGGCAGAGGCACCTCCCATGTCCAGAAATCCGTATGTGTGATGGCCTTTCCCGTGATTGTGGGATCTGCTATCATCGAACCCGCCCATCAAATAGTTGGTCGCAATCCACCCGTAAAGTCCTTCGGTGACTCCCTCGATGACTTGCACATGTTGGTTACAGTCCGGGATGAGAAAGTCGGTGGTTTGGCGGACGTAAGTGCACACATTGTTGAGGATGCTCTTTTGCTGGGCTTTTGGGAGCAGGCGCATGCCAGCCGTTGCCAGGAGGAAGAAGGGGGTGTCGGGTACATCTTCTTCGGGGATAACCTCTTGTACATGATGGAGGAGTGGTCTGAGGTGCTCGAGTCCGACATCTTGGGGATTTTGGGCGAACGTGGAGATGCCTGATATTGTGACGGATTAGCACCAGGCTAGAGGAGAATCTAGAATAAACCATCGATTGCTGTATACCTGGATGTATCTTTTTAGTCCATTCTTCGCTTGTTATGATTTCGGGTAATGATGCTAGTTCCTTTGCCGATGCAGATTTGCGCGCCTTTACACTATCTGGCCATCTATAGACATATGATCGAGTCCCCTAGATAATCCCGAAAAGAAAAAAAAAAAAAAAAAATTCAGTCAGTATATATGTACCCGGATGGCGCCACTGGCTATCAATGTGCAGCACACGCCCAGCACCTCCACGATTTGACACGATGGGACGCGATCAACTTACGGATGAACCAGCATCCAGGACGACAGCATATCTCCCTGTACAAATACGCAGTTAGCAAATATTCCTGGTCGCGTAGTTTTTGACTCTGCTGTCAGGAGGGGGGAAGGCAATGATGTACAAGTCAACATCTGGGAATCCGACGCTTTGCGTGTTCTTCTATGTATTATCCGTTGTGTTTAGCTCAAATGCATTGCCCGAAGTGACAATATTACATATTAAAAGGAAAGGCTGTAGTAGCATAGGCGAGATATAAAGGGTAATTTTTCGACAGCTTCCATCAATATGGCGACCCTCCCCCTTGTTCTCTTTGTGATCGGCGCCGTATCTTGGATGTGTCGGCAAAGCTTAAAGTCTGCTCTGAACCGGGGGATAGCGTAGTCGCGCAGAGAGAGAGAGAGTTCGAGACCCGGAAACGAGCGTGGAGTCGGTGGTCGAAGCCAAAGGAAAAGGAAGGAAGAGGAAGAGAGGTGGGGTCTGGAATTGGGTGATAAAGGGGGAGATAAAAGGAGTCGAGATGGAGAGATGAGGTTGAAATAGAAGAAGATTGAGGCTGAAGAATGGGCAGAACGTTCCGCTGTCATCAACCTTTGAGCTGATTTAACATAGGGGTTGAGTGTAGTTAGTAGTTAGTTACTAAAGCTTGGGGCCAACCTCAGAAGGGGAAGGGGGCAGAAGCCGGCAGTTTTTTTTAGACTTTCTGGATGTACGGTTGGTACAATAGATACGGTATGTACGGTAAGCAGCCGTAATTCTGGTATTTCTTCAGGAATTCGGCCCCGCACAGAGAAAATGACGCGCGTACTATTAAGTGAACTCCCCAATAGAATGCCGCCATTTTGCAAAGTGGCGCTTTTACTCCACTCTGAGTGGCGGTTTGCAAAAGGGGACCCAGTCGATCGATAGGGATAGGATACTAGTGCCGTATAGGACGGTACCTCCCGTTGTGGGGTGATGCAAAGGTTGCCTCCCCAGATTACCATACATACAGTACGGAATATGACACCAACCCACTGTTAGCGATAGGGAGAGGCAGCAAGAGATACTCGGGTGCCTTTCTCCATATTTTCTACCCGAGTCGGGACCCCAGCAGGAGGGTTGTATTGTCCTAGAATTGAAGCAAGATCTATATATAATCAATATTACTTGCTTATATACGTACCTGTTATGCCGGTATTATCTCTCCCATTAAATATCTTACCTAGCTAATTTGTGAGACTACAAATGTCGGGAATCAAGCACCATCGATCTATTTTTAGCGATGAAGCTACACAGCGACTTGGTCTCAGAGAACCAAACCCTCCACAGCAACCTCCACATGGAACAAGACACCATGTTTTAGAATCTGCTCGAAAAATCTGGATATGTAGATATCTACAAGTAATTTATCCAACGCAAAAACCTACACGCAACGTGCCAGTGACAACACTCAGACGAAATAAGGTTCCACAAGGGTTGGAATTTAAGAGCTTGTGAGGGATCCGTTACTTGGTGTGACTTATATACATCCTTTGGTTATTGGGGTCATCTCAAAATTGATTCACCTCATTTGATGTAGCTTTTTTGCATTTTTATGCCTTTGTTCCAGCATTTCTTCTCTCTCTCTCTCTCCTGAATGACATGACAGATTTGCGCTACGAAAATTCACAGTGAGAATGTTGATGATGGTGGTACTGACAAAATTAAAGAATAGCAATATAATACAAAATGCAGGAATGGAGAGACATATACGGAGTGGTGTGTACTCTTTCTATCCCCCCCCCCCCTTCCGAAATTTGAGTAAGAGGGTGGTGCGAGACATAAAGAGAACATATATAAGAGGCACTGGGAATAATAAAGTTCAATAAACAGCAAAACGAATTGCAGATGTTCATGTGTGTATATACAACAATATACAGGCTATATATATAACACCCCAACATACCCATCACAGCTTCGAGCTTGCCCCAAGCGCCGTTCGTCTAGGATGTCTCGTGGAGACGTCAAGCTCTTTCGACAAAGCAGCGGACTCTGTCGCTGCTGCCACTTCAAATACCCCTCGACCCACTGCGTCGGTCATGGTGAGTACGCGAGAGGACACGGTGGCTCCGTCTCGACGGTTTTTCCTATAAAACAGGCCGTATCCCAGCGTCAGCCTTTGCAACTGTGGTCGTCGTCCACAGAACCAGGGCGGGAGAGTCGAGTATTCTATTGAAGAAAAGAAAAAAAAGTGTAGGTGTCGAGGGGAACGCAGCACATTATACATACCCTTCACGCCGCGACTGGGCGATCCGGGACATAAAGTCCCATAGTTTTCCGCGGGCCAGGAGCTTCCCTGTAGTTGCATCGCGTTCAGGCATCCAGCCGGGCGCGATTCTCATGGTAGTCGTTTGGGTGCCCTTTGACTTTGCGACGATGATAATGCCTTCCTCTTCGAATCTCTTATATGCATTCTTGAGGGTTTCTTTGTTGACGGCTTCGAAATATGAGAGGTCGCCTTGGTGGTAGAGTGTTTTGCCCAGCTTTTGGTTTTTTAGCCGGAAGCGTTAATGTTGGAATACATGTCTATATCGGGGGTGGTAGGATAGAGGTGTTTTATGCTTACCAGTTGGGCACTCTCGTGTGCCTTCTTTATGTCAATCCAGGGAGACATGGGACCATTATCCAGGGGCGGGGTAAGCCCCATAAGGGATACAGCTCCAAGCCAACTCGCTTCAATAAAAGGCCAGATCAGGAAGCAGTAGAAGTCATAGTTTTCTCTTCCACATTCACGCTCTGCATCGCTTAGCTCCATAAACATCGGCACGTCAGCTGCGTCTCTGGTGACTTTGATTACATGGTCCCGTTCCAGCCCATTTAGAGTCTTCTCAAGGTTGTGAGTTAAGCCATCAAGGGGGAAGATAAATTCTCCTCGGAAGAGCTTTGAAGACCGCGTTAGCTTTTTGGAACTTCTACAGAATTGAACAAATGTCGAAATTTAAAGAAAAAATATTATCTTACCTGGGACAGGAAGGAGACCTGGGCGAGGAGTTCGTCATAGGTGCTGCGCTGGTTTATCGGTCCGCCCCCTTGCTTTACGCGACAATACATAGCAGCGGACATCAGCGCTTCAGTTATGAAAAGATGGATTGTCATATTTCTGTAAAATGAGAGTTGGAACCGATCCACGGCATAGAATGTCTGTTCCGCAAGGCCGCCAATTTCACCAACTAGGTTAGGTCCCAAAACTTCGATTGCGCGATCGACTACTTGTTCCGTCGGAGCTCTGTAGAAATGTGCCACTCTCCCTCCCTTAGTACGAACTCGATCACATAACCAATCCACGCGTCGAACAAGTTCTGTTTTACCAACACCACGGCCTCGAAGAGTAAGAAGAACTGTGCCAACCAGCGCTGTTGGCATCACCACGGCCACGTTATTGATGTCTGATAGGACACGGTATCCTAGTGTTCTGAGGAGGCGTCCTCGTTCTGCACTCCCCATTTTCAATTGAATTTCACCGTTATTGGGGGTATTGTATATTCTGGCAGACTGCTCGGCGACAAATGCTTTCAGACTCCATGGTTCGTGAAATCTGACGTCAACCCTACCCAGCTTGAGCGATAGGACCGAAGAAGAATTAAGAAAATCCACTAGATTCTCTTTTTGCTTCGGTTGACCGAGAAGTTCACTAATGTACGATCTGATTTTTTTTTTTTTTTTAAAAAAAGAAAAAGAGTATTAGTGTGCCAAGTTTGGCTTGCTGTATTTGGAATTGAATACCTACTCAGTTTCAATAACCTTATCATATTGCGTGCTGACCGGGCAGATAATTGCATCGTTGACTCGGCCAGACGCAATACTATCCAAGAGAAAGCTGAGGATACCAAATTTAGGAGGTAGGAGCTTTCCTGTTCTCGAACGACCTCCCTCCACAAAGCATTCAAAATTAAACCCGTTTTTTAACAGGGTATCAACATAAGCTTGGACGAGCGTATGGTACAAGGAGTCATCCCCGAATGTTCGACGAATCCACATTGCGCCTGGATTGGTTGTCAGCCTGTTCCAAAAGTAAATCATGCATGGTTTGCTAGGAACGAAATAGATATACCTGCACGCTGTAAGAAGCTCCCGAGCAAAGGAATATTCAAATTGTCTCCCGCCACAACCACTGGAAGTCCAATTCCAAGGCGATAGCAGATGATTTGTAGTGAAACGTAGTCTACGTGAGATCTATGACAAGGCAAGAACACTATCGATTGCTTTTTCTTTGCTGCAGCCTCTGCAACAAATCTCAAGCGGAGAACCTCCTCGCTAGAAACATGGATTCCTGCATTCCAGAGTCAGTATATTTTTCGTGATCTTAAGTACCCATATACGTAACTAATAAATAGGAAGCAAAAAGAATGTACCTTGGTGATATGCTCTCGTAAGAAGCTGTGTACATAAATAATATGCTCCCCGGATGAAGTTTTTACTTTCCATTTTGCAAATCATATTCTCCATCATGGTATCGACGACCTCCCTTAAATTCGCCTCAATCTCGTTTTTCCTCCTTCTACGAGGATCATGATCATTGTTCGATTTTCGGGGATCTAGCAGACCTTCCTCCTCTTCTACTCGAGTTCGCAACTCCGCCAGCTCCGTAATCTTCCCAACCAATATCGGGTTCCTGATGATATCTAACTTCATTCTCTCGGAGAAGCCAGGGTAAAACACTGGCTGCCCGATAATGTTTTCATATGCGCGCCATCCTGACCCGGAAACGAACAGGCTGACTTCACGAAGAAACTCAAAGGGATTTTCTCGAAAGCGTGCCATGTTCCGCACAAGCTTTCGCTCAGTGATGCCATCATCATGAACCCCAGGGCCTCCGGTGAAACCAGTGGGATGCACGGTGACCCGATCCCCGACAATCTCTAGATCTGGGGCCATGTGGCCCGCGCCTTTTGGAGAAGACATGATGGCTAATTCCAATTGCTAAACGATATTATTTTAGGGAATAAGAGCGTGGTGGTAGGGTTATTATCAGAACCACTGGAACACGACGAGGCAGTGGAGATTTGCCAAGTTCCACCTTTCGAGGGCCCTGTTAACGCGCCACACCAGAAGTCCTCCTCCTTTCTTACAAAAGAAGAGACAACTTGTCCTCGTAGTCCATTTCGCCGCCGTCTCGGGGCTGCCGCTCCACCTGAGTCCGTCGTAGTAAGCCCAACATTTACGGTGTGGAAGCTCGGATTTCATGTTGGACCTCGGCAGCGTTCATACAGGTCACATGATCATTCGCCGCACTAGTTGTATCACGTGACAGTACCATTTCCCGAAGGTCGCAGCAACCCGTAAATAAACACAGCATCACCAATGTTGGACAACATAAATTATTGCCTAAATACTGTCACAGAGTACCACACTGCCCATTTCGAAATGGTCCTTTGCATATGAAGGACTCCCTCTCCAATTAATTCATAATGTAAAATTGGAAATATATCTCCTTGGTCCTCTTTCTCCCAATGTCATTTCCTTCTTCTTTCTGGACTTCTTTCTTCAGCTGCGTGCTGCCATTCCTTAACATAACATCATCATACTACCTTCCCAACTATCGCAATGGTGTCACGTTTCCTGAGGAGATTCTCCTGTAAGTAGCTCTAGGCAGTATAGCTACTACTTCTTTCTAATAGTCGACATCGTAGCTATGCCGTCATGGTTATCCAACAACTCCAATGGTACCCCGAACACCAGAGATGCTCCCTTCTCCGTGTTCCGTGACGCACCAGCGCTCCGCCAATACAGAAAGCAACTCCTTCTTTCGAATAGAACCGTTGGTTTGGTTCCTACTATGGGTGCCTTGCATGATGGCCATCTATCTCTAATCCGCCAAGCAGCCGGTGAAAATACGGACGTGTTCGTTAGTATTTTCGTTAATCCGACCCAATTCGGGGTGAATGAGGACCTGGACAAATACCCAAGGACTTGGGAGGCAGACCTTCAGAAATTAGAAGAGCTAGACAACGAGCTGGCTCGCGCGGCTTCCCAGGCTGGGGGAATCACAGAGGCCGGTTCATCCCCAGGCCGTATCTCTGCAATTTTTGCCCCAACGAACAAAGTCATGTATCCGACGCTTCCGCCCACCTCTGAACTGGATGGATATGGTTCGTTCGTTACCATCACCCCTCTAGCAAATCTTCTAGAAGGGGCTTCCCGCCCGGTCTTTTTTCGCGGAGTGGCCACTGTCTGCATGAAGCTGTTCAACATCGTGACGCCCGATCGAGTCTACTTTGGCCAAAAGGATGTGCAACAGACGGTTGTGATCAAGCGGATGGTGAAAGATCTGCACGTTGGGACTGATGTGAGGTTAGGGCCTACGATACGGGAGGAGAGCGGTTTGGCAATGAGCTCACGAAATGTTAATCTGGGCACTAGACGACGCAGGGTTGGACTTGTCCTGTATAAAGCGCTCAAGGAAGCGGAGAAGGCATATTTGTCGGGCAAGAGGGGACGGAAAGAGATTTTAGGACCCGCAAATCAACTGATAGCGTCCATTGCTCGCGAACAGGAAGCCCTACCACCTTCTGAGCGTGCAAGATTCGAACTCGATTATATTTCGCTCTCGGATGTGGATTCACTTGAAGAATTGGAGACAGTTGATGAGTCGAAAGGCGCCGTCTTGAGCGGTGCTGTGAAGATGCTCCCGATAGAGAGCCCCCAACCTGGCGAAGATTGTGGAAAGACTGGTGGTGATATCCCGGTGAGGTTAATTGATAATATCATCATTTAACGACTGTTTAGCGATCTCGGATGCATTATTTCGGGCGCCTATTATCGCATATTTACGAACTAGACTGCTCCATATTTGCCTATTTGTGGAATTTAGGGTGACAGTTTACATTGAAGTTATTGAATAATGCAAGCTTTTGTCAGATGTATTTTTCTGCATTCTTCTTTCACTCGTAGAACTTCTTGAATAAAACTAGCGCGAGGGCCAGGGGTTGAACTCTTCACTCTTGGCGTGTTTGTTGATTAGTCAAACTTTGGAAAAACTCAACCTGGAAATATTTTGATATATTTCAACATTTTCTTTTGGTGGACGGGAGATGCAATAAGTAAATCCCCATGCACGACGGAGCATTTTAGCGTCCACTATCCGTCACCATGGCGGACGATGGCATGCTCCTTAACTTCAGCTTGGGAGACGGTATCATAAACACCCAGCAGAAATACAAGGGCGGCACATGGAAGGACCGCCTCTCTGTAAAGAAAATCGCACTCCACAGACAAAACAAATCCAATTCTGAAGATCGGGATAATGCCAGACAGAAGGGTGGGCCAGGGAATCCAAATAGAGTTGAAATAATATCCCCTCGGCCATCGAAACGGCAGAGGGTGGATGGCGATTTTAAGCTGTCGAATCGCACCGGAGGGCAAGTTACTGCTCCTAACACCGGCAGCAGTAATACAAAACAGAATCAAGCTCGCAAGAACCAGAATCAGCCGCGCGAAATTATATCGTCCCTTTTTTCATTTAACCCCACCCCCACCTCTGCCGTTGAACCACCGAAACCAGAAAGAGAGTCCGATGAACCCTCCAAGCCATCCAACGCGCCCCTTATCGACGGAATCGACACGTTCACGTCGCTGGGGTTATCGCCTACACTCGCAGCGCATCTTATGACAAAACTAGAGCTCAAAGCTCCAACCGCAGTTCAGAAGAGTGCCATATCACAGTTGCTGAAGGAGGAATGCGATGCATTTATACAGGCGCAGACTGGGTCGGGGAAAACGTTGGCATATCTACTTCCCTTGGTTCAGCGACTGATCAACTTATCAAAGACCAATGGCAAAGCTTTTGGGCGGGGTGGTGGGGAGGAGGATAATAATGCTGTACATAGGGACTCCGGACTTTTTGCTATTATCTTGGCTCCTACGAGAGAGTTATGCAAACAAATATCAGTCGTGCTGGAACAGTTACTGCGGTGCGCGCATTGGATTGTTGCGGGCACGGTTATTGGTGGAGAGAAAAAAAAGTCCGAGAAGGCGAGGTTGAGGAAGGGGTTGAATATCCTTGTCGCTACGCCTGGCCGGTTGGCGGACCATTTGGAAAACACGAAGGTGTTGAATGTGAGTAACGTCAGGTGGCTGGTCCTTGACGAGGGTGATAGGCTTATGGATTTGGGATTTGAGGAAGAGATTCAAGGAATTGTGAAGAAGTTAGATGAGAGGCAAAAATCAAATGGTATCCTTGGCTTGCCTACCAAGAGAGTTACGATATTGTGTTCGGCAACTTTGAAGATGAATGTTCAGAGGCTGGGAGAGATAAGTCTCAAGGACGCTGTACATGTTCAGGCTGATCCAGATGATGAAAGCAATGAGGCAACGGCGAAGAATAACGCTAATAACTCTGAGTTTTCCGTACCCGCCCAGCTTAAACAGTCTTATTCTGTGGTAGCTGCAAAACTACGGCTCGTTACTCTGGCAGCATTAATGAAACGGACATTTGCTAGGAAAGGGTCTGTTATGAAAGCGATAGTGTTCGTTTCATGTGCAGACTCTGTGGACTTCCATTTCGAGGTTTTCTCCAGGCAAGATTCAGAAAATAAAAACGAGGGAGAAAAGGAGGGCCTCATTGTTGCGGAAACCTCATTTACTACCAATTTAGCATCTCATGTCACGATTGCCAAAGCAACAGCTTTCTCCAACCCTACTAATCCAGTTACGATATACAGACTCCATGGTTCTCTTCCCCAACATGTCAGAACCTCAACTCTCACATCATTTGCCCGCCAAAGCGAAGCGGCCGTGCTCATATGCACCGATGTCGCAGCTCGTGGCCTTGACCTTCCAAATGTCGATTTTGTTATCGAATATGATCCCGCCTTTAGTGCAGACGATCACCTCCACCGTATTGGCAGAACTGCACGACTCGGACGAGATGGTCGCGCTCTTATATTCCTGCTTCCCGGCAACGAAGAAAAATACGTCGAAATTTTGAAAAGTGGCTATCGGGATGGTGGCGCTAACATTTGCCGTACCGACGCTAACGAGACATTGAAACGTGGCTTTGGAGGAAATACCGAAATGGCGAGCAAGGGTTGGGAAGCGAAGGCAACCGAATGGCAGCTTGACATCGAGCGCTGGGCACTTGAGAATCCTGCCATTCTCGAGATGGCCAGACGAGCATATCAGTCTCATATCCGAGCTTATGCCACGCACATTGCGGGTGAACGAGATATGTTTAACATCAAGGATCTGCATTTAGGCCACTTAGCAAAGAGCTTTGCGCTACGTGACAGACCCGCTAAGATCAATGTTCCTGGTCTTCGACCGGGTATAGATGATACGAAGAAGGAATTCAAGGCCGATAGAAAACACACTAGAGATGGTGCCCAAGATGATAGCAGCGCAGTCATCTCTGATGGAGCGCGTAAAATGCGGGCAAAGTTGAAGGAGCATATGGTGGGCGCTAGTGAATTTAATATTGCGTAAATATATCCAGGGTCAGTGTTGTTAGTATATATCTCTAGTCTTCTTTTGTGTTAAAAAGAGATGAGAAATAAAAATATTTTTCACGATCAATAAATGTCCCACAATGATATTTTGCCATCCTTAGATCCCGCCCCAAGCCAATGGGTAGATTGTGCCTTTTGGCTTCGCTGTTCCTTTATTGCTGCGAGTGATCCAACTGGAGTGACTCTATTAAGTGCCATCGTTCGTGGCTTTGTGTCTGTATCCGAATTCGGGGCATCAGCAGCTGGTCCCATCGCGTCCACCTTATTTGGTTCATCAGAATAACCAGGGCTCTTCCTTCCGGTATTAGCATTATCATTGTCATTCATTTTATTCTCATTAGCAAGGTCCGCGAAATCAACGGCATAACAACCTTCCTTATGCCACTTCAAAACAGCCAACTCCTTCATACTCTTACACGAGTAGACTCGAATTCTGCAATCCCATCCAGCCGTTGCGAATATTTTCCCATCGTTGCGTATTCGTAGACCCTGCTGACCTGCATGTTTCGTATTTAGCACTTTAAGCGGACTTTTAGAAGCGGTGATGGGATGTTTGGCGATAATTTCGTCAGCAGATGATGAGAGGAAGAACATATCATGTTCGTTTCTTCCTGGGGGCGATAGGGAAAGAGAGAGTATTGGTTGAGAATGTGGATGATTTATGTATATTCTCTCCCAGGTGAACGATGACTGATTGATGGTCAGGCTCTCCAAAGATTCCAGTGACTTTTTGGTGTGCACCATAACACGGCCATCTTCATAACCGGAAATCAGGCATAGATTTCCTTGAGGACATCTGAACAGTTCAACGGCCATCACCATTCCTGTGTTTATTGATGGATCCGGAGAGATGGTCGACACGCGCTTCTCAGAAGGCAGGTGGAACACATCTATACCGCCAGTATTCAGCGCATTGGGTACGGCTAGAAAGAATATATGCTGCGGTTTTGAATTTTCTTCTATAGGCACACAGTCAACACTTGCGCTTTGCCGACAACCGAGTGATTTGGTATCGGATGCCAAACGTTTGTCCGGAAATATGCGGCACAGTGCAAAAGCACAGAAATTCAGTGCGTTAACAGGTAGAGAATGAAGCATCCAGGGTTCATTTCGTGGATGAACGCTCTTCGATTCATCTACAGGTAGCTCTTTACTCAAAGATTCTTCATCAGCAAGATTTAATCGCCAAACGCGAAACTTGTGATCTCGACCATGCCTACAGCCACATGTTAGAACCAGATGATAAAATATATGTAAAGAACGCCATCGTAAACATAAAGGGAGAAATGACTAGGCACATTTTAACGAAGAAATAAGAGGCACATACGTAAATACCCATCTCTCATTTCCACCTTCTTGCCCCTGTCCAGCTTCATCTTGCTCTGAGTTAACGACGACACCTTGAAGCCCTAGAACAGCAGATCCATGTGCTTTCCAAGAGGCAACTGCGCGTTTTGTACTCATATCCCACACAACTATCCAGCCATCCGCATCGCCAGATATAAGTCTTGAGTTTCTGCTATAAAAGCGCAAGGCATGTATCGATGATGCATGACCGCGAAGAATATATACCGGGGTCGCAGGCGGAAGCTTGTCAGCTACTTGTCCAGACTGATCGGCTAAGGCAAAAGGACTTGGGGATGCAGAAGGTGTCCCCATGTTGGATAAGTGGTATACAGGTTATTCTGTAGAAGACGGTAAAACAATTTTGATAAGTGATTGCGCATGTTGAAGTTGGATGCGATCTTATCTTATCAGATCAAATGGTGAGGTCGAAAATAAGCGCCCCGCACTAAACTAGTTAACTAAACCGTATGAGGAACCGTTAACTAAACTTGAATTCAGAGAACTGTGAACAAGGACTCCCACACAAGACGACAACCAGCTATATAATACAATCCCATTAACAAATAGAGTAGCGATACCCCGCTTGTTACGTTCATCTAGTTGTCATTCAACGGTCCATCCAGCCAGAAGAAGGGAACAAAGACGAACTAGATCCCATCAGGATACTAAAACTGGATGCGGTATCCCCGGATGCGCTGATATAGGCCAGCTTCGGACCCATCTTCTATATATTTGTTGGTTTCATATTCGCTACCAAGGTTTCATACAATTTATAATCTATACCCCAAGCGCTATCACGCATATATATTCATGGCTTCACAGCAACCTTCTCAGTTTCCTCCGCCATCTAGGGCGACATGGCGGCCCTTATTTCAATCCCATATTTCAAAGCTGGTTTCACCAGAGTTCTCTTTGTCAACTGTACATAGAGACAGCAGCGGCGTTATACACCCCCGTGTGCGCACATGCATCTTCCGTGGCTTTTGGACAGAGCTACGCTTGGGAGAAGCCGCCAAACACCAGCTTCTAGAGGATGGAAACACTTCTAATGAGCGTGGAATAAACCCAAATACTTACGAAAGTGATCTTTTGACCTTTACCACCGATGTCAGGATGGAAAAGATTGCTCAGATATTCTCATCCTCAGATGGAAGCCGTAGTGGTGTTGAAAGTGGAGGTGGTGGGAGAGTTGAGGCAGTCTTTTGGATCAAAGATGTGATGACGCAGTGGAGAATTAAGGGTCGGGCATTTATCGTTGGCGGTGATGACGATGACCCAGACGAACTGAAGGCCCGAGAAGACATTTGGCCGTGGGTACGACGACGAGAAGATAGCGTGGATGAAGATACGAAGAGATGGAGTTGGGATAAGGAGATCACGGCACATTTTGCGAATTTGAGTCCAACGATGAGAGGTATGATTAAGATGATTTCTTCCGCCTAGTTTTCTTTATTTCACCTCTTTCCGGCATCATGGACATATGTTACAGCCAATTGTTTGTTCTTCATGCACTATGCCATAATGCTAAGCAAAAAAAGAACCTGGTTATGAGGATGGCAACCCTGTCTCTGACCCCTATCCCTATTTTCTTCTACTCTTGTTGGAACAAAAGATCAAAGGAAAATAGATACTCTCATCTCCTCAGATATCCTACCCCAATTTCCATTCCTTCTTCCTAAAATCGCACCGATTGTGCAGCTGTTTCTTTTTGCTTTTCCCCTTTAAAGGGAAAAACAAAACCGGATATGCATAAGCAACTAACCTTCTCCCGTATTGACAAAAATAATTATGTTTCTGTATAGGCTCTTTCAAAAATCCGCCACCTGGGACTCCAATGTCAGAACTACCAGCAAATCCATTGCTCAAGCTAGGTCAAATGGTGGATGACCTTCACGACCCTATAGCAAGAGCAAATTTCCGTGTTATCGTCATTGTACCCGAAGAGGTTGAAAAGGTCGATTTAAATTCTCCAGAGGAAGCAAAGAGGGTTCAGTGGACTTTAACCCAACTGAAGGCAGAGATAGACGCTAATGTGCCTAGTCCCGGTTACAAATATGGAACTTGGAAGGCTATCGATCTTTGGCCTTGATGGAAGTGATGGCCCTTTGCTTGATAGAAGCACGAAGGTCAGATGTTCGAGCTCTTTGAAAGCATCTGTGAGAATTGAGAAAGAGAGGAAGGTATCCGATTCATCTGAGCTACATAACCCCTATTCTTATACTTCTGCTTTTTGTGTGGGAGATGTCTGCCTCTACTCGTCGTCATCTCATTCACCACAATACCAGTCACCTCCAGGATTTCAGAATAATGTATTCTCCTAAGCCACGCATCAAAACCCTCATTATTGTGCTTTTGGTTTTCCTTTTCTTCTTTGTTAAGCCCTAGAAGGATTCACTTATATACAACACAACACTGTCATAATTTCATTATATCTCTGTCAAGTTACTATCCTGCATACTCTCTAAGCTCTGTTACTTACCCTCTCTGAACCAAGAATTTCAAGATCAGAGGAAACAATGGACATATATCCCTTTGCTTTCCCACCTTTCTTGTTCTCTGTATCACACAGCAAACAAGCAGCAAGCGAACTTCAAATTCGCATCTGCACAGAAGCCATTATCACATTCAACAACAGCCAATACCCTCATGAACAAAGCCTTGTTCCTTTCTCCTTATCTCTTATTCTTTCATTTTCAATCTCATGACACTCTCTTTTCACACTCTCACGCACCAAAATCATAGCGGATGCAGGCATCTTGTGTCATTCTTCCACCTGTTGTATTTTCATTTTCCCTTTTCCATTAACGCCTTCAATATCTCCAACTTGAGGTAGTTTATCGGGAGCGCAAGACCATATCAGGCGTCTTTCGCCCAGATTTTCTTCGTCGTCTTTTCAGAAGTCGTGAAGGCCAAGAAGGAATCCCTTATATCAAGGTAAATCCATAGAAGAGACTGTTGCTTTACCTTTACCACGCACCGTACCCCTTTCGAAATTTACCTTATTTTCACCCTCCCACCCTCCAAATCCCAAATGACCCCTTTCCCTATACAGAAATTTCAAAAGTCCATCCAAACGCTCAGAGACCAAAACGATGTGGAATTATAGTGACTCCGAACCAGAAGACGACAGTACGATGACCCGTCGATGTTCGTATTGTGGTCGCTTTGGAAGTAGGGACAACATTGTTGAGGAGACCGGTCTCTGTTTCAAATGCCATGACACCGTGCATCCATCTTCAAAGGTCAAATCTACTTTTCTCTCAGGCAGAAATGGCAGCGATGGCCCGAGCAGGGTAGCAGCAGCAGTTATGGCGGAAATTGCAGCGGTGGAAGTCGATGACGGTTCCAGCTCTCTTGGAAGTATTACTTCCATCCACTCAGATCAAGATGATGACGAGGATAATGAGAATGAGGATGGAGATGAAAATGAAAGCGAAAATGAAAATCAGAAATCAAACGATCAGAAACCCAGTGGCAGCCGTAGCAATGACTTTAGCCATACCGAAGGAGAATCTGAAATTTGCGCACGGTGCTGGCAAAACCCTTCAACAAAGATTTTGTACAATACCCCCATCTGCCATGGCTGCTATCAGATTGCACAGGAGAAGAGGGTGAGGCTCCTGTGTTTCCTCTCCTGTGGTTCGTGTTGCCTAGTTCATACATTAACTGACAACATATGTCGTTTTCAAAACAAATAGCAAAATGCCAAAGGGACAAAGGTGAGAACAGATATAACATTCCATCAATCTCAGCTTCTTCTTCTTCCTCTTTATTTGCCTTAATCCTCCTCCTCTAACTCAACACAACCTCCGCCACAAAGCATGCAATATTTAATGAAGAAATACGCTGCTGAAATCTCTCCTAATTGCCAGAGACGCTTCCAACCGCCAACTCCCCACCTCCAGCCAGGCAAAAGGCTGACACGGGTTTGTGACTCGTGTCGGCAAAAAAGAAAGCGGTGCCAGCACCGCCGGGTGGTCGACGAAAATGACCGTGAGTATAATCATTTTCATATTCATCCATTCATCTTTTTCAGACATCATGTCAAGGCACGATCAAGGGTTTGCTGACTAAATGGGAATGTAGCGGAGGCTGACTTCCGCCGGAAACGGTCACAGAAGGAGCGTCTATCGGCTCCGACAAGAAATCGCGAGGGGAGGAGTACCAGCTCCTTCTCCCTGATCGAAGTCAAGGACACGGGTATGTACTTTGAATTTCCGTGCATATATCTTCCTGATATGCTCCCCGGACCTCTTTGATCTCTAACTATGTTGATATATATATAGTTGTTGTGTCAGAAACGGAGCAAGAGCCGGCGGTTACTCCCCGTACCGGCACCGGCACCGTCACCGCCAGTGGAGACACAACGACGGCTGCCGCAGCGCCTCATCCCGCAACAGCCGTGAATAATAAAGGCTATTCGACCACCAATCTGCGGCGGGCAATAGAGGAGTCTGTCCACGCCGTGTTCTCCCGGGAGATGGACCGGCTGGTACAGATGGCGGAGAGTAAGCTGGCAGACGCTGCCAGTGCTCTTGACGATGTCAAGGTGCACATGACGGCGTGGCTGGAGCATGCGAGGAAGGGTGTGTATATTTTCTGTATGAGATGGGCGGGGTGAATGTGTTTGGGAGAGAGCTAACATCGCCTTTTGTTTGTTTTAGACCGGGAGTAGGTTTAGTCTGGTTGGATGGTGCCTTTGGTTTTCACCTTCTCCCAGGTTTTGCTTGTTTGGTTTCGTGTGTTGTGTAGTGGTTTCGCGTTGGGTGAAATAGGGGGCAGAGGGAGTTTGGCAAACTTTGTATAGATTTTCAATTTTACAAAGGGTTTCCTTTCCCTCTACGTCTCCCGTTGCCACCAAAGATGTCTGAAACATCACGAGATTATGTGGATTAGCGTCATACTGGTCTCCCAGAGATGTGTGGTGGATGACAAGACACAACCAAGAAGCATTTCTCTCCACCAAGGGGTCGGTCGCCGGGGTTGATAAATGATGATGGTCGAAGGTTTCTAGGAACATATCGGACTTCTTAACAGAAGACTTGAGCCAAACCCGGACACCACCTTCATTATTGCTTGCCATATAGCAAAGTGTTCTCTCCGGATTTGATTTAACACATAAGGGTTACAGAATAGACTATTGATATTTCTCGGCTCGAAACCAACACGTTAGAAATAGAATTTCTTTCTATTTGAATAACGATCAGCAGAGCATCCTGGGGAATATCGTTTCAAGTGCAGATCGATGTCTTGCCTTGCATTTCTTGTGAAGGGACGCCCTGCAGATATAGTAGCCTTCAAATTGGTATGTAACTCAGTGCAGCCTACCTGACAGCCTATATTATCGCAGTCAAGACTTAAAATGTTTCAAAATAACCCCTTATGATGATGAGTTCGGGTTTGAACAACGACAGCAGAAAGTTGGACAGTCACCCAACTTCCAGTCAGATCAGTCGGTACCAACGTTCTGTACCTAGGTACCTATCTCATTCCCGCTTCGGGTAGAAGCCCTTGTACTCCTATCCCTGACACCAACCTAACCTGTCGTATTGGAAAAATTGAGGGATTAAGAATGCTTGTACCAGACAAATATTCTGACATATATGCAAGAGAAATATGGTTGTTGATCATCATTTGTACACTGCACAGCTTTCTATCGAAACTACCAGTAAGCAGTGTTAACCCCTTTTATTTATTTATGATTTCTTTCATCCAGCATCCCATGCACGTCTAGCTTTTGCCCCTTCTCCTGCTCCATCTTCCGCTGAACAAAAGGACCCAACTTATCTCGCTCCGCATTGCGGAGCAGATCCAACCGATCATCCAGATTCGTACCAGCCCCAAAATACATCTCATCTATGAAGTTCCAATATATATCATCAAACTAGATCCGCAACCAAATAAAACCAGGCGCCAATGAGTATAAGCTTCCAATAAAGCATGGCGAGAGTTATTGGTGCCATTTACTGATGCGCCATTTCCAATGTGGCTATGTCGATGCTGGGGTTCAGCATCAAAGGCCTCTTGTTCTCTGGTGATGACTCCCTCAAGATGGTCACACCGTAATTCACCGTCAATCATAATCCATGACAATATAAGGACAGGCAGCACATCATCCCTTCCCCCATATTTTAGGAATGGGAATTGCAGGCTAGCTGCCGGAGATGTACTTCATGACTGCCATCTCATCATTGATCTTTTCCCTGAGAAGAAAAGATCTCCGCCAACTCTGAGAATCGGACAATGTTGTCCTTTATCGAATTTCACGCGGACACACCGATTGTAGGAACCCCTGGAAACATCATGGGCCTCTATGACATATTCTGCTGCAAAGTCGCCTCACAGGCTTCATTGCAAGGGTTTCTGGAGCACATGTCTCCAAGCTCTCTTCCCCCAGATGAAGAAGAGGGTATCACTTTGGTTTGCAGGCTAAATCGTCGAAATCGAAGGTGATGAGAGCTTTTTGACAACGCAGGACAACGAATATGCTTGAGCGAGCGATTGACCGGTCTCACAAAGCTTCGAATGTAAATGCCTAAGATTAAGATAGTCAGTCGTTACGTTGATAACATGAAGATCTGTAGAAAGATTATACTTCTTGAGAGGATCAAGTTCTTCACTCTCATCCGCGTCTCTGCGCGCTCAGGTTTGAAAGGGCTCTTGGGAGTTCATGGCCTGACACCTCTATCAATAAAAGTGAAAATGGTATACTTTATATGAGAATCACTGTTTTATTGTGAAAATTTTGGACTTTTGCATAGAATTTCAGTGTGTTTTTCAGATTTGATAACATGAGCTATTTCATGAAAAAAAGGGCCTCAGTATAGCTATTATCTGAGGTTTGAAATCTTCATATTTCACCTCCATGTCCATATCTGATATGGTTTGGTGATGAAATTAAATATTTTGTAGAAGTATTTTTAATGTGCGTCCTCATTCGTACACAACGTACTTTTGATTGTTTTGGTGTTTTCATCGATTTGGTGTGGCGCGCCCATACAAGGTGTGGGTTTTAAAAGCAAGGGGAACCATTCGGACTTGTATTTCTCAGGCCATCCACTTATCCTGAAACCCAATACCCCGCTAAGCACATGGTGAAGTCGCTGGCAATTGTAGTAATAGCTGAACAACTAAATGAAATTGTGATATGTGTTGACTCGAATCTGAGGAGTTGTGTCTAGAAAATGATCTGAAAATTGAGCTATCGATCAAAAACTGTTCCTTGAACCAAACCCTGCTCGAACTGCCTAAATTTGCAACTGGTGGCTACCACTGGTTCTTAAATTTTGACATCATTGAACTGAGCACAGAGCACAAAGCGGGAAAAAAAGGGGGAATGCTTGTTAAACATTTCAATATCTGATATAAATATCAGGCATGTAATACGGAGGACTTCCCATGGCAGACTGCGAGGTTCAGAAGGATGATAATAACCAAGTTACAAAGCGGATATCCGCAGCTTAGGAATCATGCATTTTGAGCAGCGTGTGTCTTCTTCCTCCAGTTACTGAATCCAGGGTTGTTGTGGGATCTACTAATACTGTAACTATTCTACGAATGCCGTCATTTTTCGGCTTCGATTATTCCTTCCACGACCCTAGTCCTGGCTTCTTACGAGGCAGCACTAACAACCCTCCAGAGTTATTGACAAGACAGACAGGTATTGATAATAAGAGGATTGGGGGCACATAACTAGGTGAAGATGTGGGGTTCAACCTGGAATAACAAGCAAGGATCCCAGCTCTGCCTCCATGAGATCCCTGCGCTGACCAGGAAAAGGAGATTTTGAACACGAAGAAGCTGGAGAATCAAGGTCAACTTTCCCTTGTCAAGATGCCATCCCCGTCAAACGTGGTCGCGTCGGTCCCCATGCATCATCTATACGACTTCGTCATTGAAGGAGGGGTTAATGATGATACATAAAGCTGGGGCTGGTGTTTCGAAGAGTCGGGTTACAACCCTCTTTCGGTTTTTCTTTATTTCTGTATTCGTTTTGTAGAGAGAGGAGAAGAAAATGGATCTTAGTATTCCGAGTAAGTGCATGCATGGATCCGTTTGGTTTATGAAGACCGTCTTCAAGAAGCAAAAAATATAAAGTGAATTGAGTGGATCACTTACCACTTTTTTTTTTTCTCTTTTGATTATAGCGAGGATCCATTGAAAGATATTTTTTTCTGTTGATAGCTACTTTCCAAGGTTGATATTGAGGTTGTGAAGAAAAAAGATCCACTACGGAACATTCTTCGGTTGTCTCGCTTCCCTCCAAACCAGTTGTTTGCAAGATGAGATGAGGGGCACATGTCGTCTGCCTGTAGTATTATTGTTGTTATCAGTTACGATATGAAAGCAACTTACAACGAAACAGTATACATTCCTTGATATTGACTTTTGAATTTCGTGGAGAGGGGTCTGCGAGTGGTTCCCTGTTTCTTGAGCACCAAGCAGACGAAAAGGCAGTGCGAGATGAGGATCACGGAGAACGTAGAGGTGGAGAGGGGGAGGCGAATCGCGAGACGTCAAAAAAAAAAAAAAAAAAAAAAAACGTCAAAATATCCATGCTTCTCATACAGCCAAGATATTGTAGGATGATATCGGGATCCCCTTTCTACGCATTTTCAACGGCGCCATGCGCATCGTAAGTTAACTAATGAAGCAGTCAGACGGAGTCTTTGGTATTAGTCAGTGCAGGCCAAGTTGACAACGAAATCATCTGCACGGAGCCCTGGGGGTTGGTCTCTTTGCCTGTTCAATGTCTCCTTGTTTTATAGGGTCATCAAGGCCGTTTCGGATGATGATGCGTCTTGCGCTTGGGGGTTGTCGTGCACGCGCAGTGACGAGTCGAGTCAAAGTTTGATAAACTATCAGTCACGGAAGATTATGATGGTGGCAGCTAGATGGTTTACGACATGGATCCTTTATCCGCACCAAGTTGGCAGCGCGCGCACAGGAATAATACTTGTAAATTGATTGCAGGACTATGATCTGCGATCCACAGCAAAAGCAAAGATTGTCTACTTCGATTTTCCTGCCATGCACATACTTTTCCTTTTCCTGCAGGATTTTTTTTAAGGATGACCAGAATCATCAATCTTTGACGGGATAAACTGGTCTGGATGGCTGACTGAATCATCGAGGAGTGGGACTCCTTTCGTAGAGGCCCTGCGAATGGTCGGGGATCCCTCTGTTTCCCTTCACTCACCGCCTGAATTTTGAGACTGTTGTTATCTTCGTCATGATGCCTGCTTCAACAAACTTGGTTCATATTGCTGCAGAATTCTGCAGCACTAAGACGAAGATTGTTCAATCATGATGATGATGACGACGATGATGATGATGTCGCCTGTGTGTGGAGGATGTGTGAATGGATGAATGTTTATGTTTTTGGGCCGGAGCTTGTCTGTCTTGAGGATTCAATGGAATGTGTTATTACAGGGTGTATGAAATAGGTAGAAGAGGATTTTCGCAAACGGTATTTTTGTGCCATATATCTCCAATATATCCCGTGGTTGGACATTGCTGTTTGAGTATTGCCCCTTCAAATGTCCAAGTACCTTGATCCGTTGCCACGTTCCCAGTTGAGCTGAATGTAATTAACAAGTCCGCTGCAGAACAAAATAGAACATAATAAAACAAGTCAGTTTCTCAGCTTGTCAGAATTGAGTGTGTATCGTACTCGTCAGATGGAACAAGCTGGGACGAGAACTAAAATTACAACCCTTAGCCACAACTAATCCTCGACTCCTTTTGCTGGAAATCGCTGGTCGCTGCCACACACCGTTCTTCGCCCGCTCAATCCAGAACAGCAAGGAGTGTTGTAAACCCCAACCCCTTACCTGCAGCTTGCACCGGCTTTGCTATCCTATCTCCGGGGGACCCCTAACAGCGCTCTAACGCCAAACTAAGCCAGATAGCACCTCCTAGTCCTGTGCTGCTGGCCAGGACTAGGGTCCTCCGTGACAGGGTGTGGTATTGTCATGATTGCCCCGAAACGGCAAAACCTGGTGCAGTTGCCAGACGCTTAGCGGAGAGAGATACTGTACTGTACTGTCCTGTCCTGTTAATGACACCTCCAATACGGAGAGTACGTACCTTTCGTGCGCATGTGAAGTGACGGAAGGTTCGGTTAGAGACAGTACAACGCTGTACAGAACATCCGTACGGCTACCGGACACTTCGATTAGCACCACGCGGATCCTGTCATTTCTGCGGGAGACGGAGCGAGTGATAGCCACGGGGCCCGCCGACGCCTAGAGGTTATGGGGTGAAGGATGATGGGGGGAGGAAGAAGTGGGGGGGGGAGGGGGGAAGAGACAGTGGGGGGGGTCTGGGTCTGGAGCAGGCAGAAGGCCCCCAAGGGCTAGCGAGTGGAACCACTTGCATTGTTCGTATTGGGGAGTCTCGGCTTGGCCTGCTAATAATATTATTATTATGCGATTAATGCCCTGGCTGCAGTAGGCTGGATCGTCTAACCATCACCTGTTCATCCACCAGCATCCATTATTCATACCACTATCTCTCTCTCTCTCTCTCTCTCTCTCTCTCTCTCTCTCTCTCTCTCTCTCTCTCTCTCTCTCTCTCTCTCTCTCTCTCGTCCATCTCTTACATCCTCGTAACCTTCCACGAGTATTGCTACCACATTGCATACGGATACATAGCAGGTGGAAATCCTGCTCGTTTTATATCCATCACTCTGGGATCAGTCAACCTGCTCTATCCGTGACCTCTCAACCTCGACTTTGTTCGGCCCTTTTCCCTCATGTCCTCCAAGAGAAGAACCATATCTCTTGACTGAAAAGTCTGCATTGAAACCGCCTAATCCTCCCCTTTCTCCTCGTTGCTCATTCTTCTCAGACCGCCTTATGACCAAGAAATATCATCTATTTATATGTTTATATTATTTCCATGAGTTTATGAACCACGACTCCAGAACCCGATTATAGTCACTCTAGTTCGGCTTCTCTCTGTTGTATATCATCACAGTCGAATCATCATGGGTGGGCGTACGGATGAGGCGCTCCAATGCTTCACATACATCTCAGACAATGTTCCATTCTGGGTAGCTCGAGTCACTGATCTGGCCGCACACACAAAGGCAAAACATGCGGAATTCTCTGCTGAATACGCTAGGCTTACCTCCTCGAGTGATGGGGAAGCCCCCAAGCCTCGACGGAGAAAGAACAGCTCAATCCATACGATTCGGCTAGATAACGTGCAACCTTTAGTGGACTTTGTCCCATATACCGAGGAAAAGGAAAAGGAAACAGAAATTGAGAAGGACATGCAAAAAGAGAAAGGAAATAAGCAAAATACCAAGGAGGACTATATGGATCCAGTCACCCTATTGAAAATGTCTAAACACTACACGTTTGATGGAAACCAGCGGAAACGGAATTTCGACACCTCCAAATCCGTAGGTACCGACCGCATTGTCCGACCCCGCCACTTGGTCGTCGTCCACTATGATTCTGAAACGCAAACCTCCCTGGAAAAGCTGGTAAGGGACATAGGCGGCGCCCGGAACAACATTCGCAAGGGCCGCATGAGTCAGATGATGAAGACCGGATTCGGTCTGAAGTTTTACGATCCTGCCAAGGGAAAGTCTGGAATCAGTCGCAAATTCCTGGACCCGTCAATGAAATATTCGTCAATGCCGAGCAAGGAGTCCGCTTTCGATGTTGTGGATAAGCAATTGGAAATGGCACAGTCGCTGTGCGAATTGGCTGCACATCAATTCCTGCGATGTGGAGATTGTGAGATGGAGTTGGAGAAGACGAAGAGTCAGTTCTCGACTGTGCTAACACTGACTAAGGCGGAGATGGAGCGGTTGGAGAAGGAGACTGAGATGGATGAGGAAGATTCACTTGAGGAGGAAGCTGAGGAGAGCAGGCTGGAGGATACGATAGTGGCATCCACTCCGATGAACGCGGCGAAGGATGTAGAGAAACCATCTCCCGGCATCATTGCTACCATTGAAGTCGATGACGGCTCGTCCATATCCTCCGTTTCGATCGACATAACTGCCTTTCGGTCGAATCGGCGCGGAAAGTAACGTTTCTGGAAAGCTCTTCGATACGAACCGTTTATTCCGCGCACGTACAATATATACCTGGGTATTTACGACCTACCTATCTATATAATTGCCATTCCTTCGAAATTATCCTTCTTTCATTTTCAGGCATATATTCCTCCTCCTCCTCCACCACCACCACCACCACCACCACTACACACGCATCTACTTGATCCAAATATCTCACCAACCCTCTACTCGAACTGTGATATCCATTCCTTCGTTGCCTGTTTGCCCTTGCCCTTGCCACTGCAATGCGAAACCAAACGAAAGTAAAAATCATACTGGCAAAATCCCCTTCATATGTTATTGACATGTTGCCTCGCTCATTGTTTCAGATTTTCTTTGTCTAATGGGGATTTATATTTTTCGAAGGGTGGGAAACATGGGTACTGGCCAACCAGTTTTCTTGTCCTCGATGATAGTGTCCCTCTGTCCCCTCATTTTTTCTTTCTTTTTTCTTCTTCTTTTTTTTTTGAAACTGTTCCTCTTGGTCTGGATCTAGCATGGGAGGTTTTTTTTTTTTATTTTTTTTATATCTCATTGGCATGGCGTCTCTGTTTTTATTTATTTCTTGTTCATATTTATTGCAATATCTGCTCGCTGCTTTTCCTCTTTTCTTCATGAGGGTCATCGTCATCGTCAACGTTTTTCCCATCTCAACTCCTCTTCATTTCGCATCAGACCGAAGGAAGAGTAGATAAAGCACTAAATACCCACCATATCTACCAACCCCGTACACATAAAACCAAGGAACCCTACTTTTTCATGTTAAAGCCAGCAAGCGTTGTCTTCTACGGATTTTGTTTTTCTGAAGTCTACATATAACTTTCTTTTATCGTTTTCATACATATTCTTACATATATACAAACAGGGAACAAGTATTCGAGCATTATTCTTGGTTTTTATGTTTCATTCTATATCCATTCTCGCAACTCATTTCAACGTTTGTTTCCTCTTTTACTCTCCCATGCGCAAACTCGAAATCAGCCTCTGACAAGTTCCTGTCTTCCGTCATCGGGGAAAAACATAAACTTTCCTACCTTCTTGGGAATAATGAATGACGTTGTTTACCTTTGCCTCCTTTAACATGATTTATAACAAGCGAGGCTTTTAATACCATTGAACGAACAACCAGTAGCCGAAGAGGCCATGCTCTGTGCCACGTGAGAAAAAACGTCTCTGTTCGAGCACGAAATACATTGGTGTAAAATTTTTTAATTGGGAATGCGAAATAGTTAACGTTAGTCAACCCTGGATCCCCTGGATCCCTGAAGCTGCTGGAGACAATATATGTTGCGAATTTGGTGGTAACATTGTTCCGCTGATAGAGTTTTCTGGGGGATTTTTTTTTTTTTTTTTTTTTTTTTTTTTTTTTTGGGGGGGGGGTGGTTTGATAGCGCTGACGAAGGTCGTTGGTTTTGCCATTTTCGGCTTGGGTCTGTCTGCAGTGGCTTGAAACCTCTCGTTCAGTGGGAGGATAGTTGATTCGTTGTTGGATCCCTTGGAACGGAAACGATTTTGCTGAGAATAGTACGGAGCAGATGATGAAGAAGATGGAGTCCTGGAACAATCTCCTCGGTAAATCCAAGAAATTTATTAAAGTAAAATAAGATATTCCATTTGTTTACCCCCCTCTAATGAAGTCGAAACACACGAGAGAGTTCCCCTCTTGGGTTCGCACGGAGATGTACCAATGATTATTATCCCCGTAGGATTCGCTAATGATGATTTCTCCTCCATTTTGTGGTTTTTACCTTGTTCTCTGTATCAGCACCATTACTCCGATCAGCGCAAGCTTTAGGTAAGGGGTTGGGGTTTACACCCCCGCTGGCTCCCTTGCGGCCAGAAAGTTCTTTGACATCGGCCTCCATTGCTGGGCCCGTCAACATACTACGAAAACTAACATTGTGTCTAAAGCTGGACGTTCTGCAAGAGAGACAGGCTTGGATGAACAACTCATCAATGGAGCATACACAGCAGGGCTGAAACTTAGCGGCCATCATGAAATTTTGAATTTGATGGAAAGGATCTCACGCACAACTGAGGGGACTCTGCCTGATGATAGAAAGAAGAAAAAAAAAAAAAAAAAGACTTGTTTTATCTGCCAAACACGCGCGCCTCTTTTTAAACTCCGCAGCCAGGTGTCCATTAGATAGTTAACTTAACGTGCGAGTGCGGTAGCAAGAGATAATCCCGGCAAACCAGTCCAAGGTCTCCCTCCACCCACGGGTATCTGGTAGTTAAACTTTGGTTAATGGATGACGCTTCACGAGAGGGAGAGCAAGGCTTTGCGGTTTATCTTCAGCCAACCCCTGAGTGCATGACTGCATGTGTTGCTTCCCCGGGTGGCTCCAGATGTCTCCTTGATTTATTTCGTGGTTACCATGTGGTGATGATAGTTAAAATCATCCGCCAATCATCATCATTATTATTAGAAATCCCAATTCTTCTCCATCTGTCGTTAACACGATGCAAGGTTTCCATCATTTTTCTTTCTTTCTTTCTTTCTTTCTTTCTTTCGCAATGATCGCCATAAATTTGGATTTTGGAAACCTACTCGTCGATCTTCTCACCACACGCAGGACGGGACGGAGAGATTTGGCAGATCATGAAGTGATTGGGTTTATTGTTTCCGAAACCAATCCCTTCTTGGCTTGGGAAAAAGGAAACTTATCAAGATATTGTCCGATCGGGGAGCTCGCCGCTCGCGGGAGATATCCCATATATAATATCCCAGGGCAATACACGGAGCTGCAAAATGACTGCTATGTGTATGCAGCAACATATGCATGTAACTTGTACGAATTCAGCCCGATGCTGAATGGTGACAGTGTCACTGATAGACATTTAAATGTTGGGGCTTGGGACTTTGATAATCGAATCTCCCTACAAGATGCGTGTCATGAGGGGAATCACTCTGAAGAGGCTGATAACACAGAAGCAAATTTCTCATAAGCGGATTATCAGATCTTCCACGGATATCTCTCCGTTGATATCTGCCCGGCTGGCTGCGGGCGGAAAGCATAACGGGGTACAAACGAGGAGGAACCCTGACATCTGGTCCAGTTTGGCGCGGCGAAGAGTCAACGAGAGCGCGCTTTTCAATATCAAAACCGGCAGTCCGTGCTGAGTACTAATAGACTAAGTTGGGAGAATAAATTAAACAAGTGGTTTTCTGGAATATTTCATTCCCTTGTACGAAGAAATTCGTGAGGCTATCGTCATCTCTAATTGCATAGGTATGTATCCTTAAAATATGCGGAATAGCTGTGAAAAATAATATATCAATGTTATCATCCACCCCTTTTCCGGCTGACTCGGGATATGAGAGAATCTCGGGGTTTGCAACTTCCAAGGTCTGGACAGGGTAACTAACTAAGTAACTTATGTAATGAACGTGGCTTCAATTTCAATCTCTATCCTCAAAACTCCACTGTCCTGAATGATTACTCTGGATTCAAGAACAGATCGCAGCATTCTTCGAGCAGATGAGTACTGTGAGACTTTAATTCCCACTATGCTTTCCATTTCCATGTCCGATTCGGGTGGAATTTGGATATTTTTCTGGAGTTGATTCTGCAGATTGAGAGGTCTGAAATATAACAGTTAAACAGCCTCGATCCTTTTGACGCAAGAATGAACGAACCACTCAGAATGCCAAGGGGGCGGCGAATAAAGTATGCCAAATATTCAGCTACCAGTAAATAACAGCCACTCATCGCCTCGGGCCTGAAGAGGTATTACGCATACCTTACATACCGAGCCTGTATTATGTGGTATAATATATTTCCCCGCGCCTCAATGTCAAACCTTCGACACGTTTCATGGGTCCCAACCTCCCCGTCCGTAACTACCGGAAGGCCCCATCCACCCGCATTTAGCGTCGGGCAGAGCCAAATGGAAGCAGCAGCAGCAAGCAGCAGCAGCAGCAGCAGCAGCAGCAGCAGCGTGGAACGACAGTCACGAGGGTGCAACAACCTTGGAAAATTGAGTTAAGGTTAGAAATGGAGCAGTTGGTTGTTGACTGCTATAGTTTTGTAGGATATGTCTCGATTTGTTTATCTCATTTCGGATTAGGATCGCCTGCACCCACCCGTATTAATAATGCCTTCAGTACATGCTCTGAAAACAGTGGCTGAATTAGTTACCTTGTCAGATCTCTATTCTGCGCCTCTTCAGGCTGCCGCCCAATGTGCCATGTGTCTCCTGTGATCAGAACAGACCAGCAACAAGGCCCGCCCGCAACACCGTGATCTTCAGCCCTGCCAGGAACGTAGTTGTCGCTGCAGAGTGAGATCGCAGGTCTTTTTGCTGCTGCTTCTCATTCCTTATCCCTTTGAATTTTTCTTGTCGGGCAACTGTCCCGGCACAGAGAAGCCATTCATTGGAAGAGCATGAGAGCAATCGCTCAATCACGCAACCGGATATTCGCGCATGTTGCAAACACGAACATGAAATTTGGGTCAACCGGGTGGGTTATGCATGAATTGTCCTGCACATTTAATTTGATCTTTGCTTCCGTTCCCAAACCGGCAGCAGATCAATCTTCATCCCATGAGACGCGGACGGTGGGCTAGCAGGGATACGGGAAACAGTCTTGAGAAGCTGATATGCCCATCCAATTTCGTCGGTTTGACGAATTTTGGAGTTGACAATGCAGAAGAAGAAATTTTCATGGAGGCAGAGATCGCTCTCTGAAAGAACTGGAACTGTAGATATTCGCGGAAATGGAGGCTGTGGGTCACGTTGCTTCATATGGAAGTCTGTTATCCATAACCAGTTATTCCTGCCACGGGAGTTTTCAAGTGTGGAGAAGGAAGAAAGTGGTGGACACGATCCTTTTGGCTGCCATCCATGATCTCTTACAAACACTCGTGACTCGCAAAGGTAGCCATTCCGTGCCCAAGAGCCGTCTGCATACGCCCGCCATTGCCAGACTGACGACGCAATCTCACTGAGTTGGCCAGGCAGCGAGAGATTTCAGCGAGAGCTTTTGAGGTCGTGCTCTTCAGCACCCCTGAACGAATTGAAGTCAAGCTGGAGAGTAGTTATCTGATTACAGATGCCTCCCCTACCGAGCCTCGACAATAATGACGCCACGTATTCGGGGTTCTAGTCTCCCGCTGGGTTTCATCTGAATCGTCCATGACTTTCTAGCATCGGCAACTCAGCCAAGAACTTCCCTAGAAACATTGAACAGAACTTCTGGATTTGCGTTGCCATCACATGTGGTTTTGTTATCCTTTCCACCTCCCATGTTGTACCCTCAGTCGGGATTGGCATTAAAAGACCCTGGATATAGGATTCAATCGGCGGTGGTGTATCTCCAAGGCTTCTTCTCTGACTGGTTAAGACCCAAATGGAAATCCAGTCATCAAGCAATATCAATATCCCAGCTCCAATATACCACCATTTCCTTCGGGGACTTTGTCATCTCTTTCCATGATATTTGATTACTGGAACTCGTGGGGCTGATTATCTTTGCTTCAGGCCGAGATGATGATGTTTACCGACGCCAGCTAATTTGATATGCAAGCCCAATTGAGCTTTCACTACGCCATTCTCTATTATTAAGCTTGCATCTTATCCGGTGTATGTTCGGTATACATCGGGGATGCATCTCATTGACTTTGTCCTGGTCTTGTGCTCTTTCATGTCACATTTAAGTGCGTCACAACGACGGCCAAAATTATTGGAGGTGCATACACCTGCACAAAAGAACACACTGGGCCCGAAGTTGTGGCGGTAACTCTAAAGGGGACAGATCGCTGCATGGTCATGAAATGCGGCACAGTCGAGGCCTCTCAGGAAGCATATCATGATGGTTGTGCAGGCAACCTGAACATATGGTTCAAACAAAGCAATGTTCCGACTGGCCGAAGTTAAATATTAAAGGGTACGCGTATATCATTGATCGATGCTGCTCTTGTTCACCGCCTTCCATTTGTTTACTTCGCTCGCAATTGTGCTCAAGGCGATGTTTGCGGTTGCTATCATGCAATCCAAGATTGCCTAGCAATCAATGACCCCGTACAAGAATGATGCTACGGACTCGAATCGCTAGGTGAGAGGGGGCAACGTCATTGCCTCTTATAACCAATGCCTTAGCTGCAGATAAGTTTGCCATCAACTAAAGCACTGCAGAGAATCCCAGTTATACACATCCTGCGTTTTTCGTTAAGCAAAAGAGAATTCTCCAAGGCTTCCGCCAACCCTCCCAGCAGTTCAAGTATCGCCAGGGGGGGGGGGAGGGAATTTAACCTCAGTCCTGCTCGTATTCAAACAGCATTTGGAAAGTCTACCTATCCTCGTGCTATAGAGGATGAAGTCTCTAAAGTTTGGAGAATCCTGTAGAGAGTCTGGCGATTCATTAATTTAGGACTGAAACAGATCAGGTCAGATGTTATGACAACTGGCGGAAACGCCCACTCGAAACTTAACAAAGAAACGAGGGCAAAACCCTATCTTTCCCATCCAAATGTATGAGGAATTTTAATCAAGAACAAGTGAGCTGACAATGAAGTTGTACCTAGGTAGCGTTTGTTTCCTAGTCTATGGAAAAGGAGTCGCAAAACCATGCATTTTGCACTCCTCATTTTACTAATTCTTTCCTTTCTTCGTGTTCTACACCAATGATACCAGCAGAAGTTGTTCCTCCTCTTCAACCATAACAGAGACGGTCATAGGATTCTTCTCTTAACCTGTTCATGTCTCATGAAATGGAGCGTTGCATATGGACTCGCCTAATTATTTCCCATGTGATTGGCCTCCGTTCGGTTCGCAGGAATCGAGCATACAATCAACCTCAGCTCGCCTGTGGAGGAAATGTCCCCAATCATTCATGGAGTCTTTCCCCAAGCGTGCAGGATGCGTCAACGTGGTCAGAAATGGGTTGTCGCAAGGATGTGGGGCCATGGCATTTTGTGGGATTAGTAGCCTGATTCGAACGCGAACTCATTCTTCCTGTCTCGAAGACCCCATATGCCACGATTGTTTCCGTCTTCTTCATGACAAGACATATATATCCGGCCGAGATAGCCTAGATTGAAATGCTGTTTTACCCCTCCAAGAGCCAGCACTTTTTCGCTTGGACCGTGTAGATTCACTTGGCAATCGGCTTCCAGATATGAACAGCTCAACAGCTAGCCGTTGCTCCAACGGTGCAAACAACGCACAAGTATTAGGTTCAATCCCATAAATTTCATAGATGGTCAGGCATGTCTATCTGTCTACCTTCAAAAGTTGTCACAACATCTCGTCATATCAGCACATCAGCGCGCGCCAGTGATTGGATTTCAAATGTCTTTTCTGCATTGTCACAGAACCTTCAACGAACTTTTACCCATCGAATCTCCATGATCGCTGCTTACAATGACCATGGGCTACTGCAGCTTAAATAGGGTGATGGATAACGCCGCGCTTGTCCCAATCTTTCAATCCATCGAAGTCAAAGGTGCGAATAATACACTTTATGCATTACAGTACATGACCAGCGTGGAGAGAGAAAGATACAGGTGAAATGATGATTGTATTGAGATGTAATCAGACGGTCGTAACGGAGTTAGCTTTCCGCGGTTGAAGCGTAACTACTATTCCTTGCTGCGGAGTTCATGCATCATTGATATCTTACACCGACTGCATTTTCAGAACCTTTAGCCTTCAGTTCATCGAGTAGCACTAACCTCCACAAGACCAGACACGAGGCGAATTCGAATACACACAGACCACAGTGCAATATATTTCAAGGTTAACTTTCAACTCCTTTTGCAAAGTCGGCAGCGGAGATGGGGATGTTTGGTCGCATTTGTGGGATAATATTTCGCCGTCCTCCGCCTTAGCGCTCGTGGGGGGGGGGGGGGGGGGCTCAACGAGCTTCCACGCATATATGCAAATACCTGCCTAAGGTACCAAATGGTCGATCATCAAGTAAATCATTATAGCTAGTTAGGACTCAAAGAAGGAGGCAGAAGGTGAACGTGTTTGTAGATCACGAGACGATATTGTGGTCCCTCTGGCGGGTTGTTAAACTTTCATCCACGGAAAACCGCCAGGGATTGGACGATCTGCAGCGCGCCGCCGCCGTGAAGCCTCCATTTCGACATATTCTTTCTTTCGGTTCGTCCAACCTACGAAAGTTGAAGTCAGACCTTCGCCAAATTGAGCCAGATTTTGATGTCATTTAAAGGCATCCACCGATTGTGAATCAATAATAATTCCTTCTAGAGTGCCTTGTCTGCTTGAAAAAATGGGTTCTTTTCGCTATTTTGTTGCACGTCTCTCTCTTCTACGTTCCTGCAATTCTCGGGATTATTGGGTGCGAGTCATTGTTGACGCATGCGTGTTTCCGCTGGTCCTCGAAGGAAGCTAAGAAGCTTCGAAAAAGGGTTCTTCTGCTCCCTAAAGTTTTCTCACTGGCGCGGAGAGCGCGGTTCGATCGCTCTTCGTCGTGGCCAACACGGCCTCAAATTTGGGTGAACCAACTGTTATGTCCAGTCGGCTCTGAAATTGGACTTCTTCTCGTCAAATATTCCCCGGCCATGGCTACAACCCGGACGAATTGGATAACACTCCGTTTTCTTTGTTGCAATACTGAACTATTTATCACGCTGCACGGAATGTCTAGCTGAGATCCTTGTTGCTCTATGTATACTTCTCTGTTTGTTGCCTCTACTGTATCCTTTTTAATGTCAGATCGTCGATCTAGGGTACGTTCCACATATCTTGCTCGGCTCATCTTTTGGCACACAGTTAGTTCATGGAAGAGTAAAGACGCAAATGTTCTGTGGATGGGAAATAATTACTAATGCGAAGAAAGAAAGGAGGAATCACCAGTTAAAACTTTGAGTGAGACCTATTAATTCAATCTCTTGATTCAGAATGTTAATTTTGAATCCTTGGGCTATCCCAAGGCTCTCGTTTCAATCACGCCGCGTCGTCCACCAAAAAGCGCCCCTTACATAATAATATAGTGCTACTTTCATTCCGGTTCTGTGCCTAAGAAAATGACATTCGATGATACGGATTAGGTATGAGTTTGTTCAAAAGGAGTCGGCTGTCTTCCGCGCTTGCTGGACGCGTTTTTGCGGTTGGATCCAGAACGCATTTTTCTGCTATTCGGTTTGACGAATTCAGTTATCCACAAAAGAAGTTTACTCCAGTGAACTCCACAGCAAAAACTCACCCATTTCAATTGCATTTCTTTGAAACTGGCATCCAAAGCTGTTGTCTGTCCACTGGCTCTGGTTAAGCTCAGGCTGGCCACTCTTTCGTCGTAACGTATCACCCATCACCTTCCTTATTGCTACCGCCGGTTATATTTGCCAGCCCCTTTATCATTTCTGGAAGCCTGGAAGAATGCCCAAAGACACTTACAGATGGTGATCAGAAAGTCAGGGTTGTCTTCAACTCGAGAGTCTGCCAAGAGAGAACAACGACGTTGGAATGTCGGTAAAGAGAATGCTGAAAGGATGTCGTGGGATGTAAGCTGAAATGCGCAAATACCGAAAGATAGACGTATCTCGGTAACTGTGTTATTTTACACTCTCAGTGTCTCATCCTCATTTTGCTTTTTGAGGATGAACTCCTTTAGAGCTGCTTTGTTTGCTTTGCTGTTTCATAATATATATGTTGATGGCTAGCTTATTGATCAATGAAATTCTCAGAGTCAAAAGGAGCAAGTGAATGCCTGGCTCAGCTATTAGGCCTACAAACGCGCGTCTGGGGCATCAGTTCTTTTTTGAGTGTTTTGAGATGAAGCTTGAGATTCTGTCCCATTCTGCGAGTAGCAACATTGATGTTTCAGCATTGTCGTAGCTGATGCCTCTGAGGTACTACGAATCAATGGATTTATTTCATCCCCAATACTACGAGAAAATTCCCTCACAGAATTGCCCATATTGCTGACCCAATACTGATGAATCCAAGTAGGACGTAGTGAGGATGCTGGTTTGGTATCCAGCACTTCTCATACCCTTACAGGTCATATGGAGTCTCACTTCTTGGTCGGTTCAGGGGTAAACGGAAAGATTAAGAGACTGAAATCTCTTGATATTTGCTACCAACTCCAACAAAAGTGGAGTAATTGTTCTAGTCGACTTAGAGTAGTCTCCTCAATTCTTAATCAAAAAAAGTAAACCTAACAGGAAGCGATTGCAGTACAACAATTTGTTGCAAAGGAGGGGGGGGGGGGGGGGGGGGGGAACGTTAAAAGAAAGGGGAAAATAGCCCAAACTTCGACAAAACGTCTCAACCCCAGATTGGGGATAACAAAATCTATTCACCCTGAGCTGCTGCTAGCATCCCCCACTATGCCTCTTTGCTTTCGCAGAAGTTGAAAGGACACAAATTTGTTTCCCCCCTTTTTCAACGCAGATATCGGCAGCTATGGAATCATATAGACCTCCAGAAGGAACCCTCTCATGCTGGTTGATACACTCAGCTAAGTTGTAGCTCGTACATCCCGTGCAGACCTTCTATATGTCGGTCCCGGCTTAGGCCATTCTCCTGGACCAGCTGAAAAGTGATTCGACCCATGCTTTTCATGTTTACGCTTCATGAACTTTCATCGAGACATCCTGCAGAAATTCCGGCTTTTCGCGGCAGGGCAATTGGAACAGTGTTCCCCAAGCCCCCCCTGGCACATAGGCACGGTGATACAGTACCCATTCTCCCATTCCTACGTACAAGCGCAACAGTACATGCCATATTCAGGTGTTGCCATCCCGGGCGACCAAAACGGAGATGGAGTAGCAACCCCATTGTGTCCCATCCTCTGCCGGTGTCTCATGCTGGTTGCCGTCGCCTTGGTGCCTTAGAGATAACCGGACGCAGTAAATCGATAAGTAAACATAGACAACAAACCAGAAGAAACAAACTGCAATGAACATATGGATAATGAGAGGTAAAACATGAAACGGGATTGGTCATAAACAAGTTGAGATTGAACCACAAAAATACAACATCGGGGAATGCTTTTATATTATGCATCAAGGTAAGAGAGACTTCGTAATAGGGAGATTAAGCATAGGTACCTACGTATATAGGTAGTTAGCACCATTTTATCCCCATTTTAAAGGCAGGGCTCACCTCCTCGCTGTGGGGGGACAAACGCTGAAGGGAAATAGTTTCCATATATATATATTAGGTATATAATGTTGAAATGGTGGTATGGTCAGCGAAAGACCTATCTCGCCATGGAATCTTGTCAAGAGGAAAGTCCCAGCGTAGCCCGAAGTAAAGAGTGAGAGCCCAATGCTGGGTGGAACTGGTGATTGATATTAGAAAAGAAACCCTCTTTTCGTTGACTCCTGTTATTAAGCCTATCAATCAACTCCTATTTCCAAGTAGATCAGATACCATCTAATCACCTTATTTCTTCTGCCACCATTTCGATCTTTCCCTCTCGTGATGAAGGCTGAACATCTAGATGAATACGCCTTTTTCATCGGGAGAAGCCTGCAAAATGGGCGCTCATTCTTCACTTGTCGGGTCCAGATACCTGTCAAGGCAGCTGTGCTGGATAGTCTCAGTTATCTATACTGTCAAGCCTCTGGATAAGGTAAATAAAGTAAGGCGGGGAGTAGAGGGTGGTATCTCTCGCGTTCTTGTGATTTCTCGCCTCTACTATTCAATCAGCGGCATGGACCTTGTATTCTTCAAAGAAAACTCATTGGCCGGTCTTCTTTGCCACACTGCTCACCTGAACAAATACTCATAGGAGATGATATGAAGGATAGACGAAGTCAATGAGATCTTATACTTTCTATGTGCTTCTGGCCTCAACTTCAAATAATCCCCCAAATGTCAGACGGGATACATGTTTGATGGGCACAGGCAGTAAAGTAACTGTACCTGAGTTTCACTTGATCTCGCGTCTGACGATGACAGTTGCCATCGAGCGGTGAAGCATCACAGCATAACCTTGATTTAGCCCCTTTTCTTGACTCCGTAGTAAGTCAGTCAGTTAGATGCATACGTGATATAACAACCCCCCCCCCCCCCTCTTTTCTTAAAATAAACATACCGAATGCTCTCAGGCAAGTGAGGTAAATATCCCTAACAACTCTCCCCCCGCATATGGTGCCGCTGCCGTCTGTAAACATTTGGGCAATAATCACAGCATGTCTAATCAGCGGACATATTGCATAGCAGACAAGCTCCTCCACGTTAAGCACCTGCAAACCCACGGTCTGTGAGCAAAACCCCCCATCCACGAGCTCACCCACTTGTCCAACATCACGCCACGTCCACTCTTCGTGAGAGTCTCTCAGGGGCATCCCTTCTTCCAACTAATCTCTCCTTCTTTGCTCCGTACAATAGTATATCACGCTCCCTTCTCCTTTATTCTGCACGGTTGGGTCAGCCACTGTCTGTGCTGCTCAAAATATTCTGGCAGCTCATATCCACTTCCAGATGTCTTTCTGAAGGGGGTTCGGATATTTTTACCATATTGATCATCCCTAGAGACGGGGATGGATGCAAACTACGCTCCCTGTCTGACCCAGAACTCGAGACATTCCTACGAAGTGGATATTTCAGATGCAGTCATGACGCCTCCGCAATATGGGTATTCGTTTTGCAGCCAGGTGTGTCTTGTCTTGAAAATCCCACAAAATTAGACTTGAGAAGATAAATTAAAGAGAGATATTAACAACAATCGCTCTGGCAACAGAGACATGCAAGGAGAACGCGACTAGATTTAGATGTGGAGCCAATTGATTTTGAAATGTCTCTGGATATAGAGGAGCAGGTAGTTTTTCCACCAGTGGAGGGAGAATTTCATAGGTTTGGGTCCCCTTTGAGCAGGCAGATGTGTGCTAACTGCACCTGCGAGGAGGGAAAAACAGGCGGCTTTATCAGCCCAAAAAGAGAGAGATGAGAAAAGGATTAGAGGAGCTGGATACCACGTCTACGAGGTAGGGGCTCCCTGTATCTTGGGACAGATTGAATAAGACTAAGAAGAGGAAAGGAGCATAAAAAGAGATAGAAGACACATGCTAAAAAAGCAAGAAAATGGACAGAATAGTTCCCCGGGACGCGAGGGATGTCATGGGCCTTTTGTGAGCTTCTGCAACAGACATCAAGGCCCTCATCCGCAATCCAGAGCGTCAATGCCCCAAAACATGGACGAGGATGATGAAAGAGAGCCGGCCATCCGTGAGGAGGGACAAAACGAACAGAATCAAGACATATCAAGAATGGAAATGGGCGTTGGCTTGGAGGAAGGTGTGAGGATGGAGACGGACTCCAGGGGCTACGAGGCTGATGACGACGACGAACCATGCGAGCCGGTACACAGCTACACGCACATCCACACGGAAGACCGAATTCTAACATTGAGAATCCCGTACCTGGGGCCGGTGGGATGGACTGTCCCCGCCCGCAACGGAATACAGACCACCAGGTCATTTCTCATTTACCAGGATCCCACAGCTGGATACGCATCACCACCGATGCCGGCAGAGGCGGGGAAACACATCGACGAACATATCCATCTGCTAGCTAGCGACGACAAGGAGAACGTGGCTGATGACTTGGACGAGGAAGAAGATGAAGGGGAGATGATTGATCGGGATATATACGTGCAGGATAACATGGTGGCGGAGGCGGAGAGTATCGTTGCGCTTGCTGCCATGAATGATGGGTGGAATATAAGGTCGTTGCGGAATAGATTGCAGCATCTTGGGCATCTTGGGCAGGGGTACCATGGAGATTCCAGCAACGCCCAAACGAATGGTTTGGATCCTCAGCTGTACGGGTATGGTGATGATACAGGAGAAAGGTCCCAGCAGAACCCGGATCACCAGCACCAGCACCAGCAACAGGATGATCAGCCAGAGATAGAGATTAATGTCACTCCGGGTGGTTCGTTGGAAGCGAGTCCCGTACGGCCCCAACGGGCACATGCGCATTCGAACTCGATTGTCATGGTCAGTTCGTCACGTAGAGCTGGACGTTTGGACGAGGGCTTTGCAAGACCGCCATCAGGGTTTTTCTGAAGTGGATGGGCGGGCAGAGGCTTCTAAAGGAAGTAATTCCTGCTCCCTTTTTCTTCTGTCTTTTTTCACTTTTTTGGCGATGTAGAGGACCCTTTATCATTCACCATGTTGCATTCATATCCATACCACATATCTAATGGTAATAGAGGAAGGTGAGAATATTATGAGCATTTGATAATAGCAAGACAGGACAAGGCTTGACGAATCTAAAATAGAAAATAAATAAAAAGAAGCATCTGCCGTGGGCTCCAAAAGAGAAATTAATTAGTCAGGAAAAGTACCTGGCAGTTAAAGTATCTGAAATATTGATTCTACGTAAGATCATAAAGGAAATCCTCAACCGGTATTTCTCAACGCCATCAAGAGAGAACAGAAGTGCAGATTTGTACAAAGGCTGTTTGGTGGTGGCGACACGCTAATTAGGCTCCTAGTCAGCGCGGGAAACACATTCATGTTCGAGATGCAGCTCAAGGAACCATGTTACGCAACACAACCTCTCAGCAGTTCAAGTGTCGTCAATCCCACCTATCACAGAACAAGAACCGATGTTGGTTGGACCTTTTTCAGTTCACAGCATACCGCCTACGAGGTTCGATTCATGGACTTCCATTCTTGCTAACGCCATTTACTATATTCGTGGTACCCTTTTTACATAATTTTTTAAAAATGTCCATGTTCAACTGCAAAGACATTTATGAGCCGCAAAATCGAAAATCTTTAAGGCTGTAAGCAGAGAAAGTAGAGTGTGATTGGTGTTTTCGGATGAATAGGGGCAAAAGGGGTACGTAAAGCGAGATGCATATTCCGGGTATCTGCATGGATAGTATACTTTTGAACAAGGGGTTGGATGATTCATCTGAGGGTACGGATTTGATGCTCCAAAGGAGTAGACAGAAAGGACAAAAGAGAGAGAAACCGGTATTTTTATGTAGACAACGTTGAAGTAGCAGCAGGGATTCAGCCCCTCTCACAGAATAATATAGGAAGAACATTTCCCCTAATATAGGAAAAAGGGCAGAGAAAATACCCTTCCTGCTCAAGAATGTGGTCATCGTCGATCAAGAGCAAGCCAGCGAAAACCACACCAAGCAGCAAATAAAAGCCGAAAACTGAAATGTGAAGGGACCTAAGGTAAGGAAGGAAAAGAAAAGAAAAGAAAAGAAAAGAAAAGAAAAGAAAAGAAAAGAATAGAGACTAGAACTCAGCAAACGAAGGGTATATTGAAATCAACAGAAAAAGGGGGGCCACCGAATATCCGTCTCCCTGGACTCCCTTTTCCTGTCGACGATCGGGACGAAAATAAAAGGTATATAGCTATCTTGTCTTCATGACACCAATCCATCCATCACATTATGATTATTTTGTATTCTCAAGACATAACTCCTCGCCAGCATCACAGACCACCCCACCCACCAGCTCCTTTGAAATCGTTCTTCAACACTACCGCCTGCCATATCATCCATTACATTCACCCGATTTTCCTCACACCTCACCACAACGGAACGACAAAACCAAAATCAAGGCACAAAAGGAAGGGGGAAGAGGGGAAATCTTAATAATAAATCTTCTCCTCATATATAGGCGGCACCCCCTTGGCCTCATCCCACGAAATCTTATTATTCTCATCAATAGTCGCATCTTCATCTGTAATCGGAATCACCTTGGACGTATGCGCCACCTCCTGCCTGCTCACACCACCCGCATCACGCGGAATCCACAGGAGCGGCGGCTGCGCCCCGACGCAGGGCGGGTAATAGGCATTCTGCTCGACCTGGGGAGAATAGGAGATTTCTGCAAAGTCCTTCGGTACTAGCTTGCGCAGCGTTTCGTAGTTGCTGTATTTGTCGGGGCGGAAGAATTTGCCAATTATGCCCTGTGGTTTTGTCGGGATGAGATCTGTGGGGGAGGTGATTCCCTTTTCGGCATCGGTGCCCGGCTCTGCGCCGTTCTTTACGTCGTTGTTGGATGGGCCGGCGGTGGTCGATTTTTCGGTGGTACCATCACGCTCCGAGGCATCTTTTAGGAGCAGATCTTCCTCTTCTGATTCGAGATTGCGCGGGAGGTATTTGAGGAGTGGTGTTACGGCGGCGTTGAGTGAGATGTGGTAGATGAGGACGAAGACGAGGAAGATGACCATGAGGACTAAGGGGCCAAGAGCGGTTTTTTGGTTGCCAGCGTTGATGCCGAACAGACCAATTAGGCAGAGAATGAGCAGGTAGCAGCCTACTGTTGTCTGTTGCAGAGCACGTGGGTAGATCATGCCTTTTGTGTCGATGTTGCTGTTGGTGACGTAGAGCATGTTGTAGCGGTAAGCGGCGTAGAAAAGGAACAGGCCGATGGTTGCGAAGCCGAGGACCAGTGGAGCGATGGCGCTGTAAGTGATGGCTTTTGAGACGCCTAATTAGCATATAAAGCGAAAATGATAATTAAGGCATAGAATTACATACCGATCACGCAAAGATTGGTTAGGATCGGCAGGACGGTTCCCCAGCCGAGTCCGGACAGAGTTGACCAGCGCTTGTACATCTTTCGAGGCGTGTTATCGAACAACTTGCCCAAGATTTTCGAAACAATCAGACCAGAGATCTGGAGGAGGGCCCCCGCGCTGAATGTGAGACCCTGGAGAATGAAATATGCAATATAGAAGTTGGACGCTTTGGGGATTTTCTCTGCCAGCATCTGAGCTGCTTTCTGGGGTTCATTAATGATGTCGGCCACGGCGCTTGAAGCTGCAGAAGACAAGGTAGTAACGAGGAACACCTGCACAACCTGGAATGTGAAATAGAAGTTTTGAGTCCTGAGTTCCACCGCCGCTGTGGTTGGCACACCACCGATTTTTGCCATCACTGCAGTTGGAGAAGGAAATTAGTGAGTAGCTCGGACGTGAAATATCTGGCTGGGAAAACTAAACACTTACATCGAAGTATGATTGGCAAAAGAGCCATGAGAACCGCGAGAAGCACCGCGGGGAGGAGAGCAGTGATAAGACCCAAAATGACTGGGGGGCAATTCTTAATGAATCCGAGGAATTTGACCTTTTCTGTGAGGAAGTTGATGTTCGAGATGGTACCGACAACTGCAACAGGAATTGCCCAGAAGATGATGAGAGCCACGACGGCACCGATGGTGGCAGCATTTCTGATAATAAGCTCCCACCATTTGATCCTCAAATTGGACCAGATGATATCCGACGGATTGAGACCAATATATCTCGGAGCCATGTGTAAAGGCTGGTTATGAGCAACTGCAAAAGGATAATGTTAGCTAGCGACTTGAACCATTGCTACCCTATTTCAGATGTCGACAGCTACATACCCATCTGATATGCAGCCTGAGCATCCCTCTGCGTGTAGAATTCGACAAAAACGGCTGTAACTTTCTGAGCATCACCAGCACGATGCTTCTCCTGGAGAGCTACGATTTCCGGACTCAAGCGCTCAATCTCAGTCCTGGCCCAATTGATCGTATCGACCTTTTTACCAATAAGCGGTTTGAGTTTGTGGGAGGGTCTTTGTGAAGGTTTGATCCAGCGAGCAGCCACTGAGCCCGATTCCCCCTCAGCGTCATTTCCAGGAGCGAGATTATCTATGTCGTTGTTCTCCTCGTCAGCCGGTTTCCCCCTAAGAGCCTTAATGCGTGCGCTATTCGCCAGTTTAATGAGCTTCGTTTCAGCGCCCTCAAGACGGTACGCAGCCTTATCTCTGTCGTCGACCATATCCTCCAATTCTTTGGTTTTTGTTGGGATCCAAACATTCTTCACGTTATCGTTGCCATATATCCGTCGAATCTTTGCTTCGTCTAGGTATTCTTCCGGGACGGAGGTGAAAAGGACGGTTTTGGAAGAGATACGACCAGCATAGAGCGGGGAAAAGAAATATGCCTGGCGCAAGTTGATGAAGAACAGTAGCTCTCGTGTGATCATGAAGAAAACAAAAGCTATGAGGTATCTAATATCAGCAATTTGATGACTGACCATCTCGTCATCACCATGGATAATCATCGCTACGTCTTTCGATAAACAACACGCTGCGCCCAGAATAAGTAGACCTACAAACGAAGATCCATGCAATAAAAGTATGGGCATATAATTTATTTAGATTGTTCTGCACATTGCCAAAAGTGAGCAAGTCCAATTGCTTCAATCCGCCACCGCCAGTAGCATTGACGGGGAACAGGACTGGCCAGGTGATGAGACAGCCAACGAAGCAGATGGCAGTGGCAATCTTAATGTATCGGAGGAGGAGGTAGGCGTCAAGGGAGTGGTGCCGTAGCACGAATTCATCAGACAGTTTCGCCATGGATGTTATCCAGCCAAAGATTCCAGGGGATTGCTCTGGCGTACGCTCCTGTTCGCGCAGGGAGCCGATGTAGGTTCGGGGGGCATATTGGCGGCGTTGACTTCGACGCAGGAGGACGAAGAGCAGGACCATGGCCCCCGAAACGGCGAGGGTGGGAACCAAGGTCGACACAAGCCCGGAGAGGGAGTTGGAGGCATCCTTGGGATCCTCCGTATCCTAAGAGCGGGTGGGAATACCCTGCGTTAGAAAGCGATGCAACGACGGAGGAGAGAGTGCGAAACATCATAACTTGATACAGCGGGGGAATTGAAGGGCGTGCGCAGGCAGGAAGCATAAGCCTCAAAAGAACAAGCAGAAGCGAGAATATTAATTTACTAACCATGGCTGCTGATGTTGCTCTCAGCTCCACCTGTCACAGCTGCACAACAGAAGTGGATATTTGGCTGCTACCCGCAGCAAAGGCGACGAAGGGGGAGAGCAAGTAACAGAATCTGCTGATGCCCCTCGTATGAAGCGATGATTAAAATGGGAGAGAATTTGCAAAAGAGGGGAACAGAGAGCAATAAGTACACACAAACCAAAGAGTAGTTAGAAAAAAAAAAAAAAGAAAAGAAAAGAAAAGAAAAGAAAAGAAAGGCAGGGTAATAAAAAAGTGCGAACGAGCGTGGGTGAAATAATACAAGCAAGATTCCAAGTGACACCAGATTAAATTTTGTGGGACTCCTCGGGGAAGACCAGCAAGGGCCCCGTTGGACTGGAACAGCAAAACAAGATTCCAAGGAGTATCCCAGAACAGCACCCTTTTGGCTTGGGAGTGATGCAGCAAGGCCCAGAAAGGGGCGTGAAAGCCACGGATCGATTGACAGCTGTTGTTCTCTCTAACTTTGAAGCTGCATAGCTGAGGTTTAACTTGTTGTTCGCCTGTTCTCGCCACCGCGCAGAAGCGACTCGTGAGAAAAGAAAAGAATACTCAAGGCACAAGCAATAGAGTGCGTCAAGTCCATCTGAATGGATAATGTGCGATTGGACATTGAACCAACTCCCCAATGGAGCTTCTTGTTTCCTTCTTATTATGTTTACGATCATCCAAACTCAACCCCAGTGCTGACCCCTTCTGGAGGCGATTCATACAGGGCAACCAACCCGCTGGACGATCTCAACATCTCGATCTCCACAAGCCGCAATTGGAGAAGAGCTAGAGAATTGAGAAGAGGACAACTACTAAACTTCCTCCTCCGCCATTCCTTAACCAAATCTCGCTAGCACTGGTTATTCATTTGGCACAGCACTTAAAAATTGACTCTTCTGAAGAGGACGCGCTGCATATCTCCATCGCCCTTGGAGTTCCCAAGGAACTGAATAACAAGCAGCTAGCAGGGAGACGTGGCCAGTTTCACGCTGAAGCATCCCAGTGCGCCAGGCTATCAGATGCGAATTGAATTTGCCAGTGAGGATCTCAGATCTTGCTGTGGCTGGAACCACCGCATGCAATAGGCCAGTTGGGAGCAAGACAACGGTCGCCAGTTCGTCCCTGTAGCCAAAGGATTGACTACCATCGACTATCAGTTTTAGGCTTTCGAGCTTAATTGGGCTGGTTTCAAGATGGACATTTCGGTTCCCTCTTCCTGTGAGTGGATTGATTAAAGTTGGACCTTTGAGGAGTATCAGTTCTTACACTTAACGTCCAACTCAAACTTTTACAAGATTATTACCATTTGAATGTTCTGTTCACTTAAAATAAATATCGTTTAAAGAAGATAATAGTTGAAAATAAAGTTCTTCACTGTTAGATACAACTGACTTTTCAGCTAAGCATCCAGTTTCCAATTTTCTTGATTGCAAATTGACTCTAGACACTTTGTCATCTCATATAAAGCAGTTTAGTTTCCCAAGGTTGAAACTAGTGAAGAGAAAAAGAGCATTGGACAGATGAATCCACTCATCATAGTCCTCAGCCACAATGCAGTCAGCAGAGCTTCATGTGAATCTTTGTCAGTCATATCACATCTGCACAAGCCCAGGTTCTAAGCCACAGGCACAGAAATATCTGATGCCATTGGTATGCTTAACAAAATTCATGATGATAGCTAACTAACCAACTAGTTGCAGCAAAGTAATTGATCACAGGGTCTGTGAGAAAGTCAAAGGCAATCAAGTCAGTCAAAAGTAAATTAAGAGAGAAAAGAAGGGAATTTAAACAACGTAATTTGGCTGTTTTGTATTTTTGTTTTTATTCTTATTTATATTTTTAATTAATTGCATGCAAGTTTATGGAGGAATGCCTCTGGTCCTCCGGAACACAGGACGCTGACTACGGCATCTGAGAACCATTAGACATCGACATCGGGCACGGGTTGATTTACTCTGAGCGGTCAATCATGTCAAACCGCGGTTGGTTATACTCGAGAGCTTATCCCACAATAGTTAGTTTGACATGGCATAGAGCTATGATTATAGACAGGCTAAACAGGGGGTTAGGGATACTTGGAAAGGTAAAATCGACTCTGGGGTAAGCTAACTGAGCGGGAAGCTCGTTGAGGTCATGTCATGACTGATTTAATCCGGAGCTCAACAAGAACGGGGTTGATGAAGAAGTTGTGGGTAGAAACTTTTCAAGTCCCTCCCTACTACACTTATTCAAATACTGTCAAATTGGTCCACTGTTACCATACACTTAGGTGTACATTTATGTTTCCTCTCCACAGCATATCGTCTCACTTCCAGGGTCGAGGTGACATAAGAGGATCTACGACAGAACATCCCCGGGGTTGGGCCCCCTTTCTTGTCTGCGCATGTGTACCTGTGTTCACCGTGAAAGCAGGTAGGGAGAAGGAAAGTCCCGGGAAGGAGGTTCTGAGGGTTGCACCCACCGAGTAACTGCACGGAGGTTTCACCGCAGAACGTCTGTAACTGACAACGCATAGCACACCCAATGATGTTAAGTGTCGAGATGGAGAATGGCAGTTTGGAAATGCCTTTCTGACTTGTAATTGATACGTGGGAGACACTGGAGGCATTTTTGCACGAGCGCCGTGTTGATTTTCTGCGGAGAGCAGTGGGTGGTGTAGGAGTGCATTCGGGCGAATGGGCATGAGCTGGGTATTCTATTAATAGCATTCCCAAGGAAGCAGCAGGCCCGTGGAATATTTTGGGTGTAATAATTGGGGAAACTGTGCGACTCTGAGTGGGAAAAGCGGATAGAACTCTTAAATTTGCTAGACTTTTTGTGCTGACATCGTTATGTACATTGAGGGAGTAGGAAGATGTGCTTTTTGTTCATTGTCGGCTGAATATCATTCATCGCATACATTGAGGGAGTAGGAAGATGTGCTTTTTTGTTCATTGTCGGCTGAATATCATTCATCGCATTAGAATGGATACACTGCCTAAACATATCCACTGAGATAAGGCTTTTGGGAGATGCGGATTTGACTGCTAGTAGGGAAGTTGGTGTCAAAGGGAGTGTTCCACACCCCTGCAAATTTGGACGTAGGTCCTCTCATAGATAGGATGTCGTCTTCAGTATGCACTGTTCGTAAGAACTGCGCTTCCCAGGAGTAAAGAGGCGGTCCGTTCAGGAGCGAATTTTGCTTGTTGTCGTCGGACCGATTTGAAAAAAAGATATTCGTGATCGTATTTCGAGATTGTCTTATGTGTGGGTAGCGACAATATCAGCTCTGGTGCTCTTGAGCGGTTTAGCGAGAGAAATGTTATAGTTATTGATTCAGACGGGCTAAGAGTTTTTAAGTGTTGTACCAGAAGAAGCTCGAAACGTTGGTGCTAGATATCAACGTTCAACAACACGAGATGCAACAATAGAAGATGAAGCCGTTTTATTCCACGGGTTGCACACGGTATTCGGGTTCCACCAGCTGGAGAACATGGGTTTTAAACTTTTCCACAGTGATATTAAAATCCGGAGGCCTGAGCATGAGGAATGAAAATAGTAACTCAAGAGAATCGGAACTGCAGTGATGGAGGGATCTATGTGAAACTATCCATCATATATCACCGACAAACCAAGCTCGATCCGGATTTCTTAGGTCGAAATCACACCTGTCCTCCAGTAATAACCACGAAAATGATTCGATAGGGAAATCGCGTTCGATATCGTATTCGAGCACATTTGTGACCATGTGGTCGAGATACCGTATGCACTTATCGGCGGACTCCCGTTGATCCCAAAGCGCCTTACTAGGGTATACCAAAGAGGATGCTCGGCATAAAGTAGAAAGCTCATATTTCAGGACTCCTACTCGTTTGTTTTCAGGAACTTGGATGGGATGTGGTCCTGGAGATAGGATCAGGATCAGATGCAGAGAAGTCATATATTCAGATGCGGATGTTCGCTGGGGGGTCATGGATAGAAATTCAGGTTAACTTTGACAAGAGGCCAAAGAATTTGCGTTTTCAAGAAACGGGAGCAGCTGCAGATGCATAATGCGTATAGGTATCACGTAAGAGCCTCTTCTATCTTCGTCGACTCAAGCTCTGCAGTGCGGCATCCAAGTACTTGATGGATTTGCATTTGTTCCCGTATCTGGCCTCTTGTACAGATAGAGCAGTGAACGCCATCGTCGAAGCACCATCCCCTTGGTATTGACTATTTCCCGGGTACGCGTTGAGCATGTTCTCAGCAGGGGAGACGTACGAAGAACTTTGAATGTTATTCTTAGTTGACACGCTAGCTAGATAGCGAGCGGTGTACGTAAATACACAAACGTGAAAAGTCATGGTGTGCATCATAGCTTCTTTGTACACAGATTGCTTCATAAAATGGTTCTTTCCTGGCCATGGGGTTAACTTTGAGATCCAGCAATCCACTAGTTGCTGCGATTCATCATTTGGCGGCGAGGGCAGCGCATCAAACGGATCTGGCCTGGTTTCACCAAGAGCTATCTGTGGAGACAAGGATCTAACTGCATAGGAAGGTTCTTGATGTGACTCAGAGGTTAGGGTCCTTGATTGTGGTTGTTCAAGCGGCGGGCTCTAGAATCTAGATGTTAATATAGACGTTGGAGAGACTCCCTTCATACCAGAGCAATGATAGAAAAAAATTGAAAGTAAAAAGACAATTTTAAGGAACAGATTGTTCAATTATAGCCGGCCGCATACTCCAGACCGTATATGTGCTTGCGAACTTGAGGAATAAGCATCAGAAAGCTCGTTTCCTGATGCATTCTCATCCGATTTCTTCGTCCATGCGAAAAATCGAGGCTGGCGGTAGCACTGACTGGAGACAACACCTAATAGGGCTGAGCTTTTTGCTTTTTTTGGTTTTTGATGTAGTTATTGTTCAACCACATGTGAACGCTTTCCTTTGTTCGATGAGGTCTCATCTACAGGGAAAAACTTCCGACTTTGGGATGGAATAACGCCACTAGCGGAAGAGTATAAAACGCTTAGTGGGAATTACATCCAGATCAACAGAGCAAAGCAGTTTTGATTGGGAAGTTCACTGGTGATAAGACTCTTGAGATTGGGCTTTGGCTTTTTCAGATTTCGGGACGGGTCCCCAAGCAGAGTTCTCTAAATGACTGCACTCTAATCGTGACCCAAACCCTGAGAATTCTTGGCCACGGCATGGTGAAGAATATCAGCATTTGAGATGCATCTTGTGTTGGTCCCTTGAGTCCTATGTCGTAGCTCGATACGAGCCGAAGGACCCACAATTTCAACCCCGAGAGTCCAAGTCATCGTCGACTCATAAGTGCTGAAATATGAGAACATCCATTCCGTCAACGTCTCAACTTCTCGGGCTTAAATATTAACGGTCTCGAGGCGGCTGAAAATGAAGGGAGCAGTCTTTGCCTCCATTAATAGATTTAAATGGACGTTTCAAGCAGGGAACGAAGTTTCAGGAAACAAGAACCGCTGCTTAAATGCTGCGAATATCTTGGCTTTCTTGAAGCCATCTGGTATATTTTCTCCTTTTAAATCAGTCTAAATCTTCATTTCATTTTTCTTCTTTCACCTTTTTATTTATTTATTTATTTTCATTTTTCATTTTTATTTTTAACTTGCACATTTCAAACTCACTTCTGCAACCGCAGTCGCAACAGTTAAAACTACAAGCTATGTGATAAATACAAAACTCCTCCGAAAGCCAACCAAGGCATGTTCCCCCTTTATCAAGTCTGACTCATTGATGATGTGCAACACAAATAAAATAGGCAATGACCCGTATCTATCGATATTCGGTATTCCGCCTTCTCAAAGAAAGCGGCATATCATGTTTTCACTGGCCCAAAAATGCTGTACCATTCCATGGTGAACCCATGGATGTCAGTGACATAAACTCATAAAACATGGTCGTGGATGATGTTCAGAAAGCGGAAAGACGCATCTGTCGAAGAAAAAGGCTGACAATCTCCCACTTCCTGACTTTGAAGCGCATTATGCCCACATCAATGTCAAACTGCAATGGACGAGAGTGGGGCCCTTTGATTCTATAGCCGCGCTCCCTGCTATCTCTGACTGGAAGGATACGATGGTTATTAGACAGTGGCGCACCAACTATACAATTTTGATGTCATTCAAGGATTTCCCGGTAACTTTTATGATTCGTTTTCTATTCGCAGACAGCGTGACACTCCTCCATATTTCAGAGGGAGAATGGATTTCGCGAGAGCTCATTTAGACAACAAGGAATTCTCAAGATGCCAGTACCAGCATACTTTATGTGACATCAATTAGCCTTCGATGGAATGACGGGCGATTTGTACGTCTGGGTGCGGAGCCGCGGTTTGCCGATTGTATGTATAATTGAGCCTTACTAACTATTTGTTAACTAGTTAGTTAGTTTGTTAGTTAGCGTTAGTTAAATGTTTAAATAGCATGACTAAGCAGAGACACGAAAACCACTTTACGCGTGATTCCCGGGCCGTAGTAATTCCGTGACGCGAATGCTGCCCTTTGACGCGTTTTCTCTTCCAACAACCACTTTTTTGTTCGGGTCAAACAACAACCCAATTGCTCCCACTCATTCTATTCCACCAATTTGCTTAAGGCCCGGGAATTCTAAATTTTGGCTAGGGTCAGATCCCGCGCTGTGCTACTGTTTCTAAGCTTTCTATTCTAGGAGCAGATCTCCAGTGTTATCATGTCTAGCTTATTTGACGCTATCCTCCAGTCTGAACTGGGCTCCAATACTGGAGCCAGAGAAAGGTCATTCCCATCCTCAGACCACCCCCCAAGTTCTCGACCTCACGCACCGTCAGAGAGCAATGGCCTTATGAGCGAGGCTGAAGGGTTTGCCGATGATCAAGTGGTTGGCCCTGGAGGTTCATTACCCAGACGCCCAAGACATCCGCTCTACGGAAGAGGTCCCCCACCTGTCCAAGACCTTGCTGGTGAAAAGGTGCAGCAGGCTTTCGAAGAGCTATTGGAAACACATGTTGAAGAGCCCTCACTCTCTGGCGTACCCCCGTCATCCGAAATACTTAGCGATAAATACTATATTGCCCAAATCCACGGTTTACAGCGATACCAACTTTCGACTCTCTACGTTGATTTTACCCACTTGACTTCCCTCCCGAACCGGGTTCTGGCGGAAGCCATTGCCAATCAGTATTACCGATTCCAGCCCTACCTGACTAGAGCTCTTCACAACCTCATTGCGAAATATGAGCCTCAATATTTCAGAGAACACAGGCAGATTAACAGCACGTCGTCCCAAGCCAGCACCTCAGCCTTAGCGGTCGACAGCACCGAACCTGACTCACTGGCGGAAAAGACAAGACATCAACAAACGGATAAAGTGTTTTCATTGGCATTTTATAACCTACCATTGGTGTCGAGACTGCGACAACTCCGAACTGACCAGATAGGCAAATTGTTGTCAATATCTGGAACGGTAACTCGAACTTCTGAAGTGCGTCCCGAACTTGCCCTAGGTACTTTTATTTGCGAAAATTGTAGCACTGCCGTTGAGGAAGTCGAGCAAACATTCAAATATACCGAACCGTCGCAATGTCCGAATCCAACTTGTGGGAACCGCATCGGTTGGCGGTTGGATATCCGTCAGAGCACGTTTGTCGATTGGCAGAAAGTGAAATTGCAGGAATCATCCCATGAAATCCCAACTGGCAGCATGCCACGTACCATGGATATTATCTTACGAGGAGAGATGGTTGACCGAGCTAAGGCAGGAGAGAGGTGTATATTCACTGGCACACTCATTGCCGTACCGGACGTTAGCCAGCTTGGTCTCCCTGGAGTCCGACCAGAAGCAACTCGAGACAATGGGGACTTTCGCGGTAACGATGTTGGCGGAAGTGGTGTGAGTGGCTTGAAATCACTGGGAGTTCGAGACCTTACATACCGTCTCGCATTCCTTGCCTGCATGGTAACTCCCGATCTTACCACGCCCGGCCACCCAACCTCCCAGCAATTGAATGGCCAGTCGCAAAACATTCTTGCATCCTTGAACCAAACCGACCAGCTAGAGGACTACGAAGATCAGGCGCAAGACCGTCTTCTCCAAACACTTACGCCCTACGAAGTACAAGATCTTAAGCAATTGGTGCATTCCGAATACATATATTCTAGGCTAGTGGACTCGATTGCTCCCATGATTTATGGCCATCGAGCTATTAAAAAGGGGTTACTACTGCAACTAATAGGAGGAGTGTCGAAGATAACGGAACAGGAAAGCATGAAAATCCGTGGAGATATCAACATATGCATCGTTGGAGACCCATCCACGAGTAAAAGTCAATTTTTGAAGTGAGTCACCTGAAGTATTCCCTACCAACTGTGCTGTTCTAACATTCTAAAAGGTATATCTGTTCACTCAATCCTCGAGCCGTCTACACTAGCGGAAAAGCTTCCTCTGCCGCCGGCTTAACTGCTTCAGTCGTCAAAGACCCGGAAACTGGTGAATTTACGATAGAAGCTGGAGCTTTGATGCTTGCAGTGAGTTTCTAAGCCTTTTTCCGAAGTATCTCTGGTGGATTCTAACCCATGTTTTCTTTTCTTTTATATATAGAATGGTGGAGGCATTTGCGCCATCGATGAGTTTGACAAGATGGATATTAGTGACCAAGTCGCGATCCACGAAGCAATGGAACAGCAAACCATCTCCATTGCCAAAGCCGGTATTCATACCACGCTTAATGCGCGCGCCAGTATTCTTGCTGCTGCAAACCCTGTTGGTGGACGATATAACCCCAAAACCACTCTGCGGGCAAATCTTAACTTCAGCGCCCCCATCATGAGTCGCTTTGATCTCTTCTTTGTCATCCGGGATGAACCAAACGAAGCTGTGGATAGAAATCTTGCAGAACACATTGTCAATGTTCACATGAATCGCGACGCTGCGATAGAGCCTGATCTCACTACCGAGCAGCTGCAGCGGTATATCAGATTTGCTCGAACTTTCCATCCTGTATTCACTCCAGAAGCTAAGGCATTGCTTGTGGAGAAATACAAGGAACTGCGTGCAAATGATGCACAAGGCGGATTGGGAAGGAGTAGTTATCGAATTACAGTCAGACAATTGGAAAGCTTGATCCGGTTGTCCGAGGCCGTCGCAAAGGCTAACTGTGTGGAAGAAATCGTTCCTAACTTTGTCCGCGAAGCGTATGACCTCCTTCGACAGAGCATCGTAACAGTTGAGAAAGATGACGTGGAAGTCGACGATGAAGCCGATAACCAAGAAGATGGAGCTCAACATGACAGAGATGGGGATAGTCCAATGCGTACAGGCGACGACGATGATTATGTCAATGGCCCTGGGGCCACTTCTCAGCAGCCCCAAACCCAGAAGACCAAGATTACATACGACAAATATATGCGGATTCTTAATATTCTTGTCCGTAGAGTAAACGACGATGAGGCCAATGCGGGAGAAGGTGTCGAGCAGGAGGACCTGATAGTCTGGTATCTAGAGCAAATTGAATCTGAGCTGAATAGCGAAGAGGAGATGGAGGCTGAGAGGGCCTTGGCCGTTAAAGTTCTCAAGAGGATGGTTAAGGTCAGTTTGCCTTTCTGCACCCCTGCAAATCGATTCCAACACATCCCTCTCCTTTTGAAGGTTTTAAAAGCCCGAAAAACTAACATTGGAAATTTTTAATTCATCTAGGATAATATTCTCATGGTCATTCGAGGTGAGGGGCTTGTCGAGTCCGATGACCAACAACGACAAGATGAACAAAGGGTCGTATACGTGTTACACCCTAACTGTGCGATTGAGGAGATGTAATACCCAATATTAGACTCGTTCTTCCTTTCCAAGGATCAAGTCCGACAAACTCGTGCAGCATTCATTACTTCCTATGTATGAGCTTTGATGATTGATATGAGAAAGCATGTCTGGGCTAGGGCAGTTCGCGGTTGGGGTTGGGGGCGTATTATGGGGCTCATTTTACAGATTGCGTATCGGCGAAGTTTTAATTGATATTTTTATTTTCTTAAATGTCTTCCCTTCTCTTTTATTCATCTCAAGTTTTGATCCAGTTCTCAAGATTGTGGGTGTTCAGTTTTGTTGAGGTTAATACCCATGGCTGTTGAAAAACGGATGCGGTGTCTGTTAGTATAGTTGACTCCCTGCTTGTTCAAATACAGGCTGTGCTGACGTCCAGCAGGGAACACAGGTATAACGTAGTGAGCTTAGAAACGAAATTGATTGAAATGATTTTGAATGTCTACCGCATGCCCTACCCTCTTGGCTAGCTAACCTTAATAAAAAGTGACGGAGGTTCCCCACTGCCGCCGTCCAGCAAGTGGACATCCAACACGAGCAAGCATCATTTTCCCTTTCCGCGAAAATAACTAAAAAGAAACAGAAGGGAAAGAAATTGTTTAAAGCAGAGTGATGAAAGAGGGACAAAAAACCAAATAATAAAATGAGAAGCCAGACCAAAGTCCGGGTCAGGGTCAGACTCACCCTTTAACTTGGAAGAGGTTCTCGGCATCTTGTTGAAATGTTGGTGTAAAGCACAGCCCTGTCTCAACCCAGATAACATCAGAAAACTTAATTAACGGAAAACTCACGGGGAATAATAGGAATATCCAGAGAAAATAGCACGCTTGCCTCTGCCTAGGATAGCATTCGTATGCCCCTATTGGCTCCCAAGAAAAGAAAGAAGAGGCTAAAGAAACTATTTATTCAGCATGCTCGAAACCGTGTCTGGAATTCTTATGAATATCAGAGCCCGACGAAACGGGACCGTTGCGACAAGCAGCAGTCGAAATACAAGCACTCCAGTTGACTCGGCATAACTTTAGCCATGTCTCAGTCACTCTAAGGGGCGTCAGAGATCTCGGAATAGTTACTTGTTTCTGAAGACTCGGTGCCTTCGACAACCTTCAGTTTTGTTTTGTGTGTAATGTTCTGTGCACACCTGATGCTCAATGGCTTCATTCCACCACAGATCGACCAATATGCATTTGTTTGTTGGAGTGAGGTAAAGCCCAGTTCCCCCAGTCCTGAGGGTGCTAATCAAAATGCGGACCATTGTGTCACCAGAGAGTTTCTCTTTGTCCTGTTCTCGCCTGCTGATGGAAAATTTTGCCAGTGTACTTCAACGGCCCAGGGTCAGTGACTAAACACAGGCGCGGATTGAAAAACGAGAGAGCTTGATACAGCTCACAATCACGTAGCCCCTGAGGGTTTTCGTCACACATGACGCTGGCAATATCAGCTATTTCAAGAAATTGAGTGAATATCATCTGCTTTCGTTCCGGGGGGAGCGCGGGTTTCTCGAACCAGCCCATCAGAGATGAGTTAATTGCCGATAAATTTGTTCCCGGCATGCACGGCCGGCATATATTTCACCCAGTTCAGATCTGTCACCCCCTTGTTCTCTGCCCTTTGCTGGCCTTTTGGGAGGAATGACTGATTCAAGCGAATCACCAGAGGCAATTTGGTCTCCTGTGGCGCTGCAGTCACAAACTGATCCAGACTCAAGCATTGCTTCCCTGGCGCAATCATCGCACTAATTCTGAAGACACACATTTGAAACGGGTTTTCCTGTTCCGAGCTTCTATGGGCAATTTGAACATTCACGATGAAATCCTTGATCAACGTTTGCGACCCAATATTTCGACCTTTCGGGGCTTGATTTCTACGAGCTGATATCACTTCTTGCTCCCCCTTCCCATTTTTGTTGCTCCAACGACGACGTGTTCTAGCAAATCACAAATCCTCGCATCCACTGTCCCGGATTCTTTCGCTAATACTAGATCGGAGCGACTGTACTTGGCAATTGGTTAAAACTTCGCAGCAACGTCGGCATTCCGGGGAGTGATCCTCGACAACTGTTCTTGGGATGCCACTTTTGCAGCTGCTGCCTAAATCGACCCATCCTATGTTCTTGAATTAGGCCTATAATTAAGATGTTTCCAAGTTTATGAGAGGTAAGGCCGTGCTTGGTAAGGTGAGATGGTGCCACGACTGACTAGCGTCACCTTGTCTGTTTCCCCGTCGTTCCGCTTGGACATCAACAATATTCGCGCTTTAGATCTAATCAGCCAAGTTGCCCAACACCGGGATTGATAAATACAGTCGCTACCCGGCTACATACGCTCCTCAATAATACACTATTCTAAATCAAACATAGTGTATACACAGCCGTACACCCAGAATAACTATATGTGCCCAACCGCACTGATCAGCGAATGGAACCTAGGGCGGGGCACTATACACAGGGTGCCCATTTGCACCGAGATGAAAGAACAGGAGCTTGATATGAGGGTGAATAACGTAAACATCTTACAGCCACTCCTGCCGCTGCTGAGCAGCATACTGTCTATATGACAGATGCTGGGTGGGCAGCTGGCAGTGGAAGTGCTAATCCCCCTTCTACAGCACCTGCAGTGCAGCCCTTGAAGAATCTTCAAGAAAATGAGCTGCCTCTAACCTCAGAGAAATCGAAGTGTCTGAAAACCCCACCGTGAGATCACTTCTCAGGCGATAAAACAGTGTATTTTTTTTTTTTTTTTTGATATTTGGGGAGGAGAACAGGACACGGAAGTTGATTCATTGAAGAATATCCTGGTTCTGCAGAGCTGCCATACGCAGAGCCAAGGCCTGGAACAGGTGGATTGGGGGGAGAATGATTTTGTAGATATTTCAGATTAATTTATTCGTGATGAATCGAGGGGTTGGGCACATATCAACGACAATGGAATGCTAGTTATTTTGGGTGTACAGCCGTTGCATCCACTATGTTTGATTTAGAATAGTGTATTATTTGAGGAGCGTATTTAGCCGGGTAGCGACTGTATTTATCAATTCCCCTCACGCACAAAAGCGCTCAAAAAATAGGGATTGAAAAGAATAAAATAAGACAACAGCGCAACGATTAAATGTGGCGTGATGTAAGAGATACAATCGCCTTGCCTTCAAACCACCAGAAGTTCCCAACAGCGTGATACTAGCAATTCCTCCTGCAAGGCCCTCATTTGGATAATTGACAGGTAAATACAACAATAAGAGTCAAGCGGCCGATCGTCATCATCCACAAAAGATTGTGACTGAGGTTGGTGGTTGGATGAGATGACATGACCTGAAGGAACTCATACAAAATGTGGAACTACCCCTGATTCACGGTAGGGCCTGCAGATTAAAAGGCATTCCGTGACAGGTATCTTAGCTGCTGCATACTGCATACCAACATCTGAAGTCAACCGGGAGTGTGTTTTCAACAGGGACATTGCGTGTGTAAGAGAAGAAGAATGACACAGCGCGGAGATTTGGCATGAAAGAAACAACACAGACAGCATTGAGAACGGACCATTGTACTTGCTATCACATGACCCCCTTCCCAATTCCGGGCGGCCCAAGATCGCTTAGCTGGATTGCCGCCCACTTCTCTTCACCGCCTCTTGGCTGAGATGTTTCTTCCGGTTCTGTTGCCCACCCCCGTCACCAAGGCTTTTTCCAACTTTAACCCATCATCAAGTCGCCTGGCATCCAACCCCCGTCCTGTTCCACATAACTGGCTGTTGGTGTGTTCTGGAGGGTCACACTCGGCTCTGTCCGAGTAATCTGCCTTGCACCCCCCTGTCTGAGCGTACGGCTGGCCGTCATATCGCCCATCAGATCGTCTATCTGGAGCAATAGCCTCTTAGGCCCTACGAACCCGGTCTCCCCGCAACCATATATATCCTCAGGCTGACCTTTGAGCAAACAATGGTTTTATCCAAATGGATATCATGTGGAGGCTCCCACCCTACCGATATTTATAGGTTGTTTGATGTTATCTGTCTGCATTAGACCTTTTTGTCTCTGTTACCCTCTCCAACGCTCACAATGCTGGGAAGACTTCTGAATACGGCTGCGTCGTCGCTCAATCCGGCTGCGTACGCCTCCAGGAATTCTTCTCAACTCGAATCCGTGACTGAGGAAGAGCATACTTCGGGGCTCTTGTTCCCAGATTCTACCCATCTCCGACGATCGAATACTCATGCTTACCCACTACAAACAAGTGTTTTATCACCAAACGCTTCGGCTGCGAGCAGCTTCGACGATCGAGGGGGGCTCGAATTGGATGCTACAAGAGATTTCAGAGTTATCATTGCTCAAAACGCGCTAGGGGATCGCGATGAACCCTGCATTCTTCTCGACAGCCAAAATCTCAGCCCGATAGCAGGGGCTGTTGGACTTGGTCTGAACTCCCAAGTTCCAGAGGTTAGATACACCCACTCTCGAAGCTCAAGCCTCTCGAAATCTACTAAAAGAGACCCTTCACACAAACCTCATGCATCCGAATCACACCAATCCACAGGGTCATTAAGCCCTAGAGAACCCGATTCGCCTATGTCCAGCGCACTATTCCGTGCGAGGTATCGAAGTTCGACATTGTCACCCGCTGCAGATGATAATCGACATTATCAAAATCGCATGTCGGCTGACTCAACAGAATCTGGACTGCTAAACTGTATTTTTGGCAGTAGTGCTTTCAGCTACCGGGGCTCTTCTACGAAAATGCATATACTTCCAACGGAGACCGAGTCAGTTGGAGATGTTGAAGGATTTGGCTCTCACGGGCCACGCCAACGTGTTCCTCTCACCCGTGGTTATACAAGTGGTCCCAGTTCCAACTCGTCCGGTTTGTCCCAGGAGAGATTAGGCACGGTTCGTGACACGAGGTCGAATCCAACGAGAATTACGGTCCTCGTGACGAGGATGTTCAGTGTGAACCTCCCCGAGGGTCGTGATCCTTCTGCTGTGGATCAAACTGATCAAGATTCATCTCCAACGGCTCAAGCTTTTAAGGACTCGAAAACCCCTCTTCTGGACCCATCGAAACGGAAAAAGATCAAGGAAAAGAAAACTCCCATGTACGCGGTTGCTATCATCATTAAGCTACCGCTGGCTGGGCGCAGTCCTGGTCGTCCATCATCTCAATGGAACGCTCAGAGACAAACCCCTGGGTGGATTTCAGCTTCCCTTGATTCAGATCATAAGTACAGCAGTAGTTTCTTTGACGACAATGCCGGGCTATCCGCAACCTCAAGCTTGGATGATCGAATTGATTTCTTAGTTGATCATTGGGACGTCATTACTCGCACATTGTCACATCTCGAGAAACTGGCGAGTATAGAAATTCTTGTCCTGCTACAGAGGGTCGACCACTTTTCAACCCAGCAACCCAAACCTGCCAAAGCATCCAATATGCAGCGAACGAACCAGACTATTGTGCAGCTTCCCCCAAGGGTTTTATCAGGGAAGCAGAACCTTAGGTCTGAAGCCATGCGCGCCTCTCAGCGGATCAGCATGGCACTTCGAATTCCCCAGGTTACAACTGGGCAAAGTCGATGGGGGGTGTGGAGAGAAGAAGCCCGGTGGATCGCCAAATTTCTGAGTGACAAGGAACACAACTTTTTCTTCCTCGTACTACTTACTGCATTTTTGGGAAATCATACCGAATGGCTAAGCGCCCTTGGGCCCGACTGGTATAGACGACGATACCACCTGCAGCAAAGGGCTCATCAGGATGCGGAACCAAGCATACCAAGCCGGACAGTCATTGTTTCCACTGATAAAATGACTGCCAGACGTTTGATATTTGTTCTCTCCGCATTCTTACCCGCGCAGCAACGACCAGACGCGTTTGGATCTCCCTTGAGACCCAGTACATCCACCTCGATGCGGCTTGTTTCCCAAAGTCCCCCTGGCGCTCCCATTTTAAGGAAGGAATCTCTCCGTCGTGCAATAAATAGACGTGCTAGAGCTCGCCATTTTAATGACGATGAAAATGATGGCCATAGACGATCACCAAGCGCTTCATCGAATGAAGCCGCAGCTATACCCCTAGATGATGGTGACTTCGTGAAAACCGTTCCTGACCATTACAAATTCCGGAGAGACTCTGATGTTCGGTCTATTCGGACGGCCAGCTTACCCATACCGTCAAGTGGTGCTAGCACTAGAAAGAGCGCAACCGCTACCATCGCTACTGCGGCACCGGGCACTGCAACCCCAGTTCCCCATTTTGCATCCCAAAAATGTAAACATGGTGCGGGCGGAGGGAGGGATTCAGCCTTGGACCCTACTGGAAGTGCAGCCTCAGCAAACCTATTACAGAATCTCCGTAGAAGCGAAAGCTCCAATCTAATCTCGGAAGGAGGCCAGCATTTCCAGTCTAGCAGATGGGGTGGTTTACTTTCCGGTCTCTGGGGTACACGTGAGACTTTTTCTGAGAGTGGGGGGAGTTCATCAGCGGCTGGACGCTCAAAAAGGAGCGCGTCCATTACTAAAGCTGACGTGCAGCAAGTCAAGCCAGAGGCAGCATCCGGCAAATCAGCAGAAGACATTATCAAAAATGCTACCAACACAGCTGAAAATATGCCTATCGCAACAGCCTCTGCTGACTTGGGTCAATCTGGATCTTCCGGTTCATGTGAACAAAATTCCAAGTCTGACGCACAAACCGCTAACTCTCCCGTGAAACTGTCGGTTGGATTGCATGATGGGGTCATCGATGTTGAGGTACCGTTACCTGGATTTATCTCCCTCTCTTCTTCTGGAGATTCAACTCTAGCATCGCCAAAAAAGACCCGCACCTCGGCGGCTAGTTTTGATGTTGGTGCTTCTGTTCACAGTGCTGGTTCTGGATTCCATCTTGGTCCTACCAAAGATTATGATGGGGTCAGCGTCAACGTAGCCGGTTGGCTGAGATGTTACCATGAGGACTTTATTCTTCAGGCTGTACATCCGTATAACACCTTGGAGTCAGATATCAAACGTTCCATGTCGAGTGAGCCTACCCCGCCTCAGGCTCTCTCCACTTCCCTTTGTGAGTTATATGGATCGAACTCTGAGAAATGGGTCGAAGTTTGCACCACGCTCGTTGCAGATACGAAAACCTTCACTGTGAAGAAGCTCCGTTTGCGGCGAAAGATATCCAGTATCATTCCCCGAACGGCAGTTGAATCTCGAGATAATTCCCGTCGAACGTCGCTTGACCCTTCCGAAACACCCTCATCCACTTCTCAACTTCCAAATTTTTTCTCAATGGCTTCAAAGACACCTACCTCTCCATTTTCACAGCAAGCCGATTCGTTTGAAGTGGAAGAGATGTTTACCGAGGAACCAGTGATGGATCTTGACCCAACTCTTGTTGATGCTGTTGAGAAGGTTTTAGCCCGGAGTGGAGAGTCGTCCCTATCTCATTCTAGAGCGCCGTCTCCAAACCGAAGTCGCAAAGATAAACCTCCCGGTAACCACGGGCCAGATAAGCAATCGCCCCATCCACAATTTGAGAATGCACCATCTGCTGAGGTTCCGCGGAATAAATGTAGACGGATAGTCCTCGGTGCACTTGAGGAAGTTGTTCGTAGTGTGACCGCTGAATGCTGCCACCAAGATCCAGCTTCTACAACTGGCGATGCCTCCAAGACACCCTCAGGTTGTGAACAAAGGGGTGCAAGTGCAGCTACAGACAATACCCTGAGAGAAGGGATAAGAAAGTGGCTGCTCGACATCGAAGAAGCTTGCTAAGGGTAGCAACCTACACACTCATCAATCCGTTGCCCCCCTCATATCTACGTTTATTCCCAGAATTTCTTGGTCTCTTTGGTATATCGATTTAATTTGCAGTTGTACCTTTTCACATATCCCAGCTTTCACGGTTTAACGCTCTCAGCCTAATGAAATTTTGAATCATCTGGTGTAGTCTTCTCTGCAACACTCATGAACCGGAAGGCGTCCTAAGACCACATGTGTTTTTTATTCAATATTCTGTTCCGGAGCATATGATACCCTACCTTCTCGCATTATTTGTTTTTTTTAACTTGTCCGTTTGGAATCACGGCCTACCATGTGGCGGAGTTTCAGCATGATTCAATATTTGCCAACTTCCCCTTTCAAACCGTTCCCCATTCCCCATACGCTATTCAAAATTGTCCTACATTCCAGCGCCTTCGTCGCAACAACTTATTGCATTTAGCAGTTTTAAAGGCCATATATTTTTGTTTATTTTATGGCAGCATCTAACGACTATCTACATACATACATACATACATACAACAATCCAAATCAAACCTTACCATCATCTTATTACCAAATAATTTCTAGTTTTGCTCTTCCTTTACAGCATCTACATTTTTTATGCCTCACACTCTTAATATCTCTGCTGTGATTATAGGATTTTCGGGATCTGAATTGCGCGTCCTGAATTAGCGCTTGAACCGAAGTCAGCTGAAATGTGGTGAAAGGTTTTAAGGAACTGCTACATATATTCCTCTCATGCGCCTCATGGTTCCTGTTTCATAATTGACGTGATTCAACTAGCCATGTTAGATGTTGGGTGATTTCTTGTATGCAATGCGCTTAAGATAGGGAATATATGAGTATTGATTCGGAAGATGTGTAGTGGGGGATTTGAAATTGTGGGCAATGAAATGTCTATCATGAAATCATTCATTATCTATTTAACGAATGCTCACGCAAGGGCAGTTTTATATATATATTATCTTGTATTTTCTACTTTCAGTCGCGTTTTCCTATTCAGCATGGAATGGTGACGCCTCTTGGGCAGCTATCAAGAGAGCGCACTTTAAACCAAGACATTGAACTGTATACTCATGTCAGACGGTATCAGTATATATGGATCATACTCCCCGTAAAATGGGGAAGGACATACACATGTCAACTAAGAGGACAACCCAAACACATTCTGTATCCTACATACCTAAAAAAATAAAATTCAAAAACAATACAAAAAGAAATGAGAAAGAGACAGTTGAGGATATATATATGAACAGAAAATTAACACCAACGCAATCACAAGGGCCTAGATACGAAAAGATCACGCAGGCAACAAACTGCCTAAAAACCGATATTACACCATAGCCAAATTTATTTCATGGACGGAGACAGCCTCAGCGCCTCAGCCTGAGGACTGATAGTATCACTCGTCTTCATTCAAGTCGACTCCTCACCAGCCTGCTGGACATCTGGAATCTGTGGGGGAGAAACATGTGTTTCAACAAGGCTTGCTGGTAATTCCAAGGTAGGAATCGACGAATCCGTCATGGACGGAATGGTTGGGCTAAACTTGGATGAAGCGTGTTTCGCGTTGACTGACGCTTCCTCGAAAAACCTCTCTAACTTCTCCGCATCACCACAGAATGCTTTGATCTCAGCCCCGATCTCCTTTGTCAGCTGGTAAGAGGAATGGAGTTCGGTTTGGGGAGGTGCAGCCGATGTGGTGTCAACTGCTGCGCGAACGACAGGCGATAAATGCGGTGATCCAGTGCGGTCTAAGGTATCGTAGGTAGCAGAGCGCGGGCGGTAAAAATCGTTTCGATCATACCGGCCGGATTCTTTGGCGGCGGAACCTCGAATGCTATAGAGCCTGTTGGCAAGGAAGAGGAAACAGCCGTCGTCTGTTATTTGGGCGAGGATAGCGCCCGACCGGTGGACATATTGTGGGAGGCAATAGTCGGGTCGCCCCCAAGAATAAGATACATTTACATCAGGAGGGAATGCACTGGCGGCTTCGAAATCTAAGACGAAATCGAATTTCTTCAAGATTGCCTTATGGTAAAAGTGACGGTCGACGGCGCCTTGAGATGCGAAAGAGGTAGAATTATAAAGGGTGGCTTGAGGGCCTTCTGGAGGCTCAATCGCTAACTTCACTGGGTACGGACGCCTGAAAACTTGAGTTTCGACAATAGAGGAGGCTTCAGATATTGGTAACTCGATTAATTTTAGGCCAAACTTCTCTGCAGTTCCTGCCCATGAAACAATTGAATCTTCCACCAACTTGGGTGTTGCGTTCATCCAGCTTAGTTCTATGTGAAAGCAATTATCCGGATTGTGCAAGCGATCGTAATGGAGGTCGATTATTTCAGGGCGGTTCGATCGCTTACGAGGGTCGATATCAATCTTCATTGACTTTGACAGGCACACCGAGGCTTTCGTTCGAGTAGGCTTGTTCGGAGTAGGCGTTTCCTCCCAAATGCCAGATTCCGCAGAGCTCTTCTCAAGCCTTTCTTGACCAGTTGAAGGCAGATCCTTTACGTTATCTGTCATGGGCGTATTTGGAATGGATTTGCGAGCTTGGAACCAACTACTCCGAGATTCCGGCCGTGCCACTCGATATTCGTCGGTAATTCGATAAAAATAGTTGCCGTCCCTGAAATTATGACGCCGCTGAACATGACAAATTAGGCCGTGTTTCATCAACTCGTTACCAAATTCAACAGCTTCCTCACGGGCATCGATATCGCGGAAATTTTGAAGCATCCACGTAGTGAACTCCAGTCCAACAAAGCAATTATAATGAAGGCGCCAATGCCATCTTCGATCCATCATTCTCACCCCTTTTTCGCCCTGTATAGCCTGCGCCAAAGCGGAAAGGCCAATGTTGGATCTTTGAAGTAATTCAGACTCCGGTAGAAGCTGCACTGCTGTGCTATCAAGACCTGGATCGTCCAGTAATAGCCTATCAAGTTCTGCAGCAACTACCTCAGACGGGTTGCTCGTCTGATATATAATATTCAATGGGTTCAAGTCTTTTTTATTCGTTGGTGGCTGGAGTCGTTTTTCCTCTGGGGGAACATATCTCTGCCTTTGCCATATCTGAGTGAGTTGGGTAATCCCAAGAAGATGGATTTCTTCTTCGTTGTCCTCTTTATATGATTGCATTGGACGTCTTGCGTTTGCAGGTAGTTGGACTGGTATCAGAACAAAACGCGTGCGCCAAAAACGCAGTTGTTCCGTACAATTAGTTATGTGGTCCCTGTAACCTGCCAGAAATGCATCTGCATAATTCCAGTTACAATCTTCTTGCGGCAACTGCAAACTTATAGTATTTTTGCAATAGTTTGCACTCAATATTGTTTTGACAACAGGCGTGTAGTTGAGTGAAAGAGCCTGCGCGTCAGCAAGAAGGCTGGTCACCGTTTTCCGTGTAAACCGTGTGACTTCTATTTCCCCTCCAGTCACGCAAACTAACCTATGAATGATGTTGCCCATAGACATGAAAATAGTCACCCCATCTTGTGATAAGGATCGGGTGTCGAATATATTCAGCGGTTCCGATGAATGCTGCCCTGATGCCTCCTCCACTGCTTTTCCAACAACGATTTGGAAACCGTGAGAAAGGCGCAAAGCCACCATTTCTCGCAAGAGGGCCTCCCGAGTTCTGGGAGTTTCTGCGACATCGGATTCATCATTCTGGTATACTCTGTATGGAGTCTGAAAGTACTGGGAAGCCAGTTCTTCACTCGTTGGAAACTCCTCTGTTGTCAGTGGGAGAAATGCTGGCGATTTCAGGCTTTTCCATTTCATAGATGAAGTGCCTTGCATGCGCGGGTAGACGTGCCGCCAACGACCAAACCAGATGGATAGTGTGGGACCATGATTCGGTGGTTTGCAGGGGTTGACGGGTAATATCCATGGCGATAGTGCCTTTATCGGAGATAGAGTAATAGTTGGGTCATCCTGGTTTGCATTATGTGTTGAATCGAATTTACGAACTCCCCGTGTCATTGGAAATGGCCCATGGACTTCCTCATTCGTTCCACGATAGTAGGGAACACCTATGGTGGGGGTCGAAAAGGAGATGTCAAGACCTTGAGGCTCCATACTATGTTCTTCGATTGGCTTTTTGCTTGCAATTCGGATTGAAATTGGTTTTGACGGAATGACATTTTTGTCATCCCTAGAAGTCGTAATATTTATATGGGGAGACTTTTTGACAATGGTAGTTGGGCTAGGAATAGTATCTGATGCGGGTAAATTGACGTCCGCATTCAAAGCTTGTTCGATTTCTCCATTAAGAGATTTCATGCTTGTGGTGGACAGACCCTTTGCATGCTCATTATTGATTTCTGTACTTGCAATTGCTCTGGGAGGAGCCGATCCTAGGCCACGCAAAGCAAAGCTAATCGAACGAGAGATCCGTGGTACAGTCAGTTTCGCTCCTGATTTCATGCTTGATTTTTTGACGGGCATCAGTTCAACGGGAGGATTCTGAGCGTCTGAATGTCCGTAATCAGGTCGCATACCATTTTTACGAGGGCTTGTAGGAGGATTGCTGCCACTCTTTGAACTCGACGAAGGTCTGACAGACTGTTGTTCGTAGAATCGAGGCGCTGAGGTGCCAAAATCAACCCGCTTGGCTTTTGTAGGTCGTCGCACCGTTTGGTGTTTCGGTGTAACATGGAAGATGGCGCTATCATAAAGGTCCATCCACTCCAGCATTTTTCTTTGCCTCGCAGGAACGGATAGAATATTCCTTTTCGAGTCTCTGAAGGATGACATGAAGGATCCCGATCCATTATCTGAGAAATTAGGGTTATGAGGAGATCCCCGCGGAGATAGGCTGTGACCCAGGCCTTTTTGAAGGCGGAGATCAGCAGCGGACAGGTACGGTACAGAGATATTGGACTGTTCACTTTCCATAACACCCATCATCTGAATCTCATACATCCTAACTCGCGGAACAAATGTATTCGATTGCTTTTCCTTTGTTCCAGAGACTGACGACTTTAAGACTGTATTCACGGCAGTCCGGCTATCACGATAAATTTTTAGATCCCAGTAGGAAATGTCAAGCCAATGAGGAACACCATAAGCCCATTCATCAACAAAATGGGCCGGTTGTAGAAAAGATCCCAAAGTGGTATTTGATGAACGACGACGACTGACTCCATAGGAAAAACTTCCAGGTGATTCGTGAGAGTACGGAGGCAATGGGCGGAGAAAATCCCTGGAGACGGAACTACCTGGCCTCGATGCACCGCTTCTGGGAATGCGATATTTAAATAAAGGAACTGAATGTAGCGGCATGGGGCTCAGACATATTAAGTCAATCCCAATAGCACGGCTAGTGAGAACCTCTGAAGTCAACGCCAGGGCGTCGTAAGCTACTTCAAATACCCCTGCCCCAGGAGATATGACAACGATGGAGGTGCCTGTCCTGATCATGTCACGACCGATATGCTCAAATGCTAAGTAAGACGATGCTATATTAATTGCTTCCAAAATATTCCCACGGAGGGCTGAGGTTGGCCTTCCAGATATTGCTGGGGGGGGATTTGGATCTGCTGGTAACTCGTCCTCTGACGCTGTGGGTGAGTCCGGAAAAGTTGATTGGGGAATAGATACGTCGCGGAGAAAGATTCTAAATTCCTTCTTCAATTCATCTAAGATAGTCGTCCAGTTGCCGCTGGGCATGTCGTTAACCACGACGCGGTAGAAATCCCGAGTTTCCGGCTGGGCATCACTCGCAGTTTGCTTAAAGAAGCCATTGTTAGACGGAAACCTCGCGTTATCTGCCGTTATCAATTCATACTGGACTCTGGTAAATAAAACGATGGTAACAAGGTGGTGAGCATCAATGCTAGCCCATCGCTTGAAGAGCTCCGGGAGAAGGCTATTGATAACCCTGCTAAAAAGGATATCACCAGTTCCTTCAGAATCAAAATCCCACATCTCTTTGGACATTTGAATAAAGAGAACGTATCGAGCAGATTCACTCCGAAAAACGGGTATGGTTTGCGGGGAAAAGTACCCTGATAGAACCTTTTTGCCGCCGATATAAATGGACTTAATGGTTACCTTGATGCTTCCCATAAAAACAATCTTCTGTCCTTTATATAGAGGTTTATCTGCGAGCTCTGACATGGTCAATCTCCACATATCAGCCCGCACCGAAAACTGATCTCGAAAAATCAGCTCAACATGAGAAGCAGTGCACTGTGACCGATCCTTCAAAGATATCAGAGCTTGAGAATGGTTCTTAAATCCAAAGATATTGGCTATATTACTTGCAATTGAAATTTGCAGGTTCGGATGTCTCGCCTTGATGTCTGCAGACAAAGGCTTGACAAGAAATAGAAATCTTCTTTGAGTTGGAGAATAAGACTTGTGGTCTCCACTACGCTTTGCAGCTGAATTAGAGCCAGTGTCAGAATCACCTGCATCTCGTGGCGCTCTCTCACTCGGATCCAGTGTATGGGAGGACACATGGTGATCCCCTTGAAATGGTCGCGGGACCGAAAGTTCAACGAGATCTCCCACCTTCAGTCCTACATCGCCGAAAGCGCTAAGGTTAAAAAGCACCTCTTCTCTCGAAAAGTTATCATCGTGGACCCAGAGTAAACAAGGGCGACTGCCGAGTCCCGTGGGTGACTGATTGTTGTCATCTGCGTCCGGGGTTCCAGATACGGACTCCTGGGGCGGAATAGTTGTCCTCGTCGAAGTTGTCTCGATGCTGGTGGCGCTCACATGCCTCAGATGCGACCCCTTGACGGGCCCAGATGGCAGCATGATCTAATTTAAAGGCCCTCACATAATAAATACAACACAGGTTTATTTGACACACATGGTGGCCTCCTCTGAAGTGGAGTCCGAGATATCAAAATAAGATTGATACATATATAATTACTGAGGTTGATATTTGAGGCGATTAGTTACGTTGGGGAGGTTAGACGCATGATGGCGATCATGATTGGATGGAGAGCTAGTTAGAGCTCCACGTGATTGATATGTAATATATTACTTAATTTTGGGTCCTCACGTGAAATTTGTTAACTTAGTCACTGCATCGATTTCATTTTGACCGACAACAATCTCAATTCATGATAATGATGATTTAATAGTTCTCGAAGCAAAGGAATGCGCAAAGTGGGATGTTCGGGGAAAAAAAAAAGGGGGCCAAGTTTAAGTAATTCATATAAATTTCCACCGCATTACCGGGCTTTTTCCTTTTTAACCACACTCCCAGCCATAGCCACCTTGGAACAATCTAACAGGCTTCATATGCTCTCTTGTTGCTTGAGGGCATGCATGAGCAGGAAGTCCTACAGGCTAGCTTCTGACCTTTTGCAGACAAGATCGAAATTATTACGTTGAAACACGTCAAGACACGGCATGGCTTCAAGGTTGTTGCCCAGACAGCCAGGCTTGACAAGCATCACTTGGTCCCCGACAGGCGTGGCTTGTCATTGCTTATTTGTAACCATGATCCTTGTTTGATTGGCTATAACATAGTCAATCTAATATGATCGACTGTACCCCAGACTCCAGTCATTATTCTACCACTCGTCTGCAACAGGGATGATGGGAAGGTAAAAGTGGTGATATGTTGTCACCTCGGGCGCTGAACATGCTGGAACTTCGGATGCTACCTATGTGCCCACCCTACTGTAATTCTCCTGCTTGTGTCGTCCGGGATATTATAGGCATCATTTTGCAATGGGTTCTAGCAGGAATCAATTACAAAGAATTCAGCATGAATCTGGGTTAGTTATAACAAGAGCAAATAAAACTTTTGCAGGAAACACACAGACATGCTGAAAGAGACATACTCCAACTGACAAATTTCATGGCAAACCATGGAGATAGATAGTGTTGTGATTCCACCTCACCAGTGATTATTATGGAAGAACTTGAGAAGAGGCAAAATTGCTACCAGCACTCGGATTTTCCCTGGCACCTCAGGAGGAATCAGCATCTTCTATTACTCAAAACCTCTGCTGTGGTTAAACCCAAGCATCCAATCACCAGCCCAAAAGATAAATTGGTTTTGGAAGATGCTGCGTGTCCCCTGTATCTTGGTCTATTAAGTGGCGGTGCTGTCTTTGATTCCTGCATCTGGTCAAGTTTTAAATTGGGCTTAAGGGCTTTTTCATATGTTTTATACCCTTGCAGCAGTCAAGCCACATTGACGTAACTCCTTCAGTCAATCTCAAAATAAGGGCAGATAATCTTCACAACACAGACTCGTTGATTCCTTGCTTAGCACGCGTCTAAACAGCACACTCTCCCAATTTATTTCATACGAAACTTATGTCTCTTTGAATTTCGTGTCATTTTATCAAGATTGACTTGGTAGTTTTGCCAAAATTTTTCTGATAAGTCATTAAGCCCCGCTGCTGAGAGATTTTGCAACACCTCATCACCCTTAGAACAATGCGTAAGTAACGCACTTCCAAAAAGCTCTAGGAGCAAGTTTGTTCTGCAATTATGAATTGGAACTTATTTTACTGGGGTTGATAGATATACACCGACGACGAGCCAGGAATCTGGCCTGGTATGACGATGAAGAGGCCAAAAACACTCCCAACCGGAATCCTTTCAAAAAGTTCCGGCACCGCCCGGTCCGCTCTAGAGAATCTCGCGTCGAAGATGGATTACAGCATACGCAAACTGAAAGTGAATCTATATCGAGGCCTGAAAAGGAGAGACAAGAAGAAATGGTGAACGAAATATCTCTTCCGATTCATGCAAATACGATGCCCTTTGTACCAGGACAGCAAGTTACTGGCTGTATTGAAACGGCACTTGTTGGATCTATTACCAGTGCTTCACCTTCAACAACGCCCCAAAAAGACCAACAGCAAGATGTACCTAAAAAAGGCGCTCCTCGAAAACGGAGATTCTTCGAAATTGGCAGAAAGGAACCCTCAGCAGATGAACCTGAGGACACTGGAAAGGATAAACAGGTATTTACGACCGTGGGGCAGCTGAAGGCGACGCTGTTTAATTCCTGGATTAACGTCTTACTCATCATGGTGCCCGTTGGAAGTACGTACGTCTTTGAATTTATTTGCATTGACGTCGTATTGCGTTTTGCTAAACTCATTTCCAGTTGTGATCCATCATATCCATGTTGATCCTATTGCAATTTTCGTTGTCAATTTTATCGCCATTTTGTATGTCACCTACTTCATGATAGCCTCTCAGCCATTTGGTTAACAGTAAATATAGACCGCTTGCTGCGATGCTAAGTTATGCTACCGAGGAAATTGCTCTCAGGTATGCATGTCATCTTTGAAATTACCAACACTGCGTTAACTTTTTATTTAGAACAGGGGAAACTCTTGGTGGTTTACTCAACGCAACATTTGGGTAGGTGCCAACCTTTTAACCCTCCTGAAGATATCCATGCTGACAAAGTATAGGAATGCTGTGGAGCTTATTGTATCACTCCTGGCCTTATTTAAACGTGAAATTGTTATTGTCCAAACCTCCCTCATCGGCAGCATGCTATCCAATTTATTACTGGTCCTTGGAATGGCTTTTTTCCTCGGAGGTTTCAACCGGATCGAACAAAACTTCAATGTCACTGTGGCACATACTGCGTCCAGTTTGCTCGCTCTTGCTGTTGGAAGTCTAATAATTCCCACTGCGTTTCACGCATGGTCTAGTGGTACGTTCTTTGTTAAATGATTTTACAATGTAATCGCTAATTTTTTCATCGTGAACAGCTGGTGAAACTGGAATTGCTCCCCTGTCACGAGGTATTTCAAAATACCTCATAAACGCGATTCTCATTATCTTCATTCCGTTTATCCTAATATTTTTTCTAGGGACGAGTGTCATCCTCCTTGTGGTGTACGGAGCATACCTTTTCTTCCAACTTAAATCTCACACAGAAATGTACAACAAACCAAGTGAGAAGGTCGAAAAGAGACGTATGCGAGTCGAAACAGGCGACGCAAGCAAAAACATTGCGCAAATAGGGGCAGGGATTTCCGCGAGCATGGGTGGAGGGAATGCTCAGCATGTTTCCATCGCTGTTTCAGAAGAAAATGAAGAACCACAGCTCACTGTGTGGGTGGCTTTATTTACGCTTGCTGCATCTACAGCACTGGTAGCCCTCTGCGCAGAAGCGATGGTGTGTTCCATCCTACATTTTACATGTTCCTGTTCATTCAATTGCAGCGTGAAGAAGATAACTAATAGATTCCCTGAAGGTGGGCTCAATCGACTCAATTACGAGTCGTGGTCACATTTCTGAAACCTTTGTTGGTTTGATTCTTATCCCCATTGTTGGAAATGCAGCTGAGCACGCAACCGCCATTACCGTCGCGATTAAAGACAAAATGGATCTCTCCATTGGTGTTGCGGTGGGCTCCAGCATGCAAATCGCTCTCTTGGTCCTTCCTCTTATCGTAGTTATTGGGTGGATTGCTGGTATGTTTTGCCCATCGTTTCTTCACCTTTCTTGGTCCGCGTCCATAATATTCAAGTGTGTCATTTGCTAATGATATAACGTCAGGGATCGATGAAATGGTGAGTGTCGAACTTCCTTGTTTCAGTATTATTACTAATTTTCTCCATGTAACTAACTAATTCTACGCATAGACCCTCTACTTCGATGGATTTCAAATTGCAATACTATTCGTCACCGTGCTGCTAGTAAGGCTGTCGTTCTCCCATTCTGTCATCAAGTCAGGATTAACACCTTTCCAACTTCGTTCCACAACAGGTAAATTATTTAATCCAAGACGGCAAGTCAAATTGGCTAGAAGGGGTGCTGTTAGTGGTTCTTTTTCTCATTATCTCCGTGGCAGCTTGGTAAGTCCATAATCTTTTGTTTCCCTTCTTCGTTTACTCCTCTCTTCAACCCTCAAAGATTATTTATGCTGCCCCTCTTCTGTTCCTGAACCTTGCGAAATGACGATAGTTCAAGTAAATATGCCAAACGTGAACCTAATAGTAACAAATCTCCAACTTTTGCTGCGCAGGTTCTACCCAGCCAAATCCGAGCCCAAAACCCCATAAACTGGTACTACGTTGTTTACTAGTCACTGTCCGACCTCTAACCTCAATTCCTCAAACACACGTCGCTCTGTTTCCCTTCAAATACACGTCTTTAACTAGCCCACATTTTTTTTATGAAGTCCCTTCCGCCTTTCTCTGTGCGTCCCTTTTTGTTTTTTCAAGTGTTAGAATCTTCATCCCAACCATTTGCTTGCTCTTCGATTCTGCCTCAAATTATCTCTGTTTTGTCATCCTATTTCCAGAAATAGACTTGCTTGTCCTGTTGTTTGTAACACTGCATCTTACTCCTCTTAACATTCAGAGATTCTAAAAGCTAAGACTGGTGTTTCTGGCTAATGTTTGCTTTTCCACTGTGTTCGAGCATTAAACCCTATTCTTGAGCTCAAGGAGACATCATAGCTCACATCCATAGCATTTAATGTCACCGCATTAATGTTCAGCTAAGGTATTGAAATAACTCTATCCACCGAAGGCTGGCGATTCGTGCAAAACATGAAGTTAACATCTCCCCTTATACTACTTCAGACCACTCACAAAACGATGGTTGATGGATGGCATATCTTCGATGAATGGTTGCATGCTGGGTTGCAATGTCATATGGTATGGCAACCTTCAATGTTTAGGCTCAACCCAGAATAAACCAGATATCAATTTAAGAAAGCATTACATTCTTTACTCATCGGATCAGATATTGATCCAGCATCCCCAAAGGATATAAAATTCGGTTTTATTCTCGCTTGCAAAGTGCAGGCTTGGCTGCTCCCTGTTATCGACAGCATATCAAGCCCTTTAAACCTTATCGTTTCGAATTACAATTACTATATATATACATATATGAAACTCAAGGACCACCGTCAGTTCTATTTTCTTGAACCTCCATCAAGACACGGAGCAAATGTTCTGCAAATGTTACCCCTTGGGCGGCTATATCAACCTCCCTGCGTCTGGCAATCAAGTGGGATTCTTACAGCATCCTAGCCATATGCTGTTCCTGTATCCGTGGTATGAATACGAACAATATCTTAACACGTTGACACTCAACCTTTTAACCTGGTTCCCTACACGTTTTATCTTCTGAGACTGTCCTTGTTCCAGCAGCAATTGTTCGGAGATATTGTATTCGGAATGACACACTAGGCTGCTGCAGAGTTCTATGTGGCCTGGATTTTTCGAGAGCTTTACATCACATGGTAATAAGGAGGAGGTGCTTGCTGCGGTCAAGTAAACCAGTTGAAGAGGTGTAAGTCAAAAATTTTCTTTTGGTGTTGAACGAAAGGGTTGATATTGCGATAAATTTACATTTTTTTTTTTAAGTTCCTTCTTGCTTGATGTATTGCTACCATTAACTATTAACTACCTATCGAATGTATTCGATTTGCCGCCCACATGTCTTTGGTCTTAGAAAGCAATAACGTTAACATGTTCAGGCCCCGCTGACAATTGAGTTGAACTGAGGTCCCTGGAAATATTTATCATGTGCAATGAATCCGCGGTTTTAGCGAAACCTCCCTGCCAGAACAAAAAGGAGAACTTGCATAATTTTCGGGCCACGGAAGAATAACTATTTTCTTTGCTCAAATCAGGACAACCATCCTCGACAAAATCCATCGATAATAACCAAAAAAGCCAGAGCTTTCAATGACCTCTGACGAGAGTCATATCCATAACTAACCATTTCCTTGAACAAAATTAAAAAATATATAAAAATAAAAAATAGAATTGCCAACCAATACTCCGGCGGACAATGGATATTGCCGATTTCTGAGGTGGGATTGACGTTCGTCAAATCCTTCTCCTTTTGTCCCATTTTTAAACTCCACGACCGTCCATAAAACGAGCAAGGTTGTTTGGCCGCTTATACTCCAGTTCGATGACAAGCGGAATAGCCGTTCCCAATCATCCCTCCCTCTCACTCTGGGCCATGGTAATTAGTCAAACAATCTGCGTCTCTTTTCGGCTCAACCAAGATGTTCCCCTCTTCGTTTCTCATGTGATAACTGAGGCCAGGGAATCCAGAGATAGGCAGATGCATATTTTACACGAGAGACGAAAGAGGGGATGGAAAAACTCGGCCTCTGAGCTATGATAGTGCCTCTTGCGCCCCTCCAATGTCTACCGTGCTCGGTACGTTAGCTTATCAGTTCGACAGACAGCCCGGAGTCGTGGGCTTCGGTTCTGGAACAGTATGGCTGGCCATCGGTGTTAGGCCCATACTGCGTTTGTGTATGGATTAAAAATCATCCATGATTCATGTGCTTTGCCTGCTGCATGTAAAACTGAACTGATAATGAAATTCTGCTGTGAGCCACATTTTAGTATAATTTCACCTCCTACCAGAACACCATTATACAAGTTCATGAGTCCTCAACTAATCAATTCAATATGTCAATCACTCCTGATATGAAGGCTTCAAATTTTAAGAAAAAGGGTTTGTACAGATCATTTAAGTTTATAGGAATAGTTAATTTACTAGTATTTGAGCTGCTACTAAGTCATATAATATTCCTCATAAGTTTATTTTATAAACTTCAGAATTGATAAATATTTTCAAATTCTAGAAGAAACTTTAAAAACTAATCTCTCATATGAAAGAATATTTAACTCAATGAGTAATATTAATGAGTAAGTAAGAGATCAATTATCTCATATTATAAATATGAGATATGATTCAATTAATTCTCTTAAATTTATATAGTTGAAAAAAGAAAAAATTAAAAAAAAAAAAAATAAAGTGATTATCTAAGTTTATAAGTCAATATTTTAATATAGTCAGAAAATTTATACATTTATATTATTGAGAAAAAGGTCTCAATGGATGCCAAAGACATTATAATAGCTCAGATAGCAAATGAAGCTTATACAAAAGGTGTTGAATTAAATGAACTGCAGTTAAAAAGTAATATAGAGAGTGTAAATGTGCTGTACAATTGTAATATGATTATATATATATTCACTTTTACAGATCAGTTGTAAAGTTGATAGATAAGAATAAATTACAATGTATTGTATAGTCCTGCAGCTGAATTTAAGAAGATCTCTTGTTTTTCAATGTACAGATATCGTAGGTTCAATTCTTCTCTCGATTTCTATGGAGTTTCTTGTACCACCTTTGCTGTGAATTGAAGGCACTGTGGCACATTGAAGATAAATTGATATGATGGCGCGGCTTAGACATTAGTTAAGAACCTGCCAAACGAGAGCCCTTTAGGACGACCGAAGCCTCCAATAATGGCTTCACATAAACACAATTCACCGTTAGAAAGGTTCTCTCCTTAACTTCGCCATAGAATGAGGGCAGCAAGTGCCATTCTCAACAAGCTGATGGAGGATTATGGGTCATAACAAACTGGGCCAGTAGGGGCTAACATGCCCGCAATGCTGCTCATCAAGGCCATGTTCAAACATGTGCATGTGCATGTGGCAATGAAAAAAGATGCCTTCTAGAACAGCGTCTTTTTTGTATCTCCGTGACCACCATGACCATGTTGATTTAGCATATGGGGATACTGTCGGGCCTGGTATCTCTCTTGCGCTAGCCTATATCAAAAAGGGAGACCCTTTTTGACGCAGACGACAAAAGCAAAATCAGGAGCGCTACCAAACATTGTGCCGACCACATGGTTGACAATTTCATTTGTCTACGTAAGCCGGTTATGGGTGTTACATATCATCCATGGTTGATAGGCTATCTCGTTGACTCAGACAGAGAGCTTCGTCGGCGAGGAACACGCCAGTCGACATTCCCTTCACTATTTTCGATGCAAGCGTCCACACCTATCCATCCTTAGGCAGAGTTGTCTTATCCGCGAATCACCATCCTCGTGTCGTGTGCGACAGGGTTGACAGGATTGAAGCGCAGCTGCGAATTCCAGCAGGGAGGGATTGAGAGTAAGGATGGACGATGGGAATCTCCCTCGGAACGAACCAGGTGACTGAGAGCATCTAGGAGTTGCTCACACACTTCCCCATTCGTTGGCCTCCATCGGGCCCGGGAAAAAGACGGAATTCTTTTGGGGACATCCTCTCATGAGCACACTCTGTCCTGCTGACATAGACCATTTAGAGTGACCTTGAGTAAAAAGGATGTGCTTCAAATCTCTGGTGAGTATGTTCGAACCCGGAATCACTCACCTTATCGACGGACAAGAAGACAAACGACAAGTCCTAAAAACACCCGCACATCAACCCACCACTACCATCAACTGTTCGTGGCTTCGAAATGTATTTCGAGCCTGTGGAAGGGCATACAACCGGTATCCGATCAGATAGACGGAAACGGGTCCTATTCGTGGTGTTCGATTACTTTCCGTTCCTCGCACACCGAGGCTTACACAGACCCCAACCGCACTATTGGCCTACCTTCCTCTCTCGACTGATACTCAAAAAGTTCACCGTGCGATCGCTCCCATTCTCAAACTCAGCGGTGCGGGCGAGTACGTACGTAGGGAATATCCTTCGAGATGTGGAAGAAGTTGAGGTGAATAAGTAGATGGGTCAGTCGCGGAATTTAGGACAAAACGGATGAGCCTACGAATTCAGTGGTTTGGCCGAAAACATTGGCTGTTCCTCTGATCGCTCGATCAAGGCGATCATAGCCTGTAAATAATTGGCTAATAGGATGAGGGCTGGCTATATGCACCGTCTCTCGCAAGGACTTGCCAAGGGGTATGTAGGTTGCCCAACCTGTCTGGTTCGATCGGGGGCATCCGCAACATTATGGATGACCATTGAAATTGTGCATCTAACGAAGGCAACGAAGCACTAACTTAAAATAATGACAACTTTTGAGGAAGTTTGCAGATCTCTTCAGCGCCCCCGGCAATGAATTCCCAAAGCATCTATGGTGCTCCTCTCTTGGAAAACACACCTCCAGTACATAATCCTGTAACGGCCCCGAAATGGGTATCATCCGAGATCCAATTTTCAATTTAGTTTTCAGTAAATAATTTACTCCGTATACAGTATGTAGATCCTGCTTTCAATGACAGACAGTATTAAGACAGGAATTCCTGAGGTTCTGAATCATCCCAAGAGGGCTGGCTGCCTGTATCCCTTCGCAGTGACAATATTAAGACATAGATAGAATTTAAACCGCTGATAGGACCAACAATTATAAAAGTAAAAATAAAAAATAACAGAGAGAGAAATAGACTTGTTCCTTGTCTGTTGTTGAATGGAGGAAATGTTGATGGTTGAGCTGGTCGGCGACCTTGTGAGCGTCAGGGTCAGGTAACTATACTGGATTGCCGATCGGAAAAGGATTTTGGACCGGTGATCCTCGGGAGAACAAAGAACAGATGGACGCGGCCCTATTTAGGGGGGTCCAGGGGGGTTGTTGTTGTTTATTATTTACTTTTTATTTTCCCCGTTCCCTTCAAAAAGGGGTGGGGTTTGATTTGTCTGAGCTCTTGAGGTAACCGTAACGGTAGCTTGGACGGTAGAGCTGAGAAGAACCAGGGACTTCCCGGGCTTTTCCCCAAGGTTGAGGAATTCGGAGAGTAATTAATTCAAGCAAATTCTGGAGTCTTTAAAAACGGGAAAATACAATAAATAAATAAATAAATAAATAAATAAATAAATAAATAAAAAAGAGTAACCAACCGCCTTTGAGGAGAGAAAAGTCAAGAGGAAGTTTGTTCGAGTCCATGGGGTTTGTTAGCGACGCAGACGCAAATTAGAATAAAGAAGAAGCACCAAGTCCATCTTGTTTGCTATTAGCTAAATGAGTTTCTTGTTGCAGCCGTGTCAATAAGAAACCATACCTTGCCGGACTCGGAATAATATTTTTAAACATGCATACGCGCTGCGTTCGTTATTGTTCTCCAAATGTATGAGCTCCGTTCCGTACTTGGAGCCCCTACATGCCCAAAACAACGGCTGTGAGAACAGCAAACGGCGAGAATTTACGGGAGTAAAATCAGATCCCTTCCCGCACGTACGTACTTCGAGACATGCATGCATCGTACGTACGTAGCTCCCCCTCCACCATGTTGTTGCCCTCGGGCCCTCGAAGAAGGGCCTCTTCCTGTTGTTGGAGCTTGGAGTTTTGGGTTGTTGTTGTGGGGGGTGGGGGATTATTTTTCTCTTTTATCGACTGGATCGTACACCACACGGGAAAAGTAAAACTAATGAAAAATAAAATTTGGCAAACCGGCTTGGCAAAAAAGGACAAAGAAAGAAAGTTGTAACGTTAAACGGCCGGTGGTTAAAACTATGGGCTCTGAGGCCCCACAAAGACGACGGATGGGACGTACTCTACGTCATAGATCAAAGCCATCCATTGTATCATCCATGGACCGCATCAACACGTATAGAGAGGGTATCCGTTGTACAGGAGGTTAAAGAGCTCGACACGTGGCTCAGAAAACGAGCTTGGGTGGTTTTTGAGCAGAGCGAGCAGGTTTGAGCAGCAGGATTGGAACAGAAAAAGAGCGGAGAGAGGAAGCAAGACCCAAATGCAAAAAAAAAAAAAAATGTAAAAATGTAAAAATGTAAAAAAAAAAAAAAAAAAAAAAAAAAAAAAAAAAGTTAAGTTTTCCGCCCGCTCCCGTGGACTCCGAGTGTGGGCAGTGGTGGAAAAAGCAAACAAGAACAGACAAGAAAATGAGGAGAAAAGCCGAAAATCCCACCCCCAGAGCCAGCCAGATTGGAACGTTGGAGCGTTGCGCTGCCCTGCTCCGTATCTTGATGCGCTTGTGCCGTGCCGTGCCGATTCTTGAAAGCTAATCCGCCCAATGACCTGGATATTCGGCCAGTTGTTCCATTCCTCTTATTTTTTTTTTCTTTCTTTCTTTCTTTTTTTTGTTCATCTTATTTCTTTTTTTATCTCATTTCTATTTTTGTCCTTTTTTCTCTCTCTTTCCGTTGCGGGTCGGGGCGAGCACCGTTTTTACCGCGATATTTCGCGCAGCAGAAAAATAATAAAAAATAAAAATAAAAATTAGATAGATACACCAAACTACATCGCGGACCCAAAGAAAGCAAAAGAAGGGGAAAAGAAAAAAAAAAAAAATCAAGGAAAATACCGCCGTGGTGTGATCGGAGGGCGCGAGAGGTCAAGCGATGAGGCGCAGGAGTAATGAATGCTCTCCTGCTCTCCTGCTCTCCTCCGTCGCCTTGACCGTTTTGACACAGACGTAGATCGACGAAGAGCAGCAGCTGTCAGTTACACTGAAGGAGGGAGAGCAACACCGAGTTACCATGGGCTTGAACGAACCGTTAAACTCCCCGAGCCAACACAAGGAACCAACCGACAACGACGCTTGTACGAGGTAACATATTTTCTCCGGGGAAGGGGGATTGAGAAATTGCACGGAAAGAAAACACAATTAAAAATAAAAGGGTGCTTGCTTGTTTCTAATATTAGATCTGATTCCGGAGCATGCCCAAAGGTTATCCCGCACATAGCCCATCCGGTAACGCCGAGATGTTTATTAACGGGCAGCGCAGCCAGCAACATGAAAAAGCTGCACATGAATCGCAGGGCATGAATTCAGCTTCGAGGCCTATAATCTGAGGAACCCGGAGAGATAAGAGAGGAGCGAATATTGAAGAACCATGGCTGTTAGAAGATCTAGATCCGTGTTACCGACTACAAGAACCTCAAGGGATGTTTTGACTATGCACTTTTCTGTTCTTTATTTTTATTTTTATTTTTTATTTTTTTGTTGTTGTTTGGCCCCGAGTCTCACTCTTATCTTCGCCATAGCACGGGTCAGATTGTAACCTTTATCTTCTTTTTGACAACCGTAGCTGGGGGGGAGGGAGGGAGGGGGAGAGGGAGAGGGAAATAAATATAAGCTGCGGATGAAAAAGAGACCGCTGCAGTGACTATTGGGATCTTCTACTCCGATTCCGACGATAGCTGTGTGTACAACACATACACACACATACACACACACACACACACACACACACACACACACACATCCTTGCTGAGAGACGCACAACGGTGTGCGCCTTTTCTCGCAGATTCGGCGAGAGGGAGAAGCTGACGCGATCTCTTTCGGCTCAGGAGTGTGTGGACGGGGTCAACGGTTCGAATCCATCCCCTTTCCTTGCCGGCCCGCGATCAGCCGCAAATCTTGCTGTTTTTGGATGTAATGTATATATATTGGTGTATGTATTGTATCTGCAAATCAGAGGCCCCGGGTCCAGTTGCAATTTTTTCTATTTTTCTCTTTCTCTCTCTCTCTCTCTCTCTCTCTCTCTCTCTCTCTCTCTCTCTCTCTCTCCCTCTTCTATTTTGGTTTTTTTATATTTATTTATTTTTATTTTTATTTTATTTTAAATTTTGGTTCCACGGTTGTTTCGTAATCTGGTGCTCGGGACCATTAACCATCCATCATAAGCTCCCAGGAAATCCCCGAGCCAAACAAGAATCCAGGAGCCCAAAGTCAGGCATTGTTTTTTTTCCCTTCGGGGTTTTGCATCATATTTGGTGTTGCGCTGCGGCCCCCCCTGTGCCCAATAATATCCCCCGATAAGAAGACGCCCATTTATTATTGAGCAGAGGATGTAAACGGGTCTGGGGTTCTAGGGCAGTGTCTGCGGGGCGGGCTTGGAGCGTATGTATGTATGTATGTATGTATGTATGTCTGTATGTATGTATGTATGTCTGTATGTCTGTATGTCTGTATGTCTGTAGCTGGCTGGCTGGCTGGTGGCGGGTGCGGGTGCGGGTGGGTGTGTGCGAAGTTCGGGAGTCCGTCAGGTTTAACCTGTTGTATTTTTACGGATGGAGGAAGAATGAGTTTGACACGCGGATAGATAGACGCAGACATACCATAAAACTTCCCCGTACTCCGTAGTGAGATAACATTATCCGCAAGAGACAGCATCCCAGGTACTCACAGCAACAATTAATTCGCCGGCAAAATCGGGCGCAGCCCCGTTTCTTGCGTCCTCATCCACTTCTTCTTTTTCTTCTTTTTCTTCTTTTTCTTCTTCTTCTTCTTCTTCTTCTTCTACTACTGCTGCTACTCTTCCTTTTCGCTTCTCTCATTCCCTCCCCCTCCCCCCTCTTTTCCTTTCTTTCCTCGAATTGCTGGAAAGTTCTCTCTATCCGCTTCACTCTCTCTCTCTCTCTCTATATATATATATATATTTATATACCTGCTCTCACGCCCACCCACAGCCCCACGTCAGGGGGTTCTTGTTGCTTGTCTTTCCCCCCCCCCCCCGCTCCCCGTCTCACTTCCGTGCTCATCCTTCTTCGTCTCCTGCATATTCCCAATCCCCGCTTAGAGAGCTGCTGGAGTGACACGACTCTCAGATGCACACCCAAACCCACCCATCATCCAACAGCAAAACACCAGCAACGAAAACACACAGCCTAAGCAGCAACAGCCACCGCCGCAGATGACTGTGTTCATCGGTCAGCTACCTTTTGACTAACGCAGCCCAACATCCCCGAAAAAAACCCTCCCCATACCTCGGTCTGCTAGCCTAAACTAGCTGTCGCCAATCTCGCATTCTCCCTCCGTCTCGTCTCGTCCCGATCGCGGTTCTGTCTCTTTCTCCCAGGTCTCTCTGGGGCCTCTGTACTTTTTGTCGACCTCTAATTAGCTTTCCAGGATTTCCCTCTTATCCACCCATCTAGCCCATCCTGGCTGTTAGCATTGTCAGCCACTGCCTCTATCACTGTGGTTGCCTCTGACTACTGCTGCTGCTGCTGCTGCTGTTGCTACAACTACTGCTACTGCTGCTACTACTTCTACTTCTACTACCTCCTCACTCCCAAATCCCGGCTGCGGATTGTTAAGTTAATCTCACCGCGTAATCCGCTGCCTCTCAGTCTGGCCCGGTTCACTAGTACTTTTCAGCTAGAATAACAACATCTTTGCCGCAACCACCAACGAGCCATGTGCGTTTCCGGTCCTTTCGACTAAGTAGAACTTCTTCTCTCTTTTCTTTTTCCCCTTGGCTCAAGCCCTTGTCCTTTTTTGTTACTATATTTCATTCCTCCCTGCCTCTTTTTCCCTTCTCCCCTTCCAACACTCCTTTTACGTTCTTTGGCTTTCCCCATCATCTATCTTTGTTGAGTACAAACGCGGCATATGACACAAAAGGGCGCCATTTGGTGACTCTCTCTCTCTCTCTCTATATATATATATATATATATATATATATATATATATATACAAACCCCCCTTCTCTCTCCTCTCCTCTCCTCTCCCTACACTGCCACTGTTGCATTTAGGCCCCCAACCTTCCCGGGAGCTTCTAAGGAATCTCATGTTGCGACAGTCTTGGGGAAGCAAAAAGGAAGATCCTCCCAACATCTACGAACCCTAATCAGTGTTTATGGTCTGCCACAGCTTGTGGTCAACCAACATCTTGCTCGTCTCTTACCCCGGAACCGGCCGTTCTGCTGCAGTTCCTTAAATTGCGGCTTTTTACCCAACATTTTGTTACACGCGAAATCCTCATCTAACCTTATTTATTTATTTATTTATTTATTTTTAATATTATCCCCCTCTTCCCCTCATTTCCTCGGTTGTCCTGTGTTTCTTTTTATACGTTTTATCTTTATTTTTAATTAGTCTGCTTTAATTTTTGTTCTTTGGTTTCTTTCTCTCCTCCGCCTCGCAGTGTCCTAGTCGGTTTCTTTGTTGCGTTCAATCCAACGACTGCATTTCGTGCTGTGCTATCTGGAGGCGTAACAAGGACAGCCCACCCATTATTTTTCGGACGCAATCTCAGGCTGCAGAAAACAAAGCCTCGTGAAAAGGACTCTACTTCCTCACCATTTTGACTGTTATAAGAAATATCTGTGAAGGTCGACCTTCGCGGATCATCCAGGACCGCTTTTCCCTCGGGGGTTTTCCCCGACACAACCACAACCGTGGAGAAGAAAAAAGAGCAACCCGCATTGAAAATGCGCTCTAGCATTGCCTGCTCTCGTTGCAGGCGAAGCAAGATCAAATGTGTCAATGCGGGCATCGATACTACCTGTCGAGCGTGTGAATCCTCCGGAAGAGAATGTGCCTATCCGGCTCCTGCTTCAGGTGGAGGTGGAGGTTCCACAAAGCGCGACATTGCGGCCACCGGGGACAGCGATGACCGGAATGGCGAGTGGGACAGCCCCAAACGTCAGCGTTCAAGGAAAAGCATGAATATTGTGTCATCGGCAGTAAAGGATGTGACCAAACCAAATGGCAAAATCCTTGACTCGTCCATCTTGACTGTGAAGGTTTGGGAGAATCTCTTCGAGCTCTTTCAGCTGCATTTTTCCACAATCTTGCCGTTTTTGCACCCGACCACTTTTCTCGCCCAGATACGCCAGCTTTCCGCAAACACAGCACAGCAGGATGGCCAGACTACTGGGGAGCATTCTCAGAGCCCAGTCCCGGTTGCGGAGGCCTCTCCGCTGATCCTACTGGGAGTGCTGTCCCTGACCGCTCGATTCCACCCACAATTGACTCAGTATCACTCTCCGCCATCACCTGTTGCGCCATGCAATCCTCTCATAGCATCAGATTATTATGCGAACGCACTGCGATCCAGACTCTCAGGGGTCGATGGAGCAGACATTGCTTGCCCCGATATCAACCGGCTGCAGGCCCTTTTAATGTTGAGTCTACACGAATGGGGAACGTGTAGGGGCAAAAATTCCTGGATCTACCTTGGGATGGCTATCCGACTGGCCCAGGTCATGGGGTTGTCATTCGAGCTAGAAAACGACTCGTCATCCCATAGCACCTCTTCGTCGAGAGTAGTTAATTCGGAGGTGGAACAATGGGACCCAAAGGGCCAGAATTCAGACGACGTGATCGAACAAGAGACTAGACGACGGACTTTTTGGAGCTGTTTTATGCTAGATCGATACCTGAGCAGCGGCAAATATCGTCCTCGAATGATCAAGGTTCGCGATCTAGAGATCCAGCTTCCTAGTGACAATGCGTTTGCTTTTGGAGAGCGGGTCAAAACTTCACGATTATATGATGGCCCAAAGCGACGGTCACAAGGTCATGAAACCCGATCTATTCAGATCCCCAGCTTGCGGCATCCTATAGGAGGATATGGAGAGGACGCAAAACTGCGACCAGGAGGGCTATCAGACCTGAAACAGTGGTCTTCGACCCCTCATCACCGAAACGAACCTACCGAGAATGGTATCGATCGATGGGAGGTTGGGGCGGAGGAGTGCGTTTTGAGTCGGTTGATTCGCATGGTCAGAATATGGGGAACCATTGCGAAATGGTCATGTTCAGGCGGAAGAAGGTTCGTTAAACAGAGTTGTGGAACATTGTCTAATTAATTTCGTCGTTTTGCTCTTTCTCATGTGGACATAGATCTGATCGACTCCCTCCATGGCATCCCGACTCTCGTTTCGCTGCCCTTCGGGAACTTCTTGTCGAGTTCCAAGAAGGACTCTCCCGCAACCTTCAATACACCCAACGCAACACCGACACTCATATTATGTACAAGAATAGTTTGGCGCCGTACTCGCTCATCCACATTATTTACTTCTTATCCGTGATCGTATTACACAGAGCATACCTTCCATTCTTGCCTTTGCGGTGTCCTGATCCCCAGGGACCCATCGACGAGCCTAGTTTCCCACCCGGGAAATACCTTGTGCCCGAAGGGTTCTGGCGCGAGAGTGCACGGGGGCTGTTCAAGGCCGCACGTCAAATGGCGGAACTTGTTCGGACGTGTCAGGATCGCGGTGTCCTGATAGAAACTCCAGTGGTTGGGTTCGCTATTTACAACGCTGCCCTTGTCGGTGTTTACGCGGCGCACTTTAATCAAATGGACCAGGAAGGTTACGTGTGCTCGAAACCAGGTTTGACAGATGTTCAGGGTTTAAGCAGTCAGGGACAAGTTGACGTACGAAAAGCCATCGAAATTTTGGGCGATATGAGACCAAGGCTGAAAATGGCCACTGGTTGGTTCCGGACCATTCATCGTCTGCACGGCTATTATTCGAAGGCTATACGGGATTTCAAACGAGGTTCTCGAAAGCAAGAAATGCTACCTACAGGTTGTGGTGCCGAAACCGACTCTCGAGCCAGTAACGGGAGGACGTACGGCGTACAGGAAGGGAGGAGATATGCGGGACCGTTTGACGAAGTCAAACTTTTGGATCAGGTCTTTGTGGATTTGGGTAACGCAGAAGATCAGGTGGCAGATATCAACGGGCCCGACGAGGATGGCACGACAGCGTCTGCGAATGCGGTGGAACGAGGTCCAACCAGTGATGTCGGCAGTAATGCTGTCAAGAGCGAATCGGGAGATGGGATGGAATCCCAGGGCGATGGCGGTGCCGGTGCTCGCAAGGAATCGTGGGTATCTGTCAATAGCATTAACAGTCCTGGTCATGGACTACATACATCCCCATCCCCCGGATCAGGATCAGAACACGATAATTCCATCCCCCGTTCCACACCCGCCGAGAACGAACGTTGGGCCGCCGGTCTACCTCCTCCCCCGTCTTCCTACCCTCTCCACTCTCTACAACCACCACACTCCCTCCCCCCAACCACCACCACAGCACACAACCCTCCCCCATCCCTAACCTCCCCGGGATCCTACACCCCCTCCACACAAAGTGCAACAGCCCCGTTGACAAACTCGCAACACCTCTCCACCCCTTCAAACCGTCTCCAGCCCCTCCAGCCATGGATCACATCCCGCCAGCCACCCCCACCCCCATATTCACAGTCCCTCCCTTCCATCAACGCAGCCGCTCAACACGGCTTCTCCATGCCACCTCTACCAGGCGCCCCGCCGCCTCTGCACCTAACGCCTCCACTGCGCCTGGACGCTTCTCCACGCCCATTTTCCGCTACCAATTGTGGGAGCAGCAGCCCCAGTCCCGGCTGGATGAGCAGCCTTGGCGGCGACGATGTCCTAGTTTTCATCGAGGGGGGCAATCAGGAGCAATGGCCTTCGCCAATAACAAGTTCACATATCCTTACAAATGGGTGGTTGAGTACTGTCTGGTCGGAGCTTGGACAGTAATTATTATAATGTTTTGACTTTTTTTTTTTTTTTCATCTCTTTACATATGGAGTCTCCCTCAACCGCTACAGTTGTTGTTTCCATACAGTCTGGGCTTTATATCGGGTTTACATCTATTTTATTATTATTAATATTAATATTACGGGATGGACAAATGGCATTTTGTTTCTACTTGGGTGTTTCTGCTTATATATTTTCGTATCGTTAACTAGTTTATATCAAGGGATAAGGAGCAGGGCAAGGAAATGGGCTTGCCTCGGTGTTTTTTTTTTTTTTTTTTTTTTTTTTTTTCAGTTGTTTTTCATGTAAGAAATTTTATTTGTTCTCCTCTTGCTATCTATGTCCTTTTGTTTCCTGAAAGTTACACCTGCTGCTCTCGACCCAGTAATAATGGTTGGTAATTTGTTCGATTTCATTTTCTGTAGCTTTATTTACGATCCTGTATCATCTTTTTTAGTTAAGCATATCTCTCTTCTTCCGACTTCATTTAAGCGAGGATGAATTTTAAACACTAACTCTGTTCTATTTTTATACCGCATTTAACCATAAAAACAATACATTACCATTCGAGATGGAAAAAGAAAATAAAAATTAAAATAAAAAATAAAAGAAAAGAAAAAGAAAAATTTTAAATTACTTCCACGCTTCTCAGGAAATCCCAGAGAGCCAGAAAGTAGGGTAAAACAATGCCTGAGACAAACCTACTCCGCTTCCATATCAACATCCATGCGTTGTTTCCCCACTCGGTTTGGTTCGGCTCGGGTTCGGGAATCGGGATGTGTTGTGAGTGGGTAACTTGGTGTTGCGTTGGTCAAGAGAGCAGCAACCTGTAACATGCCGCCATGTAACGACCACATGTCACTTCTTCCTAAGCCACTCGCAATGATAAAAATATGATCCAACTTTTTTTGTCTTCTCTCCAACTCCTTTGCCTCGGGAATCGGCATACGGCGGATGTATTTTGGGAGTGCTAGCTACTATTACATAACAGAAATGTTATATGTTTTCGTTTTCGTTTTCGTTTTCGTTTTCGTTTTTTTTTCCCTTTTCGTGTAGCTGGCAGCTTTTTCAAATGCCGCAGAAAGTTTTGCGGCTCGAGCAAAAACAATGCAAAGTGCGGACATTTCCCCCCATCGCTGTCTTTGTAACCAGTTGTCTGGTGGTTATTGGTTTGTGGGTCCTTTGTTATGCCGGCAAATCTTATGCTTGCCGGTTCGAGGGCACGATTACTGGAAATAGCCGAAGATCGGATCTTTATAGTTCCAACATTCTATTTCCGAACATCTAGCCCCAGGGATGCCAATTCTATCCGCCACTGCCCATGAAGTTAATAACTGAAGAAGCACAGTGGAATGCGACAATGTAGACCGTGGCAAACATGGATTGGCATTTTCGATAGTTGTATCGTTGTGCCAGCGGGTATGAGCTTAAATGAAGGATCAGAGACGAGGAACTTCACCAGAGTGAGTGTTTTTATTCCCGAAAGTCGGGACGGCCAGCCCACACAGCAGTTACTCTCTTGCAGTTTCATATCAGAAACTGAACAAAAGTTTACAGATAACAAATGATCTGCATATGCTGGGATTCTCCAATCTCAGATCGAAAAGTCCATTTGGCCCGGTGTTGTATTATTACCCCGCTCCACATGATGATGGTAGTGACATGTGTCATTGAATTGGACAGCAATAAATCTCATCTTTTTGATGTGAGTACGGGTTATGATTACACGATAGACAAAAGATCCTCGGGCTGCCGTCTGAAGAAGAGGCGGGTGATGGTGTGTACGTTGCATATGGAATCCTCTTGGTGTAACGGAGAGTGATATATCGCAGGATCCATAGAGACCCTAATGCTGCTTGGCGAAGCAAGCGACCGAGCCAAGTAGAGAGGAATAACCATGATGGAATGCACCAACCTCTCATTCAGATCGACTCCTGCCGCGGCTCAGTCAATGAGCTCTACTCCTCCAATAATGTCTTCATGAATACCACCCATGATAGTTTTGCAAGGCTGCAAGGCTCCATGCGCCATGGCAGTCACACCGCTATCCTGGAAGATAGAATGCACAAATGACGGTTCCTCCTGTAGATAGAAATGCTTTAAACTGGACTGATTGCGTTTCCACATTCCAGCTGTCATCGATCATTTTAACCCATCCATCAGTACGGCTTTTTATGGCAGCATCATTTGCGCGTCAGAGGTTGCAGGAGAGCGAACAGATGGCAGCTGCGTGGAGTCATGAAATTTTTCCCTCTATTAGCCATTCATTCTACGGTCATAAGAAGCATGTGATCTTCAGATGCAAGGATCGGGAAACATCTCTGACTCCTTGAGTCATCAGATGGATAAGTGGTCTTGGGACTTGAAAATTCTTTGGAGTACGGCTTCCCCCACATTTTCGCATAACCCAGAGATAAACACTGGAAACTCCTCTCCTGAAGCGCCGACAGAAACAATTAGCAGGTTGCAAATCTAGTCCTTTGTGATTTACCCCATCCTCTAGCCCCATCCGCAACAGTTGACTCTGGGATTGACTCATTGGATTACCTTCTGCAATACTCTCTCCAACTTCTAGAAAGCCAGTGAGAGCAATCACGGTTAACCAAAGCATTCCCCCCCCCATCGTCATCACCACATTCTCGTTACTGGTAGAGATCCCATAGGACGGTGCGGGAAGCAGTCTACAAGATCTTTAAATTCAGAAAAGTAATTAAAATTAGAGGGAGAATAAAAAAAACATTAAAATAGTCTCAACGGAAAGGTATCTCCCAGGCGTGAATAAAGCTCCACCCGATGATCAAGTTCATAATAAGTTCATGAAGGGGTTCATTGAGCCCTAACCCTATTTTAGGGCTGAGCTTCTGTCTCAGAAACTTAAAACAACAAAACCATGGAATTAGATTTTTGTAATTTTCAATTTAATTCCTCACTCAGAATTCCAATGTAATTTATCAGATAAGTTTTATCATATCTTTCAATTATAATCTTTATTTTCAAAATTCATGATGATTATAAAGAAAACTAATTATATTAATAATTAAGTTTTATATATTAAATATATATATATATATATATATATATATGATATATTTTATAATATTATAATATTATTTAATTTATTTAATAGTTTAAATTATTTTATTTTATCTTATATATTTTAAAAATAAATTATTATAATTTTAAAATTTTAATATTAAATATATAAAATTTTTAATAGTTAATTAATAAATTAAAAACTATAGTACTTTAAAAATATTTTATATTTTTAATAAATTTATATATATAAATATTTTTATAATATTATTTTATTCTTATATTGTAAAAAATTAATTAAACTACTTTTAATCTATACTTATATAAAACAGCTAACTGGCATTTGCAACATTTCATCTTCTTCATTAAATGAGTATGATTCAATAACACTGTATATTCATATTCACAAGTTCTATTGAGGTGTTGTAGTTGCCAGCAGGCTGACATTCAACTCATTTGTCACATGATCAGTGATATATCAGATTGTAAGTGAAGCATGCTTGTTTTTAATAATAATAATAATAATAATAATAATAATAAATATTAATGGAAAAGCTGGGAATGCATTTGATTCTTTTATAAGTATAGCTTAATCAAAAGTAATTAATATGCCTCTCATTAGTACAAGCAAATATCTCAATTAAGATATAGGAAAAAAAGGAACAAGAAACACCTGTTAAAATTCATAGCAAAATGAAAATGAGAAGGTGAAAAAGAGCCTCCTAGTCCTGTCACTTCAATAAATTCAGGGGTATAAACTACATCTGTTCTAAGTAAGCTAGAAAAAGTAAAAAGAGAGCAAAGAGATGGAGAAATAGGGAGGTAGAAGGTTGCTCAAACCAACAAGACCAAGTGACTCCTTTAAATATGAGCCAGATAAATATGGCGAAAGCTGGGGGAAAGGAAGCATATAGAAGTACACATATTGACCCAGATATCACAACAAGCCAGTTATACTGTAGCGTGAAGAAAAATAACCCAGGGTAAGGGTGAAAGGTTGCGAAGAGACGTGCTCCTGAGATGAAACGGAAGTGTTTTTGAAGCATGGGAATATGAAAGGGAGAATGAGATTATATAAAACAACAAGATAGATCTATTGGATCTGGTAATAAAAAGGAATTTTCTTAAAAAAAAGAGCTTGCAACCTGGGAGAATAAAGCGTCTTGTGGTACATATAGAACAAAATAAAAATCAATGTGGTGCTCAAGTCGTTAAGGAGAAATTTGGTGAAACTGGTTTTCTTTTAGGGGTGCCGGGAAAGCGTCAAACGGAGATGAAGGAACAGTTTATGCATACCTACTGCTCATTGTACTATACGATGAAGCCGTTCACGCTGCAGCGAATGATAACTGTTTGGCCATCGATGGGGACGTAGCATGGGAGGGTAGCCGTAGAACCAATGTCAACTGCCTTTCAAGAAACGCCAGAAACATGGACTGAAGAAAACCGGAATAGAAATGGAAAAGGCGCAATCGTCAAGACATGAAATGAGGGCCGTGAGACAGATGGCAGCGAGGACTACGTTTCTTCGGGGGATGAAGAAGTAACATCACCGTCAATGGTTTTCCTCCAATGCTCAGGTAAGCAGACGCACACCAGCTAATTTAAGATGTCAGTTCACCCGCTGCTCAATGAATGGGAAAAAAGAGAGAAAAAAGATTTTCGTCGGTGAGTCATACCGGGAATGCTTTGATTTCGCCTGATGGTGGAGATGATCCTCTTCGAACTCCGGAACCATTAGAAACCCCACTATCACGTTGTGCATTGTGTTTTTCATAATCCTCAGCCCTCTCGCTGAGACGAACACCAGTTGCCCATCCGTCATCCCATATTCCCACTACTTTCAACATGTCGCCTCTATCCAGCTCAAACTCATCACCTGCACGGGGTTGATACGCCCATAGAACGGAAACCTTATCATTGGGGTGGATGTCATCCTGCGAGTAGTAGTCTCTGAAATACGGCAGTTGTTCAGATTGACCACTAGCCATTCCCTCGGGTGACGAAAACTGACCGCCACTTCCAGACCTGGGTGAAGCAGTGTCACTGTTCCTTGCTAGCACCGACGCACTCGAAAGAGAGCCATTTCTCTTGCTAGTAGCCGGTGGGCCACGCTTAGACCGAGCGGGACTCTCTCCATATACTTCAGAATCGGATGAATCGTGATATCTGGTAACACCAGGAGTCACTGCTGCAACTGCTCCAGAAGCACGGGGTGGAGATTCCTCTTCGCTGCTTCCTTGCAATGCTGACATTCTTGCTACACGACCACCCGGAAGAACCTCGTATGCGCCATGCCTGCTGCTCCCAGGGGCATATTGCATTGGCGTCCGCTGTGGTGATGGCTGGTTCAAGACCGAGGCCTTGTTTTGCTCTCGCCTCCGTCTCAGGCAAACAAAGAGTAGGGCACCGAGTGCAGCCAATAGAATTAAACCCACAACTGATCCCACTACAATGCCAGCAATTTGACCACCGGAGAGACCTGTACTCGCAACTGCCGTGTCGGACGGTTTAGGCGTTGAAGTTGGAGAAGGAAAAAGTGGAGGCAGCGATGGTACGGAGGGGAGGGTAAATCCATTACAGCGGTTTGTGACATCTGCAGCGTTGCAGCAAGAGTCTGTGGAGTTGGCTGTGCTGCCTTTGCAAAAGCTACATAGACCTAATAAGTTTTGAGAAAAGCCGCATTCATTAGGCTCATTTGCATCACCGGGTATGCAAGTATCTGTCAGCGACTCCTTCGGGTTCGAGCAAATTGTGAAATCGGACCGTATCTCGTCCATGTAACTCTGTCTTGGAGTCCCACAAAGCTCTTTGTTGACGACAATTAGTTGTTCACTTGTAGCATATTGTGCCTGTCACAATATCAGTGATATGTCCGTTTATTCAAAGAAAAGAGTGCGCATAGTGTGCGGGGGGGACTCACACAAGACTCCGCACATAAGGGAGGTGAGTTCCCACAGGCCGCGGAACTCTGAACGATGCCATTACAAATTACGCTTAATGTGTATCGGGCATAGAGAGAAGATGTATTGGTGAGGTTGATGTTGGAACATCCAAGAACTTGCTGATATCTGGGGAAGAAAGAGAGGGAAGACCATTAGCACAAATTCTACCAATCTCAAAACACTAACAGTGGTTGTCTGAGACGAATGGGTGCATACTTCATCATGACATATTCGCTATTAGCGTAGGAAAACAGATGCTCATCGAATTCTTGGGTGTTGGACACGAATGAAAGAAATGAACTGCAGGTTTCAATAAATCAGCATTCACATCAAGGATTGGACAGTCGCTCTTTTAGGCGCAGGCAGAACGAACAATTTGCCAATGTTTTCTGGGCTCTTTGACACAGCGGCATTTGCGAAAGCGGGACAGGCCTTCGACCCTTTAAGAGGGATGCAATTGGCAGCCATTGTGAGGATATCTCTCTAGGACAGGGAATCGGGGTAAAGCGTCCTCAGTATTTGCGGTATTCCACGGTGGATTTCGCTCGAATAAATCAACCAAGCAAACGAACGACGAGGGCTTCGAAATCGAAATCGACTGACACGGGTGGTGGATCGAAGCGACAAGAAAACACGGCCAATATAAGTTATCCGGACATGATGACGCTGACGAACCCCTTCTTTTCCCCCGCCTGTCTATATCCGAAGGATGTGTTCGGGTATGAAAGGATTATGGTCTGGTTCCCGAAAAGTGTTATCAAAGAAGTGAATGCAAAAGGAGTGACGTGAAAAAAAAAAGGGGGGGGGGGGGCGCGCGCGAAGAAAACGAGGGTCAGAAACGAGGTCCCGAGGGGACAAACTGGGTTAACGAGCGAATTGAAACAGAAGAAAGAAGAGAAAATCAGGGGGTGCGTCGTCCAGAGGAAAAGGCGGGTTGCAAGGAGAAGTGGACGATGAGGATGAGGTCGAAGAAGACGCAGAGAGATACAAGAGGAGAAGAAGAAACCTGAGAAGGCGGCGGTTTGGGCAGAACAGGAGAAGGGAAGGAACGACTTATCCGGGGTTAGTCAGGCACCGTACCGTACAGTACAGTACCGTATAATAGTGATAGTTTAGTTTAGTATAGTAGTGTAGTGCAGTATAGTAGTAGTTTAGCATAGCGTAGTAGTTTAGCATAGTAATAGTACTCAGTGGTATATATGATACGCCATCTGGTGTTCTTACGCGGGACAATCCTCCGCAGCGAGATAACCAATACGCAGCTCTCGAGTCTCTGGGTGGTGGTAATCCCATAATACAGCCGTCCCGTGAGCTTGAATTGCAGATCGTGCAAAAGAAAGCAGCTCGTTGCCAATCAGTCAGCTGTATACCCTATGACCAAACGACTCATCCAAGTTAATATCCAATACAGTGAGACCGGGTTGGAAGCGTATCAGACTAACCCATTCGCAGTGTATTCACCAGCATCCCGTACGGGCGTTGCATATGTGGTCTTTGCTGCCAAGTACTCGACATATCATCATCCACTGTAGGATGGAGAGACAAACATCCTCGACCTCGGATGAATACGGGGATGCATCACGCAGCCCAACCAGGGGAAGAACCCAGCTATTAACCGTTCTCGCACAAAGAAGCTAAAGTCATATGTAGCTTATGCAGGTATTGTGCAAGCAGAGCTTCAATTCCGTATGCATGTAATCTGTAGTTACGGCGAACGAAGGACGGAGCGCATCAACAAACCACCCCTGTTTTTGCTCTGATGTGTCCTGCAGCCCGCGCAGCAGCCGGTGTTCATGTTCAGACAACCCCCCGAGCCGCGTACGGGGCAAAGCACAGAAAAACAATATGATACAAACAACAACAAACTATCGCCGTCGTATCATCCTATCCCTCCAACCCCATTCTCGGGTTTTTAAACGGCCCGCGAGCCATGATTAATGTACCAAGGGAAAGTACCAGCTACAAAATTCCAAGTGCAAACAAGAGCTATGCTTCACGTATTTGGGACCTGGGTGTTTCATCAACATGTTCCTCCGGGATCCCAGGCATGAAACTGTATGATGTATCTCATTCAACATGTCCTTGTGTCTCCAAGCGGCTGGCCCCTGAAGCTTTCCGTGGTTGGGAAATTAGATGCGCCACATCTAAGAACAGCCTGAGGCATCTAATTGGTTCCTGAGCGACGGGCTTGGCGGGATATTATGGAGTTTCCAAAATCCACACGGGAACTTGAAGGTTCAACGAACGGCGGATGCAGCTCTGGGTTGGTTCCCCACTCAAACTAAAACACTAGTGGCCAAGTCTATTGCTGCCTTTCTGACAAACAGAGGTTAAAAGGGAAAAAAGAAGAAAGCAAAATGGAACAAAAGCAAACGATCGCCAAGCGAGATGGGCATAGTGGGAACACAGACGGTGCACCAGTTTATTGCAACCATCGTAATTAAAGAATCCGCTAAAACACAACCCTATCATTGTGTATCTCGAGGCTAAAAGCATAATAATACCACTGGCAACTGCCATCAACTTTTACCATCAACCGGATTTTGTATTTCTTCACGGGCTCTGTCTATTTCTAGCTCCCCCTGATTCAAGTCAAACTTTCAGCAAAACGTTCTCCAAGCTTCGAACTTCCTTCTATCTTACCGACATGACCCGGACTTTGAATGAAGAAACGGCAATTTTCCTAGGTTCCGTTGCTGGTGGGAAACAAAAATATGGAAAGCAATGAAAGATCCACCCTCGATAGCAAAGCGCCTCGGCTTGGACAAGGGGAAAATGCATGTTGAAGAAACCGTCGCATTCTCTGCTTTCCTTCCGAAACATGGGAATAAATCAAATGCACAGTTCCAGCCCGGCCCTCTGCTGTTTGTGTCAGCGCAGTTCATACACACATGTATCCCTTGTGCTCTCACGTTTTCCAGCTCCTGTTGTCGATATTGGTATATCATTTGCTGACTAATGAGTTATAAGGAATTCACTACCAGTTAGGACTGTTTGGTCCTGCCCAGGTACGCAACTCCACTGTGTCACGATATGAATGGCAGGAGATCATCCAAGATATCAAGGTGCTATCTATCATCCGTCTTGAAGGTGATCGATCTATCACACCCATTTGCGAGTATATAGTGAAATATCATCAGCATCAGCTCTGATATATGCTGCATGTCAAGTTCCTTTTTCAAGTCATAATGCTAGAGTCTAATACTTAAGGAGAGATCAGAAGAATAGAGCTGTTCTCTTAATCCATGGATGTCACTGTCCTGTTTCGCGAGAGAGAGGCAAAGAAGACGTGAAGACCTTTGAAAGGACTTCAAGGATGGTGCAAGGTACAATGGATCAGAAGCATTCAGTACGGCGTTACGTTGTCTTTTCTGGGGCATTATTTGAGGCTATGGTAAGAATAGTTTTTGTCCTGGTTTCCTCGGATTGGATGACATTGAGGAGATGAGCTGGCTCTCCTATATCATCCTTCAGAAACCCTTTGATGTTTACTAACTTCCTACCCATATATATTTTCAGACAGCGTGGCCTTTTTATTGTTCATAGGTTAAGATTTGTGTCATGGTCAACATTCATTTATATAGCCATACATGCCTTGGATGTAGTCAAAGTTGCGCTTGCAAGACCCCTGCAAGCCACTCTCTAACATGGGAGAAATCCTGATGCACTGGCGAGATATCATTCGGGCAACGAGCTAATTATATAAAGAATCTAGAAGACGGTCCTCAGATGGTCTCTTTTGATCCTCAAAGGACATTTCTATTTATGTCTAATTGAACGAACTATGAAGAAGCTAGATAGAGCCTATCTTGCTCTCTCTCTCTCCCGAATCAATATACACATCAAAACCAGGAATCCTTGCTTCGTATACTTGAAAGAAATGGCAGTCACGAACTGGGGCCAGGGGGGAAGAGAATGTAGCTGTGCTGTGTCGGGATGGCTGTTGGATGCAGGGCATTCCCGGATTAAATTTGATATACCACTTGATATGTCGGGATTGCCGATGTCTAACTCCCTCCCTCCCCAGAGCCGGGATACAATGTTGAGAGTCTGATCTCCAGTCTCTCCGAAATGTAGTATAGAATCGCGACGCTCCACAGGGCAGCCCTCTCAATTCCTCCTACTATCTCCTGATTGCTTATTTCCTCGCAGATATTAGCCCCGAACTCGATCTGAATTTCCAAAGGGCCGAACCTTAGTGAGAACCTTGCTTCCACTGGAGCACGTGACCAGGCTGACTTCGCCTCGTTCCACTCGCCGAGATGTTTCCTAGTCACGTCACCAGACAAAGAACAGGCAAAAAGCCCCAGAAACCGAAACAGGATCCAAGGGTTAATCTCAGCCAGAACAGCTTGGAGGGGAGTGTGTGTGCAAGGCTCCAACATTATTCCAATCTGCAGTGGATAGATAATCATACCCATCATCAAACGGCCGAGTCCATCTGGGCTCTTTCTCCCGCTCTGTCTCTGACACTGCTCAAACTTTACTGATAACTACTCTATATCATTTGACTTCTACAGCGCTCCCACCATTGATCCTAACCATCCATCCATCCCTCGGTACAGCTCATTAATTAAATCAAGCAATCCACCATGTGCTGCTCAGCAGACTGCTTCCTTGCCATTATTGCCGTTCTCTTTCCTCCTATAGCTGGTACGTTTCCTCCCATCCTCAACCCCGCATCAGTTAACCCCTCCATACATCTAATCTTGCCAATATGTCATTCTGAAACCATTAATTGATTTCCCAACTAACCTTCCACCGCCCCAACCAACCAGTATGGGTAAAAGTTGGCATCTGCTCTGCCGACTCCCTCATCAACATCGCCCTCCTCATTCTCGGCTACATCCCCGGCCTGCTGCATGCCTGGTACATAATCCTACAGTACCCTGAGAACGAGGACTATCCGGCCGGCTACCAACCCATTGTAGGCGCAAATGGATGTCATCCTGACACCGAGGCCGGAAGAGTGACATACTACTACGTATCGCATCAACCACCAATCCATCATTCCGGCTGTCATCCTCATCCCCAGAGATCGTATGGAACTACACAGCCGCCTGTCGTCAACACAGCAACGAGACCAGTACCGCAGTCGACATCCAATAATCACCAGGCTGGCACCAACGGAGCTCCTGGGGAGGTTGCAACTGGGGAAGGGTGCAGCGGCAATCGGATCCAAGGACCACCCACGTACGCGGAGGCCGTGAAGGGGGATTATAAGATACAAACTCAAGACTGATGCTGAGTTGAGGTTGGAGTTCATCCATTGGGACAAGGTCTCTGTCCTTTCTGGAAACTGTTGAATCAAATCCGATCCACCTGCATGAGGGCAGAAATTTGTCCACTCCCACCAACTGTGACTTTTTAACGCCTTTTATATCCCCTTCCTCCTCCTGGCATTCCGTCTCTTTTTTTATATTTTATATTTATTTATTTATTTTGCTGGGTGTATTCTGCAAAGCCTGGATAGGCTGGGTTTCGCATTATTGCAGCTCTTGTTCTATGAGTTTTCCTTTTTGCAATAGGTTGGTTTTTGTAGTATATTCGCGCTGCTTACTACAGCTCTCAGCTTTCTCAACGGCCCCTATTACACATGAATATGAAGGGATTTGTATTTGTTACTTTCTATATCCAGACCACTGCAGATCTACAAACACACTCCTTGTTCCACTCTGTAATTCCGTTGTAACTTTCGCTCCGAAGGAGGAATGTAGAAAAGCGTGAAAACAAACATACCATAATTAATCATCTGATGTATCTCTCTACGGAGTAACCTCATCTTAATAGTGGAATGTGGACTGGTTAGATAATTTTTCTGGCCAACGACAAAAGCCAAACCACAAACTCCAAGCTCCTGCGGAAGATTAAAATTGAAAAACAGGAACTCCTCCAAGCAAAGAAAATCCATAAAACACCAACGTAGGTTACAATAATAAGTCCTCAATTCCACTGATAAATATCGGCGTTCTGCTGCCCCCTTCCCCGGGCTTACCCACCAAACTCCGCGGCACCAAGATTTCCCTCTCCAACATCTCTACAACTCACCTTATTTACCTCAACCTCCAACCCGCATTCCTCACCTCCGCTCCAATGAAGCTGTCTTCTCCCTCAAAGACAGTTTCCACCTCACCATGCAACCCATCCCACTAGTATTCCGACAATCCTTCGTCCGCTCATCCGCAAATCTCTCCCGAAGCACCACCATCACCACACCAGGCAGAACATCCGCTACAAAATCCATAACTACCTCCACAACAAATAACATCCGCAGACTCCCAATTACCTTCTTCCCACCAGGCCCCAGACAATGGCGCACCTCGCGAAACAACATCGATAACACTGATAATATTAACACCAACGGGTTCACATCCGCGACTGTGTCTTCGTCTGCGTTTGCGTCGGTATGTTTGCGCTGTCAATTCCGGGGTCGATATTACTCCATGCAGGGGGGCGGGAAGGGGGTTGATGGACTCGAAAGGGAGGCGCCGGGTGTTTCTTCCGCGGAAAGAGATGGCGAAGCTAGGTTGAGTTCAAGTTCGGCACCTGGGGGGAAAGGAGGTTTGGAGACTGGTTCGGGGAATGAGTTGAACGTACCGCAAGAACATCAGCAGCGACATGGGAAGGGTAGGAAAGGTAAGGAGGAGGAGGATGGGAATGGAAATGGGAATGGAAATGGAAATGGAAATGGGAATAATTGGCGTCTACCGTCACAAGTTGAAAAGCGTAGATCAGACATCTCTAAACAATTTACTCGGTTGATGGATAATATGCAGTCGAACATCTTCATTGCAGGACAGCGACTCAATGATTTAACGGGGTATTCAGGCATTGAGAAGCTGAAGCAGGATATTTTGTCTCAGGGTATGTATTTTTTATTCCCCCACATGTTTGCGGCTGGACGGGTTCCAGTGGTTATTCATTACCCCGCCCTGAACTTCATCCTTGCATTCTATATCTACAATATGAACATAGATCATTATCCTAGTCAAGTTCTAATAAACTCTCCCCAGAGCAACGAGTTCGCGAAAGCCGCGCCCGCGTCCACGAAGCAAAAGAAGTGTACTCCTCCGCCATAAACCGCCGCTCCGCCTCACAGCGCGAAGTCAACGAGCTCCTGCAACGCAAGCACGCCTGGACCCCAACCGACCTGGAGCGCTTTACCTCTCTCTACCGCTCAGATCATGCGAACGAGCGAGCAGAGACGGACGCGCAGGAGGCGCTGGTGGTAGCCGAGCGGGAGGCGGAGGAAGCTGCTGCGGTGCTTAGCAAGAGCATCCTATCCCGGTACCACGAGGAGCAGATCTGGTCCGACAAGATCCGCCGCATGAGTACGTGGGGCACGTGGGGACTGATGGGGGTTAATGTGCTTCTGTTTCTCATTTTCCAGGTTGCGGTGGAGCCGTGGCGGCGGCGGAGGTTGGTGAAGGGGTTTGAGGAGAAGGTTATGGAGGCGTTGGAGAAGGAGAATGGATTGAAGCAGGGGCCGGGCGTTGAAAGTATTCCTGCTTCTGCCACTGATGCTGCTGGTGCTGTTGCTGCGATGCAGATCGCACAGTCATCCGCTGTTTCCACACCTGCATCCACGCTCGTATCCGTCTTGGATGAAGCTCAACCAGGACCATCAGAAGCTGGCACTTCCATTGAGCCGGAAGTTCTCGATTCAATTGGCGTAGCTACTTCTATCCACACGCACCCCACCGAGCCGCTCTCGCTATCACACCCACCTACAACCACCACTCCTCCGTTCTCGCCCGACATCACGCTCTCTCCGGATTTCTGGGCTCAGACGATCTATGACCTCTTTAGTGAACGGCATATCACGCTTTCGCAGCGGGAGCTGACGACGGTAGCGCTTCAGAGCGCTGCGGCCGGTGCAGCAATGATGGGTGTGTTGATTGCGATATTTAGGCCGCGGTAGAAGAGCCGTGGGGAGGCGCAGCGAGTGAGAATTTACTGTGAAGGAAATGAAATTTTGCGGGAGACCAGTGTCATGTATGATGGTGGATAGATAGATAGATAGATAGATCTTAATTTTTCCCTCTTGGATGTTCTAGGTATTTTTTCGTCTTGATTTGGCCTTTTGAGTGTATGTATTATTACCAATTTTTGGCTATAGATATATAGCTGGCTAACCTTGCATGAAGAAAAATTTCAATGCTACAGTTCTGGGATTTATGATGGTTATCCCATTTCCTGGACAGATGGCGGTTTACTAATGTTGTATTATTACAGCTCTCCATTTGCATTCCTTTTTTCGTTCAAAACCTGCACACTGGAGAGCAGCACGGATGGAGTCCGATCGACAGAACAGACATATCATGACCAACCGGGAGAATCCTAAGTCCTCAAGAAGGAAAATGGTTTCTAGACTCAAGTGTCAATCAGCGACCCAACATTCAGTTATGAGGTTTGGACAGAGGCTGATGTCTGTCCTTTCACAATATGATCGACAGCTAGCTCCAGAGAACGCAGTATAATGATGACTTCATTTTCCGTTCCTGTCCTGTTTCTTATATACACAGTACATACCAACGTAATAAGATAGAAAAGAGGGGAAATAAATAAAAATAATAAAAATAATATCACACATGCCCTCAAATCAAATCAACCTGCCCCCTTCTACCCCTTTTTTGAACACACAATTCCGAAACTTCCAGGGAAGCACAACACTGACAAAAGGAATCCGCAGAGAAGGATCTAAGACCCAGACATGCGGAGCCTTGACAATGTTAAAAGAGGAAGTAGATGGAGAAACGTATATGTGACAATATCTATTTTTTTTTTTGGACTTTCTATCTCTCTCTCCACATCTAACAGAAGAAGGGGGGTTCAAAGTACATAGGTAAGAATTACATCGAGGCTTTTCCCAGCTTATTTACACGACACGGCACAGTCAACACAGCAATAACTCAAGAGATGTAATTTAAAAAGGCGACAAAAATTATACAAAAGAAAACGGATGGAGTTGAGGTCAGGGGAATGTGGGGGGAAGATAAAAAAACACACTTCTGCATGTGGGATTGTTTTGAAAGTATATTATATAGACAGTGTTGGTTTGATTATGCCCCCTTTTTTTTCTATTCTCCTTTTCTTAACTAAAGGATATGTCTTAACCGATGAGCAAAGTACTTTCAGTAGGGAAAGAATACGTCGGGATTTCAAGGTTGAGCGGGGCGGGGCCCTTTCTGATTCGGCCGGAGATGTCGTAGTGGGAACCGTGGCAGGGGCAGAACCAGCCTCCATATTCACCGGCTTCGCCGATAGGAACGCAGCCGAGATGGGTGCAGACGCCTTAATTTTTTCATGACTCTGGTTAGCTGTCGGAAGGGATGCAGTTTGGAGGGGGGTTGTTTGAGTTTGACTAGGATTGATATTTCAAGTACCAAGCATAACAAGCCATTCAGGATTCTTTACACGATCCGAATCGGGCTGGGGATCCCGCAGAGTCTCCCATTTAGTGCTTTCGGCTTCTTGGATTTCGCTTGGGGTGCGGTGGCGGATGAAGACGGGTTTGCCTCGCCATTTGATGATGACCTGTTTTTTATTTTCATGTGAGCGTGAAGGTGCATGGGAAAGTGTTGGATGTTTGCTTATGGTCTTGGATTTGGGGATGTGGGCTTTTCTTTCGACATAGAGATAGTTAGGGGAAACGTGGGGGTTAAGGGTGGAATGCGTACATTTTTGCCTTCTGGGATGGCAGAGAGGGCAATTTCGACCTTTGCCTGAGCCAGAACGTCGGCGGAGGCGGACATGTTGAGGAGGAAATCTGAAGGGGCATGTTCGATTAGCAAAAAGTCGGACAATCCACGCGAATTCAATTGCTGATTTGGCTTCGTTATGCAATCCCAAAAATACTGAGGCCGCAATTGGATCTCGAGAAAAGGGTTCTTTCTCTTCCACACCGTTCTCCAAAATGAACCCCCAAGTACTCCGTATATCCACCAACAACCAACCACCTGCAAGGGCCAGGATTACCCCAACAAAAACAACAAAATCAAAACTCACCATGCACAGTCGCCTTCGCACCAACAGCAGTTAACAATCCCATACTCCCAGCCATGAAGTACGAGAACACTTTGTTCGATGTCTCCCCGCCCTTGCTAGCATATTTCTTGAAACTAGGGATTTTGAGCGTCGATGCGCTGTCCTTGGGCTGGCCGAAGGGGCTGTCGAAGGAAGAAGTCGTCGAGGTCGAGGTAGTGACTCGTCCTCTGCGTTGCTGCTGCTGCTGCTGCTGCTGTGAAGTGAGTGCGGCTGCTGTGGGGCGGACGGAGGAGAGAAGCGGGCGGGCACAGGCCCGGGTCAGGGTGGAAGCAGAAGAGCTGGCGAGCGGAGGCATGGTGAGTAGGGCAGGGCCAAAGCAATTGAGCAGTTTTACTGCGGAGGAAGGGTTGTGGCTCTGATGGTTGAGTGTTGCGAGGAGTGAAGTTGGAGTTGGAGTTTGGCTGAGGGTTAATGAAGTCTTTCGATGGTTGGAAATTCGCGAGGGATCGGAGCGAATCACGGGGACGCTGATTGGTCCGCTGGGCACACTACAAAGACTATGAACAAGTTACAACAAGCACAACAAGAACACACCAAGAATACCAAGATAAGAACAAGAAGAACAAGAACAGAGGAGGGAGGAATTGGGGGTGGGAAATTGGAATCAGGATAAAGATACGATTGAATGCCGACGACAACAGTAATACATGCACATGCAACAGTCAACGGATAATTATTTTTACGCCAATTTAAACTCCAACCCACTGCAAAGTCCCATAGAAACAGCCCATGCCACCAAGTGCTCATAATAATAATTCAATGCAAAAAAAAAAAAAAAGAAAAGAAAAAAGAAAAGAAAAAAGAAAAGAAAAGAAAAGAAGAAAAAGAGAACGGAAGGAAAAGGAGGAGGAGAAGAGAAGAAAAGAAAAAGAACAGCAACTCCCTTAATCCCTCAGAACTTTTACATGTAGATGAGGGAACCCAGCCCACAAACAGAATACAGAGAAGAAAACCATCACAGTCCCATCTCAACATCCCCATCCCCATCCCCATCCCCATCCCCATCCCCATCTCCATCTCTATCCCTCACATACCCAGACTCATTATCAGCCACACCAGAACTCCGCTGGCGCGACGAATGTATAACCATCGGCGGCCGCGACGTTATCACAGGCGAGTCACCCTGTCCGTTCATATGCAGCATGGGGTCTTCGCGCCCCTCGCGCGACGTGCCATTCTCCCGTGCTCTGGTGCCGTTTAGCGTTCGCTGGCTCTTCGACACATCGGCCCCGTTGGCAGTCTCCCTGGCCCTCTTCTCTTTGAACTGTCTATATGTTGTCGTTTTGGGTATTACGTCGGCTAGGAACTCGAGGTTGTCGATGCGGGAGACGGCGGTGGCTGGGTTTCCGGGAGGGGGTGGTGGCGGTTGAGTTAGTTGTATGTTGTGTGCGTATGGGGGAGGGAAATGTGTCTATGTATGTGGATGCATGTGCAATATGTGATTACGTTGTGCCGGGTGGAGAAGTTATGACGTGACATACCTAGATCTTTGTATTGGATCGTCCGTCTTGGTTTTCGTTCGGACTTGACAACGTTGTAACCTTGCTCGGCCAGGTAGCGGATAAACATCTCCTATACACATTCCAGAATCGCCCGCGTTAGTTACGGAGTACATAGCCGGTAAGCGTGTCGGATAAATATATATTCAAAGAGGCTTAAGAAAGACATACAGTAGCCACTGCGATCACAAAGGCGGCATTGTTGGAGCACTGCGCTATGTCCTCGTCCAGATGTATGATCTTCTTGATTCTGGTCACTGTTGCATTTTATAGGTACTGCGTCAGCTTCGTTGACCTTCTACCCATACGTAGATCCCATTAAATCTGCGGGGCTGGGAAAAGCGCAGAACGTACATGGCAGAGCTGCATGGCCACTGACCTCCTCTGGCGGAGGGATGGCGGAGATGTTGTAAGGCATGAATATGTCGCGTGTTTGATCTGGCAGACACAGATTGGTGGCGAAGTGGATAGATACGGGGCGAGATAAACGCCCCCCCTCCCCTGCGGCTAATATGAGATGTGTATAATATTGTGCAGTGTAGAGAATGCTGAATGATAATGCTAGACACAATAAGAGTATGCGCGATCTATGGATAGGTTGATTGAGATGAGGTTGGAGAGCAAGAAAGCTGAATCTGTGTGTCCCTTTGATAACCCGTTGGAGATAGGGATATTTTGGACGCGCCGCCAGAGATGACGTTAACCTATTTTTCCTAGTCACTCAAGTAAACTAACTAACTTACCAACCAATTAGCTAGCTGTCCAATATGAGGAGTCCACCACACACCAAAGAATATACTTACACGTTTCTGAGATGCAATTCTAATTAATGTAGATTATTTGGAGAATATAATAGTGTCCATATTTGTCAAGTACCATATAAAATAATAGAAATGAATATCTGTACCAACATATAAATCTGGGGCCAGCGACTCGGGTCGGACGGTCCAGATGTCAGACAGCGCCTCAGATATAGTTAGTTATATGGCCAACCACTTTGACGACGACAACAACAACAACAACAGCAACATCATCACCAACCAGCTATATATATATATATATACCCATCTTCATCGCCATCCACGGTGACACCTTCACCAACCACCCCTGGCTGAGGATGATAACCAAACCTCTACAACAGTCTCCGGTGTTATGAACCCCCCGGGCTCCTCCTACTCGTCCGCCCACCCCCAACGGCCCCGCAGCCTCTCAGCTCGCTCCCACCACCCCCCAACCGACAATGCCCGCGTGCACACCCCCTCCACCGAAACAGCACGGGAACGCCGCCCCACCATCACCGCCTCCAGGCGCCCATCCATCAGAGACGAAATAAACGAGATAAAGCGCTACGAAGACTTCACAACCATCGACTGGGTGCAGGATGCCGTACACGAGCAGGCACGCAGGCGGGCGAAGCGCAGGGACGGCCTGCAGTTCTGGGACCAGGAGGGCACGCTGGGCTGGCGGAGGAAGGTCAGTGAGTCGTACGATGCGGGACAGGCATGGTTGGTTGTTACCATTGTCGGCGTGGCGATTGGGTTGAATGCGGGCTTTTTGAGTATTGTTACGGAGTGGTTGGCGGATATTAAGTTGGGGCATTGCGAGACGGGGTTTTATTTGAATGAGTCGTTTTGTTGTTGGGGGGCTGATGATGGTATGTATTATCTTATATATATATATGGGGCCATCTGGATTTCCCCTTGGTTTATTTCATCTCCTGATTGACTGAGCTATGACAGGGTGTCCCGAGTGGCGGCCGTGGACCTCATTTGCTCCGTTGAATTACATCGCGTACTTCATATTTGCTGTACGTTTTCGCGCTTCTTGAAATATTTGCGACCAGCACGCCAGGATATCTAACTGCTAGCCCCTAGGTCCTTTTCGCATTCTCTTCCGCGGTGCTTGTCAACTCTTTCGCGCCATATGCTGCCGGGTCCGGCATATCAGAGATCAAGGTTATCATTGCTGGCTTCATTATGAAGGGTTTTCTCGGCGCCAGGACCTTGATAATCAAATCTTTAACTCTACCGCTTGCTATAGCGTCGGGGCTTTCAGTTGGAAAGGAAGGCCCCAGCGTCCATTTTGCGGTGTGCACGGGAAATGTCATTTCCAGATGGTTCAGCAAATACACGCGAAATGCAGCAAAAACACGAGAGATTCTGACTGCCACAGCTGGTGCTGGAGTAGCGGTTGCCTTTGGTAGTCCCATTGGAGGTGTTTTGTTTTCTTTAGAGGTACTCTTTTTCCCCTGTTCCATATTCGTTGTCATTTTATATCTATCTGGCCGATAAGGGCTTAACATTTGTTGCAGGAAATGGCTTCCTATTTCCCATTGAAAACTCTTTGGAGGAGTTACTTTTGCGCTCTAGTAGCCACTGGAGTCCTTGCCGTACGTATCTCTTAAGCCAGGCCCAATTCCTCTCGTCATCTTGCTCATGACTACGACAGGCTATGAATCCCTTTCGAACGGGCCAGCTGGTTATGTTTCAAGTGAAATACGACCGAACCTGGCATTCCTTTGAGTTAATTTTCTTTGCTTTACTGGGCATCTTCGGTGGGTTATACGGCGCTTTCGTCATTAAATGGAACTTGAGGGCGCAGGCGTTCCGGAAAAAATATCTTTCGCAACATCCGATTATCGAGGCTACAGTGCTAGCGGGGCTCACTGCACTGATATGCTACCCGAATATGTTTCTAAGGATCAACATGACCGAAATGATGGAGATATTGTTTAGAGAGTGCGAAGGAGCTCATGATTATAATGGGATTTGCGAGTATGGGCTTGATCACAATCACATCCAAATCCTCGAGTGAGGGATTTCCTATGCTGACAGAGTTGATTTTAGTACTAAAAATCGCTGGTCAATGGTTCTATCTCTTGCTATTGCCACGACACTTCGAGCACTTTTGTGCATCATCTCATATGGCTGCAAAGTGCCGGCCGGAATTTTCGTCCCATCAATGGCTATAGGAGCTTCATTTGGTCGGATGGTCGGCATTCTCGTCCAGGCTTTATATGAAAGGTTCCCCGACTCGAAGTTTTTTGCTTCTTGCGAACCCGATGTGCCGTGTATCACACCAGGGACCTACGCTTTTCTTGGAGCCGGGGCTGCGTTGAGTGGGATCATGCATCTGACAATCTCGATTACTATAATTATGTTTGAACTCACGGGCGCGCTAACGTATATTCTTCCAACGATGGTAAGTTTATGAAAAAAGAACAAAGAGGGAGAACCGCCAACTTATATATGATAATCTCAAAAATACTAATTCCCCCCCCCCCCCCCTCTCATAGATCGTGGTTGGTGTAACCAAGGCAGTCAGCGATAGCTTTGGCAAGGGGGGCATTGCAGACCGCATGATCTGGTTCAATGGCTTCCCTTATCTCGACAGCAAAGAAGATCACATCTTCAACGTCCCCGTCTCCCACGTCATGACCAGCAAGCCGGCCGTACTCACCGCCACCGACTTCCCAGTATTCAAAGCCGAAAAGCTTCTCCGCCAACATAAATACCAAGGCTTCCCAATCGTAGAAGACCTCACCAACAATGTCGTCATAGGATACATCGGCAGGACAGAACTCCAATACGCAATTAACCGTGCAAAGCGCGACGGCCTCCTTTGCCCCAACGCCAAATGCCGTTTCACCACCGCCCCCTCCGCCACATCTCACCGCCACCGCACCACCCCATCCACCAACTCCCTCACCCTTGAAATATCAACAGCCCGCCAAGGCTTTGGATCAAGCTCCTCGTCCTCATCCCGATCCGACGAACGAAACAACACCAATCTAGATACAAACGCCAACCACCGATCACCCTCCCGCACCTTCGACGACATCACCACATCAACCAGCATCCGCTCCATAGACTTCAGCCAATATGTCGACCTCGCTCCGCTAACCGTGCATCCGCGCCTGCCGCTTGAAACAGTCATGGAGGTATTCAAGAAAATGGGTCCGCGGGTGATTCTCGTGGAGCATCGGGGTCGTCTTTCTGGGCTTGTTACGGTTAAGGATTGTTTGAAGTATCAGTTTAAGGTTGAGGGGAGGGAGCATTCTGTGGCTGGTGAAACGAATGGTGTTGGTGCTAGTGCCAATGGTGGGCTTGGCGAGGGGATCATTGAGCAGAAGGCTTGGGAGTTCATTCAGTGGGTAACGAGGAAGGTAATGTTTTGGAAGACGGTTGCGGGAGAGGGAAGGGCGCTGGGGCGGTTGAGGTTCAGTTCTCGAGATGGGGATGGGAATCTGGGTGGCCAGAGGCAAGGGCAGGGACAGGATGGAACGGAGCCGTTACGGTCGAGGAATTCGTCAGATATAATAGATGGGACGGAGGAGTTGGACGGATTTATGGAGTTGGAGGATAGAAGGGAGGAGAGGGAACTGCTGTAGATGTTAATTGTGAAGCTTTTGGTTGTTTGTATATATGTATGTGCAATTTTGGATTAATATAGCGCCGAAATGGATTTCTCTCAACATTTACCTATTGAAATGCTCTCCCTGGTGCCCGCCGGAAAGTCCAATCCCATCCGTACAGCTACAGCTCACATCCCATCCCCATCTCCGGCCCCCTTAGTCACTATCTTTCCTCTTCCTTTCTCCCATCCCTCATCCCCACAATAACACATCCCCCAGCCATCAAAGCAGCTCCCACCCACCACAACGCATCCACCCTCTCGCCAAAAACTGCCATCCCCAACAACGCCGTAAGCAAGAAGTTCGCCGTCGTATTCGTAATTGCAACTTTTGTACTAGATGCTGACGCGGTGAGGGCCCGCGTGAATAGTGCCCACATGATCCCGTTGGAAAGGAGATTCAGGGCGAAGGAGAGCTTGTTGGGCCCACAGAAGTTAAAAAGATTGATTGGGAAATTTGGAGGGGTGGCTGAACACTTACAGCGCGGGTTATATACTCTGCTAATGCCTCTGAGGAGGGCGGGAGGTGGAGGAGACGAGTGAGAGTTTGGGAGAAAGCCGATGTGAGGGAGGTTGTTGTTCTGGGGGCAGTTGGAGCGGAGTGGTTAGTTAGAATGCCAGCAACTAATTTGATCCGTTTAACATCCTTCGGTTTATGGATATATATATATCTAAGTTGATTTTGGGCAATTTCTCCCCCTTTGCCCTCTTCCCCAGCGCTCCGGGGTGATGATAGTTGGATTAGGAAAACATTCTTCCCAATTCCTCCCATTTCTTTCCCCCCACCTTACGTCGCATAAAAGAGGGGGATAGAAAATCCAACAAAAGAGTTCCTCCAAAGGATTGTGGAATGAAACCTACAACTTCGCAAATAATCCATTCGTCGCGGCGAATAACCCGCTCGCAATGGCTAAGATTATCCAATTGGGTGATGATGATGATGATGATGATGATGATGATGAAGCAGAACGCGCAGTTTCATTCCCTGTGTCAGCTTCTTGCTCA